CGTTTACTAAGTCACGTCATTGGGTTCACTGGAAAATGCAAGATTGTGATATAATTCATTTAACCGACAAATAGACTACGTACCAGTGAACAGATCAATCCTCCGATAAGGCCAGATTAGCAGTGGGCTGAGGAGGCAATCCCGCCATCGCCTTAAACCTACAACATCAAACTTCCTTTGAAGCTTTCTTTCTTTCTTCTTTTTCCTCTTGCTGCTCATCCTGTGTAATCTTTAACGCATACAATTAATACATTGTCGTTTTTGAGGTTAATAGCCCAACTAAATATATTGTCTACGTTTCCAACACTACCGACGGTCGCAATTCGATATGGATCAGATGATTCCTGGTGATGGGGGCCGAAACCCACTTGAGGCCTGGTTTTGGGAGATGCCCATATGCACGCGGTGGTGGACGACCGCGACAGTTCTGACGAGCGCTCTGGTTCAATGCCAAATGGTTACTCCGTTCCAACTGTTCTATAGCGTTCGCACCGTGTTCCAGAAAGGAGAGGTAAGAATTCCATGTATCCCGACAAAAGGAACTAAGGTGGTTGTCGGCTTGCTAACTTATCCAACCTATAGTATTGGCGATTGTTGACTACATTCCTATACTTCGGGCCGTTCTCGTTCGATCTCCTTTTCCATGTATACTTCCTCCAGCGCTACTCCCGGCTCCTTGAAGAGTCGTCCGGTCGATCGCCGGCTCATTTCTCGTGGTTAATGGTATACACTATGGCCTTTCTCATCGTTCTATCTCCATTTGTGTCGATGCCATTCCTCGGCCACCCGCTATCGTCAACACTAGTCTATATCTGGTCCCGACGAAATCCGGATACTCAGTTAAGCTTATTGGGCTTGTTCGTATTCACAGCGCCGTACCTGCCCTGGGTGTTGATGGGTTTCAGCCTTGTTATGCATGGAACAATACCTAAGGATGAGATCATGGGGGTTGTTATTGGCCACATCTGGTATTTCTTCTCGGACGTGTACCCCCCTATGCATAACGGTTCGCGACCTCTTGACCCGCCAATGTGGTGGCGTCGACTCTTTGAGGGCCGGCAGCAGAGAGACGAGACAGCTGATGCGATTAATAACGAATTCGCAGTGGCAGGAGGTCCGGAACTTGCTGCGGCTGACTTGCGATAAGCATGAACAACACAACTGGATATAGATAGTATTAGACGGCTATCATTCACTCATTCATAGCGTTTTAAGTCATCTTCCAATGGCATTCGGTCAAAGTGGCGTTATACAAGGGACGATACGGGGCGTTGAAGGTTAATACGGAACAAAACATGGCGACAATATAGGTGATGCCTTTTGTACATACTATTCAACCAACTCCTTGAGTTGCATGTCTATTAAGGTCTGGGATTACTTGTTAGCCTACCTACAGTACCGTTCAATAGAAGACTATTCCGTTAGACTTCATGGAGTAATAGAAGAAATCCTATCAACTTCTATCTGTTTTGACCGTATGCCCTTTAACCGTAAATTAGATTTATATTGATTCAAGCTTAAGATATAGGAGCTAACTAGCTTCAATTTGTAGTAGAGTTTCTAAAATCGAATTCGTTATTAAAACTAAGTCTATTAGCCCTTTAGTTCCATCGCATCATGTAATGAGTCTTCACCGAACCAAATAATTGCTTTCATAGGTTTAGCTACATAGTATAACGTCTTAATGCTACTATGTATATCCACCGATAGAGATTCTATACATGTACATGATAAGCCTGCTTTATAGGACGCCAACTAAGTCATTTCTGCCAATGAGCAGCTAACTTTTGGAAATGGCGGGATAGCGGGACAAAGCTTTGGACCCCACCAAACGGGAAAAAAAGAGAAATGCCCGGTTATCCGACGTCACACCCTTCCACCTGCAACTCAGCTGCTGGCGCCATCGCTCCTAATTACGAATTGGGGGCTTATACATATACAGAAGACGGTCACCCAAAAAAATATTTAATAACGAACTACCATCTCAAGTCTTCTATCCCTTTCTTTAGTTTACGTTTACGTAAAGCATTCAGATATATCAAATTCTAATCTAACCTCACATTGCGGATTTAAACACCGTTGAAAATGAGAGCATACTTGTACGATAACGCTCCTGTAAGTCATCAGAAAAAAAAAGGTGCCCCTCATCACATCATTGCGGCATGTTTTCGCGAAAGCGCTCACTCGCATAGTTCAACAAACTGCTGTGAACTTACGATATAACACAACTACGTGATACTGACAACAAAACAGGGCGACCAGCGATTACCGCACGACTCGGGTAAGGATGTAGATGCTGCGGCCTTGGAGAAATTGGGCGTGCTATACTTCCGGTACCCAGAGGTGTCGGCCGTCGATGAGCTGGCAAGCAAGCGCGGGTACAAGAACCGTGACGAAATCACAGTTTCCCCTGAGAAGATGGGCGATATATATGAGGAAAAGGTCAAGTCCTTCTTCCACGAGCACCTGCACGAGGATGAGGAGATTAGATACATCCGCGACGGTCAGGGGTATTTCGACGTGCGAAGCAAGGGCGACGAGTGGGTGCGCATCCAGCTTGAGAAGGACGACTTGATCATCCTGCCTCCGGGTATCTACCACAGGTTCACTACTGATGAGAGCAACGTATGTTTTATGCCTTCCCTAGTATACACATGTGTATGTATAGAGAAATCTAACATCCCATTTTAGTACATCCAAGCCATGCGCCTTTTCAAGGACGAACCCAAGTGGACGCCGCTGAACAGGTCCGGCGATCTAGATGAGAACCAGTTCCGCAAGGAGTACGTCTCGCAATACCTGAACTAAGTCAGGTGGTGGTGATGCAAAGGGTTACGAAGTTACGCATTCTACGGCTGATCTAGCGGATGTGGCGGTAGCAATACTCGAGTCTTGGACGTGCCGGTTCTTTTGTCGATAGAAGATCCCTTAACGATATCACGAATAAATAAATAAATAAAAATGAATGTTGCGTAATTCTAATTTCAGTACTTCATATTAAAAGACTTGAATCTTTTCTATGTCACGATGAATTCTCATATTAACCTGGGAGTAAAGTCTCACAAGAAACTACTTTTATAAAAATGCTCAAAATAGCACAAGCCTTGCGTACCTACATAGTTCAATAATCTCGGCAATGAGATTGCGGGGATTATTATTAAATAGTATACCCCAGCTGGAACCCCAACTTCTCTCCCTCCCAAAAGGGCCCCGTTAGGTGATGCCGTGCGCCTCGGAACAGACGAATGGGATCCGCAAAATGATGAGCTTACTCCTCAAACCGTAGTCAACCGATCATGGACTCTAGATCCGCGTCCGAAGTCGCTCACCCGTCGCCGGCGGCCAGCACCTCCGCCAGCGCGCCCAAGGGGAAATTGCTGCTCCCGGCTAGCTGCGAGCCCCCGCTGCCGAACGCGCCAAGGAAGCAGCTCGTATGGATTGTAAGTTAGCTATTCGTATCGCTAATTTAGAGCATTATGTATCTTTATATATATTTATATATCTACAGGAATAAGACTGATTGAATTGCAAATTAGGTCTTTGGCGGCACCGGCCATATGGGCCGCTCGCTGGTCAAATGCGCGCTGGCGCGGGGTGATCTTGTAACGGATGTAGGACGCACGTTTGAGAGCTCGCCTGAGGAGATGTCGGGACAGCATGAGAATTGTCTTGGCCTGCTGTGCGACGTGCGCGCGCGGCAGAGCGTAGCGCAAGTCATTGAGCGGACGCTGGACCATTTTGGCCGCATCGACGTGGTGGCTAACTGCTCAGGATACGGCGTGATTGGGGCATGCGAGGATCAGGATGAGCACGAGATTCGTAACCAGTTCGAGACCAACTTCATGGGTACTCTGCATATCATTCAGGCCACTCTTCCTTACTTCCGCCAGCAGAACGGCGGGCGCTATCTCATCTTCAGCTCTACCAGCGGAGCCCTGGGTGTACCTGGACTGGGCCCCTACTGCGCGACCAAGTACGCAGTAGAGGGCCTGATCGAAGCGATGCTCTATGAGATCGACTCGTTCAACGTGAAAGCTACACTAGTAGAGCCGGGATTAGTACGGCGCGACGAGCCGGATGCTGAGGTGAACCCGCTGCCAACATGGGGCCACTTCCTGATCAAGCAGCCAAGCGAGGCATACGGGCACTCGTCGTCGCCGGCGCTGCACGCGAAGCGCATGGTGCAATGGCTCGGGGACCGGCAGCCGACGAGCGCGGTCAAGTGCGCCGAGTTGGTATGGCAGCTAGCACACTGCTCGTATCCGCCCCTACGCCTCGTGCTCGGCAGCTACGCCATCGAAAGTATCCGGGACCGCCTAAGATCCGTCACAGAGGAGCTCGAGGACTGGAAACATCTTAACTATCCCGCGGCGCCTGAGACCGAGGCGGCGGCTGCTGCTTCGGCGGAGAAGAATGAGAAGGATGACGATACGGGGGATTCGAATGTTGAGATGCAGGATCATACTACTTAGGCTTGGGAACTTGGATTGCCTAGGTAGTTTTGGGCTGGAATGGGGGTTACGTGGGCATCTTGCGTTGCCACTGAGAATATAACACGAGCTACATAGAAAGCTCAAACACACTATTTGGCACGGGCGTGTTACTATATTGCTAGGTACTGAATTATAAAACTTGTTTGAGGATACCTATCACTGGATACAATACTTATTTGTCAATTTGAGTTTGTCTGAATAGGAGAGCCAGCCGCAAACATGTGGTTTGTTTGTAGAGGTAATGAACTGAAGCATATAATAATTTTGATAGATGATTAAATAAATTAAATAAATGCAGCAATATGTATCACTCGAGGCTTAACATTTAAATGAGAGGACCCTGATTGGCTTTGTGCAGCAGCATTAATGATTCTAAATTTACAACGCCAAGACAAAACTAAGATTGTATAGGTATGTATCGTATAAGCCTCACCTCGGACGCCACACTTGATAGAGTCTATGTAGCCGTGCATTTTATCTCGAGGTCTGTCTGCCTGCACGCGGTAAATTACCCTTGATTAAAGGGTAGTAAAAAATTCCCTGGCACGCGTCCGTAAGAAACCTCCGCTGAAGAATTTCTTTTTATGTTTCAGTTTAATACCTGACTTTTTTGTCTTTGAATTTTTGATTCACCCTACAAAAAGATACATACGCTACCTAGCTCTTTCCCGGTTTCGATTTGTTTTCTGCGGGACCCTTCAAATCTACAAAAGTACATACCTACATTTAGTCGCAATCTACGCGTTAATCGGCTCCACAGTTTCCGGGCGCAGCGCCGTTTGACAGATAGCCAACTCTTTTTCTCTTCCCCTGATTTTATTTTATTAGTTCTAGTCCTCCTCCGATCTTCCTCCTCGCCCTAGCCCTTCGAAGTTCGAACACCGCCATACTGAAGACAGAACACCAACTCCCCCCCCCCCCTCCTCTACCGTTCCGGTTTTCAAAAAGGCCAATACGGCTAGCTATATAACGTCGCAATCATGTCCGACAAGAAGAACGAAGACTATGCTATCCGCATGCCCGACTCGGGTTTGCGAAGCCCTTATGACGGCGGAGAGAAGGATCCCTTCATCCCGTCCCGCCCTGCGCGCGCCGCTTCCCAGCAGCAGCTCTCTTCCCAGATCGCCAAGATCGAGAATAACCCGACCGTCTCCATTCTTGCCTACTGTCTGTCCTCGATTAGTATGACCGTCGTCAACAAATACGTCGTGTCCGGCTCCGAATGGAACTTGAACTTCTTCTACCTCGCAGTCCAGGTACTTACTATACGACCACACTCACGATATATAAGACTTGGAATTTGCTAACTCCAGAACTCTAGTCCATTGTGTGTATAGTAACCATCGAGGTCTGCAAGCAATTGGGTTTAATCAAGACCCTTGCGCCTTTCGACGTAAACAAGGGAAAGCGATGTACGTGTTTTCCTTTCTCGTTGCCTTGAGACCCCTGTCTATCTATACATATATATATATATATATCCGTGTATATATACTAACTCAACCGTAGGGTTCCCCGTCTCTCTTCTCCTCGTCGGTATGATATATACGAGCACAAAGTCGCTACAGCTCCTGTCTGTTCCCGTCTACACCATCTTCAAGAATTTGACCACTATTGTTATCGCATATGGCGAGGTCCTATGGTTCGGAGGTAGTGTCACGCCTCTGGCACTCCTTTCGTTCGGTCTGATGGTCATGAGTTCCGTCATCGCCGCTTGGGCGGACACGCGCAGCGCTAGTCAAACTGCCGAGGCCGCTGAGGCTCTTGCGTCCCTGAACGCTGGATACGCTTGGATGGGTCTGAATGTTTTCTGCACTGCTTCCTATCTTCTGAGCATGCGTAAGGTCATCAAGAACATGAACTTCAAGGACTGGGATAGTAAGTTTTACTTATTGCGCTGCTAGCGGTTTGTTTGCAAAATATGCTAACTCAACACAGGCATGTTCTACAACAACTTCCTCACCATCCCCGTCCTAATCGTCTGCTCGCTTATCACCGAGGACTGGTCCAGCGAGAATTTGGCCAGGAACTTCCCCATCGAGTCCCGAAATGCTATTTTGATTGGCATGATATATTCGGGTATGGCTGCTATCTTCATCTCGTACTGCTCTGCGTGGTGCATCCGGGTTACATCCTCCACTACCTACTCCATGGTTGGAGCTCTCAACAAGCTCCCGCTCGCTGTCAGCGGTCTTATCTTCTTCTCCGCACCTGTCACCGTAGGCAGTGTTTCGGCCATCTTGATCGGGTTTATCAGTGGCCTTGTGTATGCTTGGGCCAAGGTGCGACAGTCGCAGCTAGCCAAGAACTCGCTGCCGACCACGCAGCCCACGATGAGCGCGAGCTCCCAGAGCAACCGCGACGCCGCTAACTCGTAGACGAGAGCGCAGTGCTTTCTGCGGGTTTCGCGGCGATGTTCCTGGCACCGACAGCATGGGCACTTTGAGCTAGTGCAATTCTAAACCGGGCGGCAAACACTGCAAGACAGTCAAGCAACACCACGCCGCCCGTGTCGGCCCACGTCACTGTATAATATCTATCCCATCCCATCCCTTTCGACTCGGTGGCGCCGGACGGACGGGCCGACGAATTTCTGGTATAGACTTTTTAACTTATAATGAGAAAACGGAGCTCTACGGATACGGGGAGGGAAAGTCATAGTCATTCATCATCATCATGTTTTTTTTCTGGACGGCGCAAGAACAGGAACGAAAACCCCTCGATCCCTCCCCTTTTTTTGTTGTCATGTCATGGTTGTTTTATTTGCAGGGGAGGTGTAGGCATCGTTCGTGTCGAGATGGGCGTTGCGTCCGTAGTCGCAGTTTAGATCTCGACTAGGCGGGAAATGCTATGCATATTGTTGAATTGGTGTTGAGGGGTGAAGGGCAGAGAAGGGGGAAAGGGGAGAAAGAGAGAGCATGTCACATACAATACATATGCGTACGATCGTACGAGCTGGTCTATCTGAGCAGTCGTAATGTAGGCATTGCCAGGGTAGTCATAGATAATGCGATGAGGCTAAGATAGAAACGACTACCTTAATGACTATCTAATCTACCTTATATTCCGGGTTACAATTTGTGTGTGGTTGAGTTAATGTTTTGATCCTATTGATTTGTCTTGCCAGATAACCTCCATTTCCTCCCTATAACCTCGCCTACCCTCATTGATGTATCCAATAGACCTTCCTCTTTTCTACGCTCACTTTTCATCCTAAAATAAAGGCTCCGTCGATTTTCAGTCTTATTTCTTACCTACCTACCTACCTACCTACCTACCTACCTACCTAGGTAGTAAAGAAGGGTTTCCAACCTATCCAGGCCCTTAACACGGTCGTACCTTTGTCGTAGTAGCCCATGAAACCATACCCTCTTCCTCCATTTACCCAGTTAGCTATACCAAGGGACCAATTTTGATACTCCTCGTTAGTATCGAGCCGTCGGTCACCACCATTCCTATTCCGCCGCCTGGATACTGCGCGTCGCGTGCCGAGAGCTCGGTTTTGCCAACTCGGGCATGCAACAAGTCGCCTGACACTTTGAAAGTCACGCTATACTGTATATCGTACTGCCAGTCGAAATCCACGCTAGCTAATTCAACGCGCTCGTAATCGAGAGCTTTGACTAGCGCTATGCGGTTTTTTGAACTGTTAATATCGACGCTGCCCTTATGGAAGAGCAGCGCGTAGTATCTATTCAGCCCTCGTACCCGCACAGCAACACCGGCCGGCCCGCCCATGTTGACAGTGAAGTCCCTGAATATGGCCCTGTAATTTGTCCAGTCTCGCGTGCCGTAGCTGACGATGCCTTCACCTTGGTCCTGGGCTACCACAAACGTGCCGCTAGAAATGTCGAACACGTCGGCGCCATTGACAAAGGACCGCTTGTAGAAGGTCCGGGGCCCATCCCGGTCTTCACCTGGTTCAAGGACGAGGGCTGGAGTGCCGTCCCATCGTAGATAGTCTAGCCATATAACCCCGGAACCGCCGTTCCCGGTGCATATAGCTACACCCACAGCCTGAACCGGTCGGCAGCCTAAACTCGCCGGAACCCTCCATTGCAAAACCTGAGGATCAGCTTTATTTAGTTCGATATAATCGCTAGAAAGGTCCACGAGATTATCCTCGTGCGTATAAGCCCTTAGAATTAGTTTTGCCGATATGCCACAACGCTGATCAGGATTAGAAGAGGGTTTCAGTGAGGCGCTGAGAACTTGTCCGGGATATACTAGCGGTGAGGCGGTTAGCCCGTAGATACTCATTTGACGATCGCTCGGCGGAACGAAAGTATCTGTCAGAATTACTACCTCTTTTGTCTGATAAATGAAAATTCTTAGGCTAGAGCTTTTGCCCCTGGTGATGGCGTTCCTGGTGTTTCTTCCCTGCCCTTTTCCGCCATGATCATGAACATAGAACCCCTGAACCCCCCCTGGTAGGCTAAAGTGAAACTGCGCGCCTTGTTTCGGGGGTGCAAGAGCTTCTTCTCCTGCGAGCTTCCGGCCCATGTTTACAATGTCGTAAGCGATATTCGAGGCGTTATTGATAGAGTACCCGCCGTCTGCGCTCGAGATCAGAGCACGATCAGCTAACGGTCCTCGCCAGTCATAATTTTCGGAATCAAACGCCGCCAGCCCGTGCATGATAGCAACCAGACATCCAACGTTTCCCGAGTTACAATCCGTATCCCAACCGCATGTATTCACAATATGCATGGCTTCGGCGAAGTCATGCCCTCCGTATATTAACGACATGATCATGATACCGTGGTTGGGTACCACGTGGCAGAATCCTGTAAACTTGTCGTACCCGTATTTCTTCTCAATTTTTCGTCGCGTGTACATCCAATCGTCGTCGTCCTCGCACCACGCACGCACGTCTTCAACTAATGCGGCTATAAGCGAGTCTGAGGGTACGAAGCTGAGTCCGGTATCTAATAGATGATTCACGTCCTTGGAGAAAAAAGCTTCAGCCTCCATGGCAGCCCAGAGCTGCGCTGCGTATACGGCCTCTCCATCGTGGCTCACCGAGCCTGCTGCTCCTGCGAGCCGAGCGGCTAAAGCTGGCTCTCCCGGTGCCGTCATGGCAAATCCATCAATAAATATCTGAGCGCCGATCTGCTGGGCGATCGTACGGCCGTTTGTCTGTATCGAGCCGCTGTGGGGTGCCTTGATTCCCTTTCGTAGGTTTAAGAAGGCCGTATGCTCAGTCGACACACCGTTGCCGCCCCACCAAAAGACTGTGCGGTCTTTGATCACATTATTGAGCCACGTCTTTCCGATCTGTTCAGCGGTAATAGGATCCTCTTGTGTGGTAATAAGGGCGCTAGAGGATCTAGAACTTTTAGAGGTTTCTGATGTTTCTAGGGCTTCTGTGATTTGCATCTTGTCTCCGTTCTCATCGTCGTTTTCCTGATGTTGAATAGGGTCATGATTGCGAGTATAATGTTCCTCTAGCGCCCTTACGAATGTAAAGGTGCCGGAGATGTCGTCATCCGTGACGACTATAGGGAGATTTAGTTTTTCGTTGACATAGTACCGGACATGTCCCAGCTCGGCGAGGATACGCTGATGTGTCCATCCCTCGAACGGGCGACCCATGTATACCCCGATCAGCTTGCCAAGGACACCGGCATAGACCTTTTTAAGGTAGTCTCTTGGAAGAGACGGTATAGTCTCTTCTACTATCTCGTGCTTTTCTTCTTCCTGTTCCTCCTTCATGATCAGGTTCTTGAGGATATGAGAAAGAGAGAGAGAAAGAGAGAGAGAGAGAGAGAGAAGTAGGAGACAGACGGAAAGGAAGGGGAAGGGTAAAAGAAGTGGAGGGAGGAGACAAGGGAAATATAGACGCGTAGATGCTTATAATAGGTACTGTATATGCATCCATACAAGGTATGTACCTATGTACTATTTCGTGTGCCGGCGCCTTCGTTACACGAATTAGGCACCTACCCGGCTATTATATTGTAGAAGCATGGAATTGGTCTTGTGTTACAAAAGTGCGTTGTTGATTTAGGTACCTCAAGGACTACGGGACTGCCTCTGTTTATATATCTAACATGGTGCCTCGTTCCTGCCCTTAATACTTTGTTTATAGCAACTGCCCCGTAACTGCCTGCAACTGTCTTTTACCTTGTCGCTAGTTAGATGACGCGGATCACCTAGCAACAAGAAGTGATATTATGGAAGGAAATATCTGAGATATGATATATCAACTAAGATCCGTTTGAGAAGGAAGTGTATACTGTTAAAACGGAAGGTGTTATTGGCTGTCACACAAAAAATGACGTCGTACCTATCCCATCGCTTCCCAAGGGAAATCTACGATCTAATCCACAACAACTAAAATGAAGTCGTAAATAAGCCCGATTTACATAAAATACTTTCATCTTATACGCTAAAGACGTGCAGTATTTTAGGACTCATGCCTGTATCCTAATAGAGTCCATCTATTTCAGTAAGCCTCCGAGTTTATTTAAGCACATTTGGTAAGACGATCGGCGAAGAGATGGAATAAAAGAATTTGTTTTTGTAAATCCATGCTACCTTACAGATTTACCGCCAAGTGTACATGGCCGTACCAGAAACCCCCCAAAACGCCGTTGATGCATGCCGTCGATACAAGTCCCATGAATCTTTTGCTCTCTTGCTTTTGATCCACCGGCGCGCATTATCATGTCTAATTTAATGGGTATCCATTGTTAATCGTCATGTCTCACCATCACGCGACTCCTATCTCGCGACGGCTGCGGTGAGCACCTGTGTACGGAAGAAACCTCCCTTGGTGCGTTCGATGACTTGCTGGTAAACAGAGCTTGGGGGGTGGTTCATAACGACTGTGCCCTCCTTGTAATCAATCTTCGCGTCGACTCTGGTATCGCGGATAAGATTCACGATCCACTTCTCACCCTCATCCTCGCCGAGACCTAGACGTGCGCTTAGGTCCTTAATATCGATGCGAGCATGGATCTTGCAGTAGCTCTCAGAGATAAGGTGTCGCGCAGAGTCAACAAAGGCATCGGCGGTGGAGAATAGGAAGAAGTCGGAGCGCAGGATCTCCTCAGCGAGGGAAAGCTGCCGTTGTGCTTCCTCGAAGTCGAAGTCGATGTAGAGCGCCCGCACAAAGTCGGTAACGGGATCGCTGTACTCGTACGCCTCCTGCTTAACTATGCGGATGATATCCTTTAGCTGCTTCTGGTACTGGCCAGAGTTCCGAGCACGACTGCGACCTGTGATGACGGCAGCGGTGAGGTAACGAAGGATCCAGGGACAGCTGGTCTGGATAGTGTTGATGAAAGCAGGGCTGAAGAACAGATCCAGAATCGTGTCGCGAGTGCGATCGTCATTGAAGAGAGGAAACAACGCCCAGTGAATAAGCCAGGTACGTTGGCTTAGTTGGGCCAAGGGGTTGTTAAAAAGCTTGGTGTCAATGTTCTCCTTAACCTTGTTCAGTTCCTCCACGCTACCCTCCCAGTTTGTAGTAAGAATCTCGGATGCGAGCTTTCCCCACGTCGCGGCAGCCACCTTATCATTGTCGGTAGAAAGCACACGGAACTGGTATAAAAGATCAGCGGCGGCGGCATAGTTACCACAGCTGTACTGGAAGTTGCCAAAGTCGTAGAGCGCGTTGACCATTTCGATGGTGACCTAATATGAATTAGAACCGAGTAGAAATAAATAAGGGGGGGTTGGTTATGCATACATCGTGGTCCTTTTTTAGGAACTCAAGGTTAGCAACCTTGTCGCTGCGCAGGTTTCCGACAACATCTTCGCGGCCTAGTAAATCGACGAGCTTGCTGGTGCTCTCCTCGAACTGTTCCAGGCGCGAGATAACTTTTTGTCGCTTGTCGTTAAACTCTGCAGGTGGTTGATCTAGACCCTCGAGTTCTGCCTTAAGATTTCCGACGAAATCGGTCATGTTTGTGGTCTTAAGAAGTTCATATTTGGCTTTTGTAATAGCAAGAACCGCGGCATCATCAGCGTCTTCGGGGAGTTGGCCGGCTGCGAATTCGAGGAGGGGAAACACAAGATGACGGTCGAGGTGACCGATCAACTTGGGTAAAAGATCGTATTCGGCCATATTGACTGCGTATATTGTATATCGGAGTGTTTACGGCGGAAGGTTGACTTCGAAATATTGAGGCTGATAAAATTGGTTAAAAATTATCACCAATGCAATTGTTTGGAGGGGCAGCGAGTTATTCCTCAGGCCGCATGTGGCTTGGTTTGACGAGGGCTACAACGAATAATTCGGAAAAAGTGGATTGTGGGACACCTCATTCTTATCGATAAGACATAAGATATACTTATCTAAGTTAAATATGGGGTAATATTCGTACTTGCTCCAAGCTTTGATTAGCATGTACTCTCCGATATTTAACCGGGGTTCTAAGTTCTCTGATACAGTATTTGTTTTCTTTGCACTGTCCGTGATCTGATAATAGATATCACTAAAAAAGTTGAAGTGCTTTTTACGATTCACGATTCACGACTGTCTCAGTTGGCCTTCATCTTCTGTACAGGTGCCCATCCCAACCACGACCATGCTATTACCCAGAGCTTTACGGCGGCTCGCGGCCCCTTCAGTATTATTCTCAGCACCTCTGAAACGGTTCAACTTACCTATACGCGCACAATGGCTCTCATTGTCAGCTTCAACCTCGTCCGGCGAACTGTCGATCCCCTCCGAACCTATTCGCTCCGAACTAAAGAATCCTGTCTCCTCTACTACACAAACAGAACCAACAAAACCAACAGAACAAACGGAACAAACTGAGCCAAAGAAGCCAGCGCAATTACCATACTTCGTCGCCAGGAACAATCTCAATAATCTCGGCGTGTATCATAGGGTGAAGCGGGGTGGAAGTCTGAAGCTCACATTGGTAAAGAATGGAGAAGGAGATTTAAAGGCTTTGAAAAAAGACATCCAGGAGGCACTACAACTCAAAGATAGCGAAATATCTCTCAATAGTGTTACCGGGCACATTGTCATAAGGGTAGGTTTATAATATTCAAAGCTCATCATCTTTTCTTACTAATAGCCATCACTAGGGCCATATGAAGTTGCAGGTTTTCAACTTTCTCTATAGTATGGGTTTTTGAGGGGGCTGACAGAGTAGCGACGATATCTACACGGCGCCATGATGCCGGATTACTCTTCCCCGAGGAAGTAAGGTGAAGTAAAGATGGGAGGAGCCTGTATGAGTATACAAGCGGGGAGAAGAACCAGCCAGGCAGACAAAAGTTTGTCTTGAAGCAATAAGTCAAGTCAAGACTGCTCGTATTTAGGGACATCGGTTATATAGTATTCCGAAAGTCAACTCCTAACTACACATGTACATATATGTACAAAAAGTCACGAGCCATCAGATGGAAGCTCGTACATGCTTGTATCAGATTAAAAGAAAAAAGAAAACCAATTCACTCCCTATCTCCCTTTCTCATGATGACGGTACTGGATACTCCCTCGGCCCTTCGGTGCAATATAACACCACGATCGAAGTGTCACTAAGCCCTAGCTCCTGCTTCGCATCCGTACACGCTCTTCTAAGCGCAGCTAGAGTAGCAGCGCCACAAGGTCCAGCAAGTATACTCCGAGCCTCGAGTTCCTGCACCGCGTTATGCGCCTCCAAGTCTGTCACCACGATGCTCGCATCTACGCCATCTCTCAGTACAGGCCATGCAGTGGTAGATAGTGTACCGCAGTTCATCCCGCACATGATAGTATCTTCCGTCGGCACCGCAATGCTCTTGCCCACTTTAAGCGACTCCAGAAGACACGCTGCGGTTGTAGGCTCTACAGAGAGAACCTTTGCCGGGCCAAATTGTTTCCTCCGAGAGGCGCTTTTGAAGTGTGCTGTGACGGCCTCCCCTATAGATCCGGCGCCGACAGGGACGATCGCATGGGTGGCCGGCTTCCCGCCCGTCAACTCCAGGACCTGACGATCGGACTCCGTTAGCATCGTACTATATCCCTGAACGAAATACTCCGGGACAACATCGAATCCTTCCACACTAACATCCAGAATTAAAATCGCTTTATCGCTGGCTTCGGCTTCACGCTGCGCCACGGGTATCACATCATCGTAACTCCCATCCACTTCAATAATTTCGGCACCCTCGCTCCTGATCTTGTTCCGGGTCCGTTCATCCATATACTTAGGCACGAAAACCTTTGTTGGAATCCCCATGATTTTCGCGGCCATCCGTGATACAGCCCGGCCGCAGTTCCCTTCCGTGAGCGTCACGACCCGGACCCCTACCTCTCGGGCCTTGGCGCCTACATCTGCGAGGGGTGCGCTCCCGTCCGATACCGATAGCCCTAGATGCGATCCTACAGCGCGATATACGGCCCATGATGCGCCCAGGATCTTGAATGCTGGTAGACCGAACCGGTTGGATTCGTCCTTTAATAACACGTTCCCGAGTCCTAGCTCCGCTGCTAGGTCCGGTAGAGAATGTAGTCGCGTCTCGTTGTAGTCCGGCAGAGTCTTGTGGAATGCAAGGATTGTTGCCTCCTGGCTCCCGCCCTGCGCGCCGACGGAGTCATATACCCACTCCTGCGCCGAAGGATTCAGGTGGATGAACGGCGACATATTTGGATTATTGGTGGATAGTTTTCTCTTAACTTCTGAACTTGTAGTTTTTGTCTACATTTTTGAAGGCGCAGGGCAATAGGCCTCCTTTATTCTAGCTATGTTAACTATTGCGCCCTCGTAAAGTTTACTAATAATATAACAATAGTTCGTTTATTCCATGTGCCTAGATAGACCCCACGCCGACCTCGGATCCCGATGCGGTCCCTAGATATGGGGAATGCCGGTTATGTATTCTCGGACGTTGTATTGGCGGTGGAGACGAATGTAGCCTCTTTGAACCCCATCCTGCCATTGTACGTCTGCCAACCCGCTGGGAGTAATATTGAAATCCAATCCAAATCCCGAAACCTGCATATCGCGGAGTTGATTGTATTTGAAACCGGACCGCAATGCCCCGGCATTGCCACCGCCAGCTACTTGATAACGTTAATTAGTTTATGGATTTCTCGACCTATATGGCTTACTCTTTCCCTTAAGCGAAAAGTGTTTAGGATGAGATGACAAAGTTAAGAACGAATCTGAGAGGATTATGTGGTGATTTTAGAATAAATGTAATGAATTTAATCCGCGAGAAATATCATGGCGGGTATTGATGAACTATATTATATGCAAGCTAGGTACATAATTGATGCGAGCCCCTATTATTCAGACTCTAAATGGTTGGATATAGAAGGGTAGCCAGAATGCCATGCTATAAATCATGCGTGTATAGATTGAGATACCAGGATCTAGCTTCTAGTATATGGGTGTAATGGTAACATTTTCAACCAATTACCTTAATAAGGATAGGGGGGAAGGATGCCCTCCTTATATGGGTTTGCTATCTAGTAGATACCTTAAGGGGTAGCCTTATCGTTCCCTAAAATATCGTAAGACGTTGATTGATATTTCATATGAAGGTAACTAGGCACCTGAGTTCTTAGATAATTTACCTAGCTACGCTTACTATTTAGCTATATAGCTGGCAAAGAAAAATGTTGACCTTTAATCATTTTTCCGATTGAACGAATACAGTGAAAATAAATAGTTTATCTTGCTACACTTTGCTCCTGGATTGCATTGTAAAAATATCAACCCCCCCCTTTTTCCCCCTACGCTCTCAATGGTTTGAAGGGATAAAATCTTCCGTAAGTCTTTTAGACGCTTTTTCGACTAGGTAATGGTTTAACTATGCCGATAATTATATTGAGATATTTGTTACTTTATGGTTTCTTTTTAGGCGATGTAATGCCGAGCCCTAATAACCTTTTCCTGTTTATTTTACACGAGATTGCTACATAGACGACTGAAGTTCTTCTGTGCTGTTAAATGACAGGTATTAATGGTGTGAAGACACATATGCACACATTCTTCGTCAGGGAACGTCATGCTTGATCTGTAAACAAGCCCTTGGCTACTGCATCTCTAATCATATCATCTAGAAAGTAATAACCTACGTAGTGTCTTAGTAACTCATGTTCAGGATCACAAATATTGTAAAAGTGGAGAGATTTTGGCTTAAATACACTCTGGGAAAATGTTGCTAAACAGCTCACCTACTTGGCCATGGTTGAAAAACGTTAGTTTAAATGTGTTTCTCTCGGAGTGCTAAGAATGACACGATATTGGTAATTCACTGTGAACCATCAAACTATGAGATTCAAATCGTCTGGTCTACATCTGTGGCCTTAAGTCAATAATGTACGACACAGAGAACAATGTCGTAAGCTCTGAATCGCTACATGACACATTTAATGCCTTGGATCATAGTCATATGTAACTTAACAGTTCATTCTCTTCTTGGCCGGCTCCTCAACATCTATATAAACACTATGAGCCATCTCGATCTTTCGGGTTCTCCCTCGAATCTGTATCTATCAACCTGACCCTCAAGTTACTCACGACCCAACAGTATCCCATCACCCAAAATGTGTAGGTTTTAATACAATTGTTCTGGAAAGTTTGAAGATTCCGTGCTAATGGTTACTATATAGCGTCCCACGGCCACGGCAGTAAGAAGTCCAAGAAGCATTCTAAGGACAAAGACTCGTCAGACATGTATATGGAGCGTCGCCAATCAGATCGGAGCAATGCATATGTTGTCTACGAGCATGGTGTAGGCTCGGGGTCATCAGGATCCCACAGCCACTCCCATAGAAGTCACCATGGAAGCCACCACCGAAGCCACCACGGAGACTCTAGAGGAGCGAACAACCCGTTGGCAGAGCCGGTCACGTCAGCTCAACCACCGGCCCAACCAACTATACCTGAAACTATACCTGAAGAGCCGCCAGCCGAGCCGCAGCCTGCACCGATGAACGATCAAGCCAGTTTTACTGACCAATCTGGATATCAGACTGTCGTCCAACCAGTTTCCGGTGGTAGAGCAGTCCGCGTATCAGTAGGAACAGGGTATACAGCGAATGGAGTCGCGCCTCAAGCGGGTAACTACTACCCCCCTAGCCAAAACCCATTCGCAAATTATAACAACCCGGCAGGCTCCAGTCAAGCAACGGCCCAGGATCAAGCGAATTACTACCACACCAACCAAGCAGCCGGTCAGGATCAAGCGAATTACTACCACACTAACCAAGCAGCGGCTCAGGATCAAGCGAATTACTACTACACCAACCAAGCAGCCGGTCAAGATCCAGTAGATGGCGATGAAACCTATCAAGCAGCGGATCCGGAAACGACGGCTCAAGCGCCTGAAGGACAGAACTATCCGGAAGGGAATTCGGGGAATGTCAACGGCTTGGGATTCGGTTGGAGCCAACCTGACCCATCTGGCAGGCAATATCTTCATTATGAGAAGAAGCACCACAAGAAGCATCATCATCATCACCATCACCGCCACTAGTATGTTCCTCAACGTTTGACTATCATGTAGATTTTAGGGGCTGGTTATTTCTTCCCTGGTAGGTGAAGATGATCATTTACACCGAAGCTCTGGAGTTCGAGGCGTATGAAGCAGGAAATATCTTTATCGAGCTGCGCGCCGTTTGCGTTGATTTATGATTCATTTATATGAAATTAATAATAATCCCATTTCACAAATATTACGATCTAGTAGTCCCTTTGATAAGCTTGTACTTCCTAGTAGGTGTATTAAAACAAGAAAAAAGGTCATCTTTCGTGTTTCGCGCGAGGAATCGAGAAGTGACCTGTAAGGCCCTGTTGTTGTATAGATTCCCAGGGGCATCACTGGCTGTACTGGCGACTGGTAGTTGCTATGGGCATGACAGCCGTAATTGTAAGTGAAATTGTAACATAACCGTTTATTTTAATGCCGCCATTGAATATTAGAAGCTAAACTCACATGTCTTCATTCATTTAATCTTAATTATATATTTAATTATTTTCAATAACCTCCCATACATATCTACCTATTTGGAAAAGCTCTGATTCGAAATATTGTACCTACTAATCGAGGTCCCAAAACAGAGGGTTTGGAAAGATAATCTTGTGCTTCTCTTAATATTATGTATGTCATGGTATTAGTCACAGTTGCCAAAGTGTGATGTTCACACCTACTGGTCTACGTCTCCATGTTAATGAGGTACGCCCCTGAGAAAGGAAACACCATAAGATCAGGAGTGAATCATGAGCTACACAACACATCCAATTCTTCAAATTGTAATCATATGTGACATAGCAGTTGGTACCTCCTATGGGCTCTTCAGCCATTATAAAAATGCCGCAGCTCTCTTCGATTTGCTGCTTTCTCCATCAGACTTCTACTACCTAACCCGGCTCGAGTTTACGATTTGACACCATAATCAACCGACCAATATGTGTAAGTTCTACTCCCTATGCTAACTAGAAGGGTTAAACTGTTATATTAACGCAAACTATTTAGCTTCCCACGGCAATAACAGTAAGAAATCCAAGTCCTCCAAGGGCGACTCATGGAACGGTTTGTACCTGGAGCGTAAGAAATCGGACCGAGGCACTATTCATGTTCGCCGTCGTGATGCGGCTCCGGAGTCGTCGGAACCCCGTGGTCGTTCTCCCGGGAATTCTAGTGGCCGTCGTGAGAGTTATCGTGGAAGCCACCATAGTAGCCCTTCCAGAAGCAGCCGTAGTAGCCCTCTCGGAAGTCGCTATAGTAGCACTATCGGGAGTCGCTATAGTAGCACTATCGGAAGCCCCGATGTAAGCCCTCAAAGAAGCCAGCATGAAACTAGGTATACAGGCCAGTATGGAGACCAGCGTGGAAACCAGCATGGAAGCCAGTACGGGAACCAGTATGGAAATCAGTATGGAAGCTATGGAGGCCCGAACATCCCGCCTGCACAGCCGGTCATGCCAACTCAACCAACCATACCTGAAGAACCAGTTCCATTTCCTTCTGAACCGAGAGACCAGCAATCTGCACAAGCTGGATACAGAGTGGTAGAGATGCCAACGCCAGGAGGAAGACCATTACGAGTATCGGTTGCAACTGGATATACATCAAATGGGGTCGCGTATCAAGCAAATGGCTACTTACCCCCTAATGGAAACCCAAATGCAAACCAGTACCAAGCGGCCAGTAACAGCCAAGCGCCTGGCTGCAACAAAGACAACCCAGTAAATCAATACTACCGAGGAAACTGGTTTTAACCTGGTAGATATCTACAACCCCAATCCAGCGCTAGATCCGCCTACGGGATCGTCTAATAGCGGATAAGGGGGTGAGCACCGCCAGTGCGGAAACCATTATCATCACCATCATCATAGCCGCCACTGATATGGTCCTCAAGACTCAACTGGCATGGAGGATTTAGGGTGTGGTTGTTTTTCCTTCTTATGACTTGGTTATTCGTTTAGGAGATTGGGAGTTAGAGGCGCACCAAGCAGAAAGCATTTTTATCTAGCTACACGCTTTATGCTTTGATCTATAGCTGAATTCTACCATTTTTATCCCATAAGTTTCCTTCTAGTATGAACGTTCATTGTGATCGTGAAACCATCTAATATCAAGTACAGATATCATCAAATCCCCTCTGTTTAAGTTTGGCTTCTATCCCTTCTCATCTAACCTTCTTTCTCTAGATAATTTTTTCCATTCACCTTTAAAATACCCATAGATGATGTTAGACTCGGATTCTGTTTGTCGAGATTCCTGCTGAGGTAAAATAATTGCTTCTAGGTTGCCGCGTATGTGAAGTGTTCTATTCTAAATGGATATTCATCCAGGGACTTTCCCGTAGATGGCCAATTGACCCTGAGCAAGAAATCGCTGCAAGAGACCTGCTTCATTGGCTGGAAAAGCGAAGTCTCAAAGTCTGAAGGCATTGACCGATGCCAGTGTGGCTCCTCGCGCTGGTGGTCCTCACGCAACACCTCAAGCGTCACAAGCAAAGTGTGCAATGACTTCAATTCACCGATAGCGTTCCAAGCACAGTGCCATAGCGTATCCCCGGAGAGACTTTTCTCATCCCAACCTGGCCAACTCCTGCTGAAGGAATTGTTGAAATATACGTGTATCATGGTTCCGCGATTGAAGAGGGCCAGCGATAATCTAACATGGTGTAACATGTCGAGATGGTGGGGAATTATGGCCCGCGGAAAGGCAGAAACTGAAAACAAGTTGCTAAAATGAAGGACGTGGCTCTTATATAGAATATCGACTGATTCCAGGTATCTGTCTGCTGTTAGTATTTCGTAGATATGAACGAGGCTTTGAAAGTCATACATAGTGCAGCAAACGGCCAATAGGGCACTAACATGGCGCGTATTAGGAGAGGCTAATCGCTCCCTAATCGTATCTGGGTTCCAATTCATCCCTGTACTCCGAGACATTGGCATACTAATACAGCTCTCATGACCATCTATACCTGTTGCTGTTGGGTTCCGACAAAGCATGCTAATCAGCTTTTGCTCATAGATGAAGATATGAAGATCCCCGCATCCGAAAACGTATTCGTAAATCATGATACGAATCTCCGGGGCCAGTGCCGTTAAGAATAGCGAGTCGGTTTGAGGGATCGGTTTAAGAGTAGTAGTCAATGCTTGGGGCGTAGTGATTAGTAGTGACTTAGTTTCGTCCATGATTTAAGAAAAGGGGGGTTTCCCAGTCTTAATAGTGAGGCTTGTCTTGTTCAATAAAGAAGTTACAGCAGAGAGGCCTAACTACTTTCCCACGACGGATCAGGTTTGACTTTGAAAAATTGTGAAAAATAAATATAGGAAGAAGATTCTGATAATAGTATCGATTTCATAAAACTAAGCTGACACATTTTACAAAGACCTGTGAGAGCCTAGAGGAATACCTGGTAAACAATCACGTGACCCGTAGACTCACTCCCCCGCTGCACTTCCTTTTCCCGATTCGATTATTTTCGGATTATAGCATGTTTAGATGTAGTTTTAGTGACACTATCTTTATTATAAAGGCTTTTTAAATATTTTTGTACTTTAACATCTTTTGAGAATTTGGATATACGAGGGAAGTGTGTTAGCAAGATACTCCGAACGACCTCTAACATAGATTCATACTGCTAATACCTCGCGCGTTAACAGGATTATCGAGAACAGCCTGCTCTAAGACTAGCTCTAAGCTGAAACATGCCTGATTTTGGAAGATGTGTGGTTTTAGTTCAGCTTGAAAGTTGATTACTGAATTTGACTGTGGCTGTCTGATACTACAAAGAGCGGGCGAGGACTGCATTGACAACCTTCCAGGTAGAAATTGCATTCTTAGGTAGTCCGCGGAGACGTAGTAGGTAATTTCTCTCGCTGTATCCATAAACTGACATGCTTGCTTGAAAAGTGGGTGTTGGTCGGAAAATATATAACAGAGGGGCTCGTCCATAGTAGAAAACGCGACAATAAACTGGGTACTCGAACTGTAATTGTCCGTGTTACTATATCCTAGCAAAAAATAAGCGTTGATTCCTTGCCCTTGACTGAGAAAGAGATTCCTGTTATAGTCCCAGAGTTGTTGAGGAGCAGCCGCGAGAATCTGACAGGGAGCTTTTGAAAAGTTGGCACAGATGGCTCCTCGAAATCGATTCTCAACTGTTTCTGACTCAGAAGTACGAAGGTCTTTGCGGATATAAACGAGAGAATTATCACCGCGATACCGTCTCATTTGAGGTTCCGCTCTGAAGAGAGAGTGCGGCTTTGAGCGGACATAGCCATTGGCAGTCTTGGCTAGATACACGCCTACCCATCCATCGGCCCTATTCTTAGGCCAGTCATCCCTTTCGGAAACACCCAAGTCCCAGACGAGATCGTCAGTGGCACCAGGAACACTGATGAGAGCAGTCTCAATCCGAAGACCCTTATTCGTTATAGCAAACTCCGTGTCAATGATGGCATCTTTGATCCTCGGTTTTAAGTGGTGAGCGTGAGCAAATTCCCTGGGAGACCTGGCAAAGATACCTCGGTAGCTCTGTTGAATCAGACTTTCCGGGCCTAAACTCGGCGGTAAACCTGTCCACGCAAATAACGACAAGTCGCTGCTCTCTTTTGCGATCTCCTCTTGCAATCGCATGAAAGCCTTAGGACCTTCACCATATAACATTGGCATGCTGACACCAAATATGCCCAGTAGGCAATAAGCCTTATCCTCAACCCTAGTCGTCTCCCTCATCGATGCCCAAGACATGCGTCTTGCTACGGGAACCTCGAACATGGCTTGACTATCACACAAGACCGCGTAGTCGATTCTAGTGACACTAGCGAGGAAGGCGTTTAATTCGGGTTTACGACCCCTGAACTCCCACTTGGCATCATAAAATTCCGCTGCTCTAGGGGCAACTATCTCCTGGAGGGTCCAACCCCGAGTCAACCATCTGCAACGCGGGAAGTGATCCTCAAACGATGACCCGGGTGGGAGGTCAGAGAGGAACACGAAGCAAACGGCAGAATTCATATACCATTTAAACATGGAGTTGATTGCTTCGGACAACTCGGCACTGCTAGACTTGTCGATGCAGCAGGTATCGACCCAAGCATATCGCAAGTCGCGACTAGCAGCAAGTTGACATGTGCGTATTATCTTATCAAAGCCTCTCTTCTTGTATGCCTTGCCAGGGATTTGAAAATCTTGGAAAGATACCTCGTCATCCTCCCAGGCGTGCGACAATATTGCATATGTATATTCTTCTGGCTCATTGACGAACTCTAGCTGGTGAGTCCCGGTGTTTATTAGCCACATCCTCAGCTGAGCTTAGCTCATTTGGACGATACTAGCTTGCACATGAAATGCCGTAGTTGATCGTAACGATTGTTACGGTAAAATATAACCTAGAGCTGAGGAAAACGGCGGACTCTATTTTAGTCATCGATTACAGAGATTTGTTTCAAGCTGACGAGATAGATATAGCTGAGCTGCGCTGTTCCTGGTGCTCAAATGAGGCGGGCGCTAATTGGTGGGCGGCGTACTGTAGAGACATAGGGTATAAAATGACCGAATGCACTGTATCAGATATGCCAAGCCAAGTATTCCGTAGCTTGCTGTTCGTTGAGGGACATAGTATTCTGTAAATAAGGGACTTATGGGACCCACATAGGAGGTCCGTAATACCGGACGGAGGAGTCTTGTAGTCGTCAGAAACACCTCCGAATCCCGCCGGACCTTTCTGTTAGTTCTCTGCTCGCGACGCGACCCAGGGGTCATGAAGATGTTGGTTGTTATAGGCTATTCATCAGTATCATACTCTTGATGTACATAAGAATCAGCTCCACTCTCTCATTAGATGCATCTACGACCTTTAGACACGCTTACAAATCCTTAGAAAACATCCCGGATGGTTGCCTAGTCCTAGATGTCATTATACCATTTAGGACTTATTGAACATATGACTGAACATGCCTTAGAGAAGACGTAAATGTCCCAAACTATGCATTAGGCATGTAGAAATGCATAGTTATCGGATTTCTAAGTTCCCGGTTTAGTGAATAAATTTGAGAGGGGTTCTCACCCCTGAATTAATACCTAATTCCGAAGGCTCCATGACCCCATGGGTTTGTCACACGATAGGTTGGTTGGTTTTCGATATGGAGAATATCGCGGCTGCTTAAGTCGAGCCGACGCCGATAGGAATTATGCGGGCTAATTATTGTATTGTTATGTTACTGCGAGCGGGGGTAAAGAGATACTATAGGACGATGTATTCAACCAAACTCTCGTTTAGCTGGTGTTGAATATGCGTCTATGTGGAACTACGAATGGTTAATGCTTTACCTAATGAGCAGTGTACATGCGCAAAGATATTGACTACAGGTAGGGAGGCCTGGTACTCCTAACAAGAGACACACCCGGCAGGGATATATTAAAAATCCTGTACACGTCGTAAAGGAGCTGCCACTATGGCGAAATGTATAGAACCTAGGGTCTTCGGTCTCGCGTTTCGCCTTCTATTTATTGAGTCTTTTATTGCTCATAGATTTTGGCTCGCTCTGATCGGCTCGCGGGATGTTGCTGAACCGATGCGGGCAAAATGATTGATCTAGTAAATGTCTATATAAGATGTGATAGTCAGTCACTATGGCTGAAATTATCTTGAACATCTCATCACTTCATTAGTTTCACACAAAGCGGATTAACACCACTTAATTGACTCGACAGAATTAAATAATGGCTATTAAAACTATAAAACCCCGTATACTAATTGTTGGTGCCGGCCTCGGTGGACTTACACTAGCCCAGTCCTTGCGAAAGCAGGGCATTCCATTCGAGATTTTCGAACGAGACACAGATGCACACTCTCGATTCTTAGGATGGGCCCTTGGCGTACATACGTGAGTTTTTAGTTCCTTATTCCTTTTAAGCAGCCTATGAACAAACATAAGCCCAAGTTATGCCCATATAGCGTCCAAAATTGATTCTTACGAGACTAGCCATACTAACAAAGCTAACAGAATTCTCGATGATTTAGTTTCATCAATCCCCGACGGTCAGTATATGTCATCCTACTATTCTACGTCCTTGGACATCGGGAGTCTGTATACAATACTATGAGGTTGCGTTTCCGTCGACCCCAGTACCCGACCCTCAAGACCGTAGAGCCGAAACTTACTCACATTCAATATTGGGGTAGATTTACCGCCAATAAAGGAGAGTATAACTCACTTGTCCCCCCTGAAGCTCGAAGCGCAGATCGCTTTTTACTTCCACGGAAAGCACATCGCAGTACAATCTACTCCCGAGCAGCCCGTTATAAGAGCAAACAGACCTCGTTTTAGGGATTGGCTCTCTACTCATATCCCGATTCAATGGGGAAAGAGACCTACACGAGTAGAGCAAGTTCAAGACGAAATCCGACTCCACTTCGAGGACGGAACTACCGCCACCGGTGATATTCTCGTGGGGGCAGACGGAGTAAATAGCTTTGGTATGTGATATGTTCTGCAAAAGCCCTTATCATTAAATCCAAGAAACCTAGATCAGCTTACAGGAGATGAATAGTGCGCGAACACCTTCTTGGGGTCCCCAACAAGGAACTTCTCCGTCCCATTCCAAACTGTATGATCAGCGGCGAAACAACTTTGTCGGGAGAAGCATTCGAACGCCAGCTCTCTATCGCACATAGCTGCTATGTGGCAGGCGGCCCAGCTTCCAGCAATTATTTCCTATTCGTAGGCTTAAACCGAGTGAGCCCGGACGGAAAGTCCGGGCGTTACTATTGGTTCACAGCGGACAAAGATCCGTCCATTGCTAATGAAGACCACTGGAGTAAATCTGCTTCGCAGGCAGAGCTATACGATCACGTGGTTAATTTAACGAGCACTCTTGAGCCTAGGTTTTCCGAAGTCATTAGGTCGACCTCTGTGAGCGAGGTCAAAGCTAAACCTTTCATAATTCGCGATGCGGAAATTGAGCACTTGCCCGTTGGCAGAATAACTCTGCTTGGCGATGCGGCTCACCCAATGAGCCCATGTAAGCTCCCTGTCACCTAATACCCCCTTGGTCACAACAACTGCTAGGATTAATGGCTAACCCCAATCCCAAAGTCCGTGGTGAGGGCGGCGTACATGCCCTCCGTGACGCGCTAAACCTTTCAAAAGCCATCGGGCAGCTGAAGTCGAATGATACTAAGGAAATCGAGTCTCTCTTCGGCTCCTACCAGAAGGAAATGCTAGAACGAGGCGCACGCGCCGTCAGAGCCTCTAGAAGCCAGCATAGCCTTGAGACCATTGCTGATGGCCAGATAGTGGCATGGGGACAGACTCCTGTTGAAGTTCCGGATGAGACTATCACCATCGAGGCTTGCCTCGCTTGATAGATAAAAGGTGGAGGTACCCTGGGATAGGCCGTGACAATCTCTGGATGTCGATCACGTCCATTACATTAGAAAGATTCGGGATTCTCTTCTCAATTTTATCGCTAGAATATATTGCGTATACGAATATATATCTTGGGGATTTGTATATGTTTTGTCAATCTATATTCCACAGTTGATGGCAAGTCTTTTAAGTGATGTTGATCGAATTAAGCTCACCCATAATTACCTCATAACCTTAATAACGAGGCTATTTTTAGATTCTTTATTAGAATCTCGGGACGGCCCGGACAGTGTGGGGCCGGTCAAGTATACTTTTATCAGGGTCACTACGATTTCGATACTCTTAAGGATATAAAACACTTGCATCAAATGCAGTTTTCCAGATGGGTATTAGTGATATAAGATTCACAGTGATAAACTATAAAATGACACGTTTGAAGTGAGTTTGTAAGGTCAGTATCCCGAAAAGCAGACAAGAACAAGCTACCTATTACACGCTAGATACCCACAAGTCAGTAAAGGAATATTTTGCCAAATTTTCTACAATATTAATTTTCGCAAAGCTGCTAGATCTTTTATATGCTGGTTACCCAACTGTCGCAATCCAGTAATAGATGCATGTCTGGGATTGAGCAAGTGGCCGGCTTTGACCTTGATTACCTAAGGTACGTTCATGTCAAAAAGGAGGTTATAAGAGTTATCCGAGCGTTATGTATGCAGCCTTTCAACGATCAGACAATTATATGCCACTGTAACTCATAAATATATCATAGTAGATATAATAAAAGGAATAAGAATCACTAAGTGTCAAATCTATTAATTCACTTCTGAAGCTCTGCGTATGATATTTCAGGTATGCAGTTCTTTAGAAGAATTACCATAATCGTATGTTCGTTACGGCTGTAAGTAAGTGTACCCGGGATAACGCCACACTATTATTGGCCGAGATAATCACATCTATGTGTTCATGTTTGAGCTTCTACAGACTTGTATTCCGAACCAAGATAGACGACTACGTTAACCTTTACTCGTCATCCTGACGACAACAGTTTCGTAGGTACTACCCAAACTACCCTAGACGTGTTATTCCCACTACCAATCAAGCTGTTATTTCCTCCTTCCTATTTAGTTTAAAGCTTTGGAGTCTTGACGAAACTTGTTTCCTAACCACGCTACAGTAAGCGCACAATCTAGGCAGAGGAAGACATTCGCAAGTCAGGAGGCATCGTGGTCCGCTAGATACATTGAGAATACACGTAAATATATGCCGCTTCGGTATTTTTGCGTCGTGATACAGCGTGTTTCTTCTGTGATTGGCGTCCGCTAAATGGTTGGGCCGAAACGTTTCGTCGGCTAACAGGTAGGTACCTAGCTCAGCCTCTGGGATTAGGTGGTACGCGTGAATATTGATAAATGTAGTCAACACACTAATAAGTGTCCTATCGTGTGTATTGAAATTTAATATCTGACTGTTAAAATACAAGAATTTTGAGAATCAAGTTCTAGAATTCATCATCACCATAGAACTATGGCGCAAGGGAATTTATGAACGATTTGTTCAATGGGCATCAAAAGTAGCCACTAGACCTGATATACTGTACCACAGGTGTGGGTAGGACGTACGACACGTGTGGGTTGTACAATGTACGTTCGCAAGAGGTAGCCTACAAGGTCTTCGTGAGGCGTCGCCCATTCTAGATCTGGTTCCTTGATAGAGCTTAGGTGGACATGAATGGAGGAACTCGCGAGTCAGAGCTTTAAAGTCAATAAGCGTAATACATTCCCGGTATCAAAACGCGAACTCAGGTTTTTGTAGCATAGATTTCTTCACGCTTTCTGCAAGGTGCATATTATTTACTTATATGTGGATTTTACCCTTCCAATCATGGGAAGTAAAGTTGGCAACTGACTCAAGCCAAAAGACTTCTGCCTTGATTTTCTTTCCTCGGGAGCCCTCGGAGTGAACCAACAACGCAAAGTGTTTATCCTTAAGTTTGGCTCGCTTGGGCGCCATTGTTCTTTGGTAGCCGGTCTATTAGCCGGTTGCGCGTGGGCACAGCCATACGTGGAGGTAACATTGTATAAAAGAGATGCAGTCGGAGAAGGCTGAGGGGAATATAAATGTACGTAACCGAGAAACGATAAGTCGAGCCGAAAATCCTCAGCCGAAGAGACCGAGGCTGACCGAGCGCGAACACCAACATACAGGTGATAGACCGCATGCTGACCGTACCCGACCGTACCCATTAGCTGAAATGTAATAACTGGATAATTTCATAGTTACCCTATTAAGCATCTTGCGCCATGTAGATCATCAATAATATGGAGCCTAATGAGCCTCACTTCACCTCCAAGCTTTCGTCCCAGGCCGGTCGAAACGAAAATGTCACCCATGGTATTATATTGGTGCAAACGCACCCAACACTGGATGCCGGCTGTCGTTTTTGACCATCCGTTTGCATAAGAGTCATATGTCATACTTCCATATAGGGGGTGTGACGGCTACTCGCATCGTAGACAATGCGCTTCTCAAGCCATCAAAGATTCCGTAGACCCCAAATATCGGTATTGTGGTTTATCGCCGAGTTGGCTGTACGACGGTACAGCAGGCTGCCGACCAGTAATAGATGTCTCCAAATCTACCTAACATGCCACAAACAAGAGATGAGGAGAATTATGTACGTTTACTCATGTATGCTACCATCCTTTTTGACAGCTGGAACGCCACATGATTCGAAGCCTCGCTTCCTATTAATGCGTAACATGCCATGTATTTATTGTGCACCAACAACGTCCCCTCCAGCCAACGGCTGTCCACTCCAGCCATGCAGCTTTGCGAACAAAGACATTGTGCATTATCACACATTCGCAGAATCGCGGCAACTGTTGGCTCGTTTAGCCTCGAGCTCTCAGCCAGCGATGATGACATCGATAAGTAGACCGGCTTTTTGCGTTCAGTTCGGCCCGTAGCTGCTAGCCCATAGATTCGCCCTGCTCGATTCGCTTCTACTTAGGAAGTCCTACCCTAGGTAGAGTTGGACGAAATGCAGAGAGCGAGAACTATGGCGAAACTATGGTATTTCCTGCCTACCTACCCAGCCTTGTGGGCTTTCCGACAAACTTGGAAGAATAAACACTGAGGAGTAGGTAATATAAATGTCCCAGTGCCATATTCTGTCTTTCCATTTCTTTTGAGGGTCGGACAATATGGGCGTTGCAACTCCATTGACAATTCTCGCACAACAAACATCTGTCACGGGACTTAATGGTAGGGCAGAAGGTTTCCGTACCCTTACGATAACCCAGTCCTCTGAGACACACGTAACGGTAATTCCACTGGGTAATGGCCAACGATGGACTCAGACGAAAGCGAACGTGGCAGTCCTCGAGACAACGTCTTCCACACCAACCCCGGCGCCGACTAGTTCTAGTGGTAACTCTGCTGCCACTGCCCTTATAGTAATGGGAGTTATCCTTGCAATATCTCTTTCACTTCTCATAGTATACTTTTGTTGTTGTAAAAACCGCAAAGGTTACTCTAGCGAACGCAAGTCGCCGAAGAAGGGCTATTACAATCGTTATAATCATCTCAAGGTCATTCGTGGTCCACAAGGTCTACCAGGTCCACCGGGTCCACCGGGGGTTCCTGGACTTGCTGTAGGCTTTCCCCGTGTCATGTAATATTGGAAACTAGCTAATATCTCCCTTCTAATGGGCACTAGGGTGCTCCAGTAAGTCTTTCCTATCATATGGATAGATTTTAATTAGCAAACTAACATAGTTACCCTCTCCAATAGGGGCTTCCCGGTACCCAGGTAAGCTTTAGATGGCATTTGAAGAAGTTATAACAATATAATTGACTTAGAAACTTAGGGACCACCAGGTGATAGAGGTCCTGAGGTAACTCCTCTTCACTATATAGGCTACTTGTAGTGGACAAACTAATCACCCCGTTTCCATAGGGGCAATGCGGTAGCGAGGGCCCACAGGTAAGTCACCACTATAATATAAAGAAAGCGAAGTAGTTAATTGACGTGCTTTTAGGGTATTCCGGGTGAGAGAGGTCTTCAGGTGAGCCTCTACATGCTAGTACAACGATAGCACTTATTTAACAAACTAATAGGGCCCGATTGGTGAAAGGGGTCCCCGAGTAAGCTTCCAATACTATAGAAATAAACCACAGTCAACCGATTAACATGTTTAGGGTCTACCTGGGGATAGAGGCGACCGAGGCCCCCAAGTAAGGCGTCATTATCACGTTAACTAATATTCAAACTAACATCATTTCTTAAGGGCCCTATCGGTGATCCTGGTCTACGAGTAAGCCTCAGGAATCTCGTATACTGTTTGTGATATACTAACATGTGTATTTAGGGGACTGCCGGGGAACGAGGTCCCAATGGGGCGGTAGGACGTAAGAAATTTGCCTCGCTTATCAAAAACTTGAGAACTAGCTGCTTTCATAACGATATATCTACCTTTTTTTGATCCTTTATCATGTTGGGAGTAATGCTAATTTCCATAAAAGCACAAGGGATACAGGGTCCACCTGGTGAGTAGCTTTTGTCACTTATAATTACTGGAACTCACCCCAAAGGGTTCGAATTAAATTACGCCATCAGCAAAGTTTTCTAATGGCATGATTAGGTCGCGACGGTCGTGACGGCCGCGATGGAAGAGACGGTCGAGATGGTATTAATGGTCAGGATGGCGCTGATGGTCGAAATGGCACCGACGGCCAAGATGGTGCTAATGGGAGGGACGGAACAAATGGAATTGATGGGAGAGATGGCACAGACGGAAGAGATGGCATAGACGGAAGAGACGGAGCTGATGGAGCTGATGGCCGCGACGGTGTCGATGGCCAGGACGGAAGAGATGGCCAAGATGGCATCAATGGTATCGACGGTCGAGACGGTACGGATGGTCGCGATGGTATTGATGGTATTAATGGTACCGATGGCCGTGACGGTACTGACGGTCGTAATGGCGTTGATGGCCGGGATGGTCAGAACGGCGAGAGAGGTGAAAGAGGTGAGAGAGGCGAAATGGGTGAAAGGGGAGAGAGGGGATGGAGAGGAGACCGTGGGGATAGAGGAGAACAAGGAGAAAGGGGAGAAATAGGGGATATAGGAGAGAGGGGAGAGCAAGGAGAGCGAGGTGACAGAGGGGAAAGGGGTGAAAGAGGTGAGAGAGGGGAGCGAGGCGAGAGAGGGGAGCGAGGAGAAAGGGGAGAAAGAGGCTTCCAAAGTGAAATCAAGTAAAGACAAGCATCTCAACATCTTCACTATACCCGTCTGCTAACCCATGCACAGCATTCGAGCCTATCGCCGACGATCGCGAGATTCAGACGCCGGACGACGACATCATAACTGTTGCCGGCACTGTAGAAACCACTGCGGAGGTTTCTGCACGGGCCATTGCGGCGGAAGAGCCTACTGCGATGGACACTGCGGCTGTTTGTGTCGTTGCTGCCACTAAGAAGACGTATAGAGCGCTTATAAGAATGAACATTTTACTACTACTACTACTACTACTACTACTACTACAGGATAGACCGCTCGGTCTGGGTTGGAGGGATTTAGTGCACCATGGTATAATAGCGCGGCGGTACTTCGTATAGCATTCATTGATCACTCACATTGGGAAGGTTGGCCACATTTTGATATGTATTTTCATAGCTACAGGATCGAGAAATGGACACATGGAATAAGATATATATCTCACGCATCTGAATTCTTATTGTATCCTCCCTGGCACTGCTGGGCCTAGTAAACTTCGTTACTTCAAAGCTTTTACTCATAAAGTTTAACGGTCGCCATTCTGGTTACCGCCTTATTTTTCACCCTTTTTGATTCGTACCGTCGCCAGGAGGATACACGTCTGTGTTTCAGAGCATCACTGTTTCCTTGGAATTCCTTTTAAGGTATATAATATAATAGTCTGAGTTAGATGGAAACGTTAAGTTGTATACTTACCTACCTGGTGTGCGGGTATTCTTTTCTTAGATTAGGATAGATGATGGGCGTAAAATATTCGCATCATCCTCCACGACGTAATATGTACCATGAAATCAATACGGCATGTAGGACAGAGGTATCATCATCGTCTAAAAGCATGGTCTATTAAGCGCAATTACCACCATGCCTAATTGCGATTTCATAGGTGATCCCTAGAATTTGGCCAACTAACCTATGGCTTCCATTGCCCGGAGGCCTTATTAGGCCTGGAATAACCCTTCAACTCCATGAGAATGCATATCAACGTAAAGATGCCGATTTCTCGACCATGGAAAACGCCAAACAAGGGTGCCCTTTTGTTATGTACAGACTCTCCCTATATATTCAAGTGTATTATCTCCTAAACGTGGCGCTCTTGCCAGGCTTCTCTCCGTGCATTTTCCTCGCGGGTTTCGGACCATCGATAGTCATCCCATAAGGGTTAAATCTGGCTGCCTGGGGAGCGCTGTTGGCAGCTCTTGATGCATTCAGAACAGATTTTGCCTTGCTGTAATCGAAAGGCTCATCCTCGTCCTCTTCGTCTCCTCCTTTCCCTGATATTTCTGCTGCATCAGTGGATGCTTCTTTTTTGGCTCGCCTGGTTAACTTCTTTGCTTGTCGACGCTCCTCCTTGAGGGCCTCTTTACGAGCTTTCTTTTCAGCCTTCTTAGCCTTTCTCTCTCTTCTCTGCTCTTCGCTGTCATCTGAGTCGGGAACTGCAATTTCATCCGTATCAAGGAAAGCAGTCGAAGTAGACTTTGGTTTGGATGGTGTATCGTCCACCTCTCCCGACTCGGAATCCGATTCGATTTCAGGCGCTTTGCGCTTTAAACCAGCTTTGAGTGTAAACTCACTATCAGCTGCCTGGTTTTCTTCTAAGTGAATAATCGATTCTTCCATTTGAGCGACTGGTTCTTGTGCCGGCGTATCTATAACCTCCAGTACCTTACCCGACTTAATAAATTGGGCCCAGGGGAGTTCAAACTGCACGGCTCGGGTCTTGGCGGTAGATGACTCTTCCCATCGACTACTGATCGGAACCTTTCCCCATAATTTCGATATCTGAGAGACTACATCCTGGATTCCCGAGGCTCCTGCATCGTTACTTCGTAATTGGGGAAGGACTGATTTCGCGACTTCACCAATGCCCATCGTAGGTGGCGCATTGCTACGAATAACCTCAGTAACAGTGGGTCCATTCACTCCTTGCGCCTTAGCTTTACTAATAATCTTGAATAGGTTAAATGCCTCACGCTTGGCTATGTGGGATGTGGAATCAACGAGGCTATGAAGGGCCTTAGGATCTGGCGGAATACGTCTGGCTATGTCGAAAAGCGTCGCATTACTCATCACAAATAGTGAGCTTTCATCTTCGCGACGGGCCATCTCGTCCCGCCATTTGTGCACGGCTCGAAATACAGCGAATTGCTCTTTTGAAAACTTCCCGGCAGACTGTCTTATGAGTAGGTTATACCACCCAAAGGGACCCTGGCCATTTTCGGCATCATATGTGGACGTTTCATGCCGTCGTAAGGATGTTTCTTTAGACCTATCGAGAACTTGGTTCATCAGATTGTATCCTGATTCTTCTGCGGTTTGTTGCAGTAACTCGTTGCGCATCATATCGTAAATATAGAGTAGATAGTGGGTATCTGAGCGCGCGTAGTAGAACATTTCGTCAGGTATCGGGCTGTATTCTAGTCAGCAAGGCTTAAGTACGATATGTATATTAGAACCATGATCAATTCATACCGTATTCTCCAGTCAGCTAATTGATACTTCTTGTCTGCATCGAAGTCGACGAACTTTTTTAGCAGATATGCAAGGCTCCTACTAGGATATTGAAGGGCTACTGCGGCCTCGAATGTATCGAAGAGCCCCACGATATAGATACCACAGTCTCGCTGTAGCCAGATGATATCCATGTAGGCACCATGAAGCACCTATTATCGTTAGACACTTGGATGAGATTGGACGGGAGATTATAACTAACCTTGACGATCTTCGGATCGGCGAACACCTCGTTTAAAACCTCGAGTTTGTGACGCCATGGCTGAAGAGTATCGACAATCCAATCCTTCTCGCGCGTGCTGATCTGCATCAACGATAGTAGACCGCTGTATGTTCTGAAGTCATGGTGTTCCGCATCGACAGCAATTTCGGTAGCAGTTTTTAGTTCTTTAAGCATATCTAAAACGCCCTCAAAGGTATTGACGAAGGTAGCTGTTGTGGTTTCGACGGGTTGATATTTAATGGGTTCTCGCGCTTGGAAAACGGCTTCTGGGTATTGTAGCTTGTGAATTTCGGCCTCATAAGGATGCTTGTATCTAATTTTATTGTCAGCTTGCTGCATATGATGGACTTATTTTGATATTCTGCCCCGAAAGAGTAAGACACGTACTGAGTTGCCTGATTATCGTCGACGAAAGTCCCTAGGCTCTTTTCGAGAGAGATAAGCGCATGCGGTTTCGCGGTGAGTATCGGCTTCCAGGGCAATGGGTCGAGATTGTTTGGTTTTAGTTCGAATGCATTCTGAGGTTTGATAATATTCGCGCGGCGAAGAGAGTTATCCAGTGTAGTCGATCTTGATTTCTTTTGTGGCGGCCCTGGCTGTTCGGTTGGTGCGGTCTTCCTCTTGATTACACCGGTGTACTCATCCAAGCAAGTATCTGCCTTTTCTAGCAGTGTGTCTATCACGTCGATAATGCGCGACCAATGAACATCAACATCGTCGCTATCCTCAAGAGCCGGGCCTTTCAGATCGGTACCCTTGGTTGCAGATGAAAGGAGCGATGTGGCTAGCGAGAGAAGGCGCGAGGACGTATCATCTAATTGTTCTTCAACATCCGGATTGCTTGTTCGTTGGAAGCTGATATCTTCGGCGGCAATCTGGTTGGTCAACCTAGTAGTGGCTACGAGAGCTGTTTGTATATTCTCCTGTACGGACTTGAAATCTTGAGGGGGGTCCATGGTCGCTGCTTAAGTGCTGCTTTTTGCTAGCGACAGGGAACCTGACGATAAAGAGTTGACGATGTTTAGGGATTAAAATGCGCTGGACCAATTCAAAAAATTCTAGCGCATAGGCCTAAGTGCTTATCGATAATGCATATGACTGGCGGAATTCCCGTTGCGGGGATGTACCTACCTAAATGTCACACATCCTACACGACCTTACTGCATGCGCTAAGATAGCGATAACCGTATTCTATACATCCTGGCATTAGCTGCAGCTGTCACCATCTTCACTCATCTCTTACTTTTTGATGGTATTTACTCTGTATATTACGAATCACGTGTTAGCGTTAATATACCAATATGTCTGCCTCTCTTGCGCCAGAGTGTAACGAAGTAAAGGAGTGAGTTACATATCCTAATAACTACAAATTTTATCAAAGCTGATGGCTGTAGGCGATACGACACTTGCTTTCTTAAGTGGTATAGCGAGAGTATGTGTGGAATTAGTATTCTATCTTTCTTGGTTCTGTCTAACAATCCCCAGAATACCTGCGAGGCAATGGTAAAGCGGACGACAATGAGTGCGCTAAGCATTTTAAAGATTATCAAAAATGTCTCCAGGTTGGTAACAAAACATTAAGCCCTTAGTTGAACCTATCGGAGGGATCCTCTGATTTTAGGATATAGGCCTATCACTAACTAGATACTAATGAATGAATGTACTTTTATAGGTCGCTCTTAAAGAACGAGGTATAGATAAGCTCCTGGACGAAGCAAGAGAAGATAGCAAAGAAGGCGATGCTCTTCATATGAAAAGGAAATGACGAAACCCGAGAGACGATTAACTGGGCCGCAGAAAGTGCCGAGTTTCCGAACTGCTCCATTAGAAATGGATAGGTCATTAGACTACGTACACCTAGAAGCTGAAATGCTTGAGCTGACTGCAGATGAGCCGTGGGTCGTTGGCTATATGAGATGGTCTCAGCCAGCCAGCCAATGTTATCCTTCTAAATCAACCCCGCGGTTCTTTGCTCGGCTTTTACCAACCGAGCTCAGCCTCACCGTGCCTTAGCTAAAGTGAGGATCGCTAGCAAAATAATAAGACCAAGAGGTGAAAGGAAATGCAGGGCAGGGCTATTACAGCGAAGCGACGTAACCGTAATATCTTGGCGGGTTATTAGTGTATGTACAGAGGAGGTAGCTTAGGAAAATGGGGGATCGGGGTAAGAGCTCGTATTCAGTACCCTTACCTACCTAGGTACCAAGATAACCCAGCTCCAACTATTTAAAATGTGTTAAGGCCCCTCTTGATTATCTTTACTGATTTCTCCCATCTTGTGTAAGCTCTTTGCTTTCCGTGAGTATAATATTTTTGAAGTCAAGGCTTACACAACACGTTAAGTTAATACCTTGGAAGTGGTAGGTTGAAATATTGAGCGACAATGTGTTATTATAACGTTTTACATACCGTATATAATAAACTCAACTTATTCGAACCCCATTTTTTGACATGAAAATGAGTCCAAGGTCATTGTCCAATTGTGAGGTTGTTTAGATAGGCAAGTATCGATGGGGCTGAATCGGTTTTTTTGGGTTGTCAAATAGTGGATCGGCGGATCGGAGCTTTGCAGAGCACTCGGGTCGGCCTCGACGTCAGAAGGGTGATCGCAACCCAGCTAATTTTCTATCGATAACCTAAAAGTACACGCAACATTGAATACGCAATGCAACCCTGCAAGTCTAAACTGCAAGGGGCAGCAACAAACATCTTCAACATTCAAGCTCGAAAGCTCAGCCGCCTTTAACCAATCCTCTCTCATTAAACCTCGTCGCTCGTTATATGTGTCGAGCCGGTTCACGGGTAGTAACTTAGAATACGAAGGACTAAGAAAACAACCTTGTGCGACAAATATTGACAAAGCTAGCGCAGACCCAACATCGCCATTGCCGACTGTGACTTCACTCGAGACGACCGGATAACGACCGACATTATTCGAGATAAAGGCAGTCAAAGCTATATTGCCGTAGGAGAGATTTCTGACTTGGAGGATTCATAACTACAAGGGTCTCCTTTACCTCCCAGCGCGAATATCCAGGAAAATACCAAGATTATAGGCGATGCGACCCGAATAACATTCGTTTCCGACTTCCTACATGCACCCTTTTTCCATCCTCACCCTTGCGATCTTCGTAGCTGGCTACATCACTGCTCGATGGGATCTGGTTACTCGGCTCTACGAATTGGCCGTTTTTGCCTGGGATAAAGGTGTTATTGTGAGTAGATGTCCTAATTGCCCACTACATTTGAGAAATAGGAGGCATGGATATCTAGTGAGAGGAATACAAAAAGGAGGAATATTTATCTAATGCTTGACCACCCTATATCTAGGCCCGCGTCACCCAGGGATTTGCTCTCTTGAGTTTCGCATTTGTCCTCATATTTATACCCGTGCAACACATTGCTCGAATAGAGGTCGATCTGGTATTGTTGCAACTTTCTTCCTAGTTCCGAGTTCAACTTAACTAATAAACAATTTGTAGCATCCGCGATCGCCTAGTCTTGGAATATCTGCTCGAGAACAACTTCGGCGCAGAGGCTCCTTCTAAGTGGAGTGCTCTGACGCTGGTCACCTGGTCATGCCAGAGCATGATGGACTGATGAGGGTATTTTGGCCGATCGACATCCCTACGTCTGATGCCCCCGGTGTTATTGTCGGCTGGAGGAACTCGAACCTCGATGTTGTTGTTATCGCTGTCTTGGACCATGTCGACGTGAGCTATTTGACCCTAGTTGTACTGCGGTTCTCTATTAACGCTATTATATCTTAGCCAAGAAGTGTCGAGAACGCACTGAAGACCGGCATTCTATTGAGGAGTGCGCCTCATCCTATACCCCGTATATTCGAGCTTTGTGGACAGTCGTCTATGCATGTTATCGGTACTACAAACCGCGAATCTAATATCGAGCCAGACTCCTCATGGGTGCGCGCCATCGTTGGACCGTCCCATCAAGTGCCCAAGATCGCCTGTACGAGAGCATCAAGCATTCAGATCGTTCTATTCGAGAGGCCAATTCCGCTTCGCATGCAATATATCTCCTTGAACCCGATTGCACTCTCGCTTGCTGACAAAGAGGATCATGCATCGCATCATACGTCCGATAGTTCCGAGGCTGAGGAAGAAAAACAGGAACGAAGGAACAAGCATAAAAAACGTCTCCTAGTAGATAAGTTAAGGAACCATTCCGTAGTAAAGCATACTCCTTCACTAAAGGATAGGGCTCTTGAGAGAATTGTCAATCAAATCAACTGGTCATGGGAGTTGGAGCATTTGCTGCAGAAAAACGTGCCACTTATTGGCACCAGGCCGAAGCGTACTCTCAGCGTCTCTGAGCGAGTGGTAGAACAGGCGGCGAACATGAGGGATTACATAGTCCTTTGGATATGGGACATGGTTATTCTCTACGCATTTCCTATAATACGTAGGGCCTTTGTGCTTCTTCTTCTTGGCCACCGATGTGCAGCCGAAGCTCTATTACTTATATTAGAATGGAGGGCTCGACCAAACTCGCCTGCCCTCAAGGACGTGTCTGCAACAGCTCAGCAAGTGGAAATACGTCTCCAACAATTCTGCTATTGGCCCATGCAGTATGTCAAACTCCGTCTACGAAAAAATGACTGGGCCAGTGTCACGACCAGTCACCCAGATTACATACGCTTTTATAACAGTCTATGGCTCGTGGCCAACGATGTCATTATCGGCATCGCCCTCGGTTCATACATCATCGACAACGCCGAGTGGGTGGCTGACACGATAAGCATGCTTCTGGGCAGTTATACTATCGACCTGCTACGGACTAGTATTTCTTGGCTCATGGGCTGGCCTGCTGGTCTGAAACTGAATAGCGAGTTGGCCTTGTTTTTGGGCGACTTGTTCCTTTGGGTTATTGATTACTGGTCTAGTTGCATCAGCACTTTAGAGCCCTTACTGCCTCACATGGTCTGGTTCATTGGGTTTTCTAGCTTTGCTGGAGCTAGTATGCCTATTGCGCTTTTTTCCGATCTGCTCTCGGCCCTTACGATTCATATTTACTCGTTTTATCTTGCCTCAGCACGTATCTTCCACTGGCAGTTAACGATTTTGCTTTCCCTTTTCCAGTTATTTCGAGGCAAGAAGTATAACGTATTGCGAAATCGTGTCGATGCATGCGATTACGATCTCGACCAGCTTCTCGTCGGCACCATCTTATTTACGCTCCTCTTCTTTCTACTGCCAACCGTTGTTGTGTTCTACCTTAACTTTGCCCTAGCGCGCATGGTCATCATATCGTTCAAGGCCATCTTCGACACACTGCTCTCTTGTTTAAATCATTTTCCATTGTTCGCGTTGATGCTAAGGGGTAAAGATCCTCGGCGTCTCCCAGGTAAGTTCTATGAGAATATTTGCCTACCATGCAACTTTGTAGCTAATCTCAACATAGGCGGCATTCGTTTTGAACTTCGTGATACCCCATATAGACTTAGTGTTAATTGTACATCGACTCTACCTTCCCTCTCGCAACCCACCTCCATTATTTATGTAAAGGTTGGTTATATGCTAATTGTTTCGCTGTGATGGATAATCAACTAACATGATACAGCCTATACCTCTCGCGTTTACAGCCATGTTTCATCAATACTTCCAGATGGGCAGCCGTATTCGCAAACACTACTTATCACCTCGAGTGTTATTCTGTCTCTTTACGGGCCGTTTTGTTCCACCGATTCATAGGAAAGCCCTCTACTCTTTACAATATAGTATGCTCCCGGCGCGTAGGGCGGGTATCATGGAGATGTGGGAAGCACTAAATTCGTTACCGGCAAAGAAGCGACCTGTAAATGTATACGCATATACATTCGCCTCTACCGCAATCGTGGACGGACGACGGCATATGAATGGACGTGCGGGAAGAGGTTTCAATAAGGAATATGATTAATGAGACATTTGGCGCTTGGGCAATATAGACAGTAGATGACGATGACGGATCATGACATTCTGTATAAGAGAGTAGGACGTGAAGCAGCTCTTTGAATGTACCTATATGACGATTTTTCGGTGCTACGATACACAAATTCGACGTGAACAGATTGCGTACTGTGAGTTATCAGTTTATAAACTAAGGCAGTAAGCCTATACGGCGCCGATACCCGGTGACGCGATATTAGGCACTTATTGCTACTACCTATGCAAAAGAGTGCTATGCTGGCTTCACTTGTAATGCTGTAATTGAAACTGCTGACTTGCAAGTGAGGCTCGGTGCAACGGTGCTGTAATTACAGAGATTGTTGGTTCGCCATCTGGGGAATGGTGATTTATGAGTCAATTCATATATGTTAGGTACTGGTAGTCGTGTACGATCCACAGTGAACCAGCTCCTGGACTCGTTTGCCATTGAGCTGGATATGCGTCAATCAAAGCAGCACTTTCGACCGACCTGCCGACGTAAATAATAATATGTAGGTCATTTATGGGACCCCTACATCTGTACCCTTGGCATGTAGTATTCCGCGCATAGGGCCTCAATGGAGTTAGGTACCTCTTTGATACACTGCATCTAACGATTGCGTATCCTCTTTTACCCCGTGCTGTTGGTTTAGAGGTGCCACGTCGGGTTTTTAGGGGACATGGAGTGAATTGGAAGTGTTTCGAGATGTTAATTGAGCAACGTTTCTAATGATGTTCCTGATTGGTGAGAAACTTAGATACCCCCACCTATCAGTAACTGGTACATTACATAGGTACGTACATGTAGGTATTGATAAGTCACGTGAACTGAATGTGATATTCCACCAGGCAGCTAGGGTAGGGCAGGTGGTACCGTGCGGTATCAACCGGCTTAGACCTGCATCTTCCCGTCGCGCAGAACCAACTGTAACTTGTAACTCAAGCCAATATCAACTACAAACGCCACCAAGAATCGACTTGCCTCATAACCTGTACTACCATATAGATTCGAGTGTTTGAATAGCTAAAGATACCTAAACTAGGTAGACAAAATGTGTACCACAAGAGATAACAACTCAGCACCCGGCAGGCTACCTCTTAGGCCGGTTTGCTTTAGGTGTTCTGGCTCCAATAGTAGGCGCCGGCGGAACAATCGAATATGATCTATCATCTTCAAATAGAATCTAAATGGGCTACTTTGTATGCCCAAACCGCCTGCATTACACAGTAATTGGCCTAACCAATGATCGGACTGCAGCCGTCCTATTTGGTTTCGGGTCAGCCTAACCACCACCAGGACTTATATCTCCGTTGCCTCGCAACAGCTTTATTCTCTTTGCATGCACGGGGTACAGCATATTCCCATTCCCATTACTTCGACTACCACTACATACTGCCATCCCCTCTTCTATCTTATTTTCTTCCAACTTAAATCATTTTTTCAACTTAGGCAGACATTGCATCGCGTATTGCGTTTGTGTTCGAAACACCATGGATCTGCTTCAAGCTGTTTTTAACCACCTCGTGTTACCTCCTCGGTTGCCTGGGTCGCAGGATCCAGACATCGAGGCTGTATCGTACGACGTCTTGACGCGCATCATCCGCGCCAGCGACACTCTTGATAGCCTTGTGGGACCACCTTGGTCTAAAGCATATCAGTCTCTTCGTGCCTCTTTCGAAGCATGCCTTCCTCTTCACTCCGGGCGTTTGGATAAGTCGGTGCTTCTGGCCTATTTTCGCGAACTTCAGCCAGACCAGATGCTCATCTTGCACGTTGCAGAGCAGAATGCAGCTCTACTTATCCGCCGCACAAAGCAGTCAGTATATAACTAATAACTATTTTCTAATATTGCTCAATTTTACTTACCGCGAAAAATTAGAAATGGAGAACATTCCGTTGTGTTCGAGGCATTCGAGACATCAGCCGTCTCGGAGCATGTTCTCGCTGCGGGACATGCGTTACAGTGGGACTTCCCCGGCCGTTCAGTCCGGCTACCCCTTTCTTCATTCGCCGATGAACCATTTCAAGAATGTCTAGCAACTTTCCTGGAGCAGGCCAGTATGGAATCGCTTTATAGCCTCCAGGCCTCTGCACAAAAAGCCAACGTCTCAATTACTGAGATTAGGGACACAACCGACCCAGCACTGATTACTCAGATGCTTATGCCGATCCTCGAGGCGATGGGGAGCTACTACCAGACGCCTATGCTCCGAAAGCGAGTCCGAGATGATGTTAACATACAGGGTGCAGATTTACCCTGGCGCCGGCTCCCATTTTGGTTGGTCTTGCGTGTTGCAGCTCAACGGCACCTCTGCTTGACCCTTGGCAACGAACAGGGGCGTATTTGTTACAAGCTCCTCATATGTTTGTTGCTAGCAGACTTACTAAAAGAATCTGCTGGAAAGCTCAGCCCAGCCATGGTTATTACGCTACGCACTAAACTATGTCGCCGCATGGCGAAGCTAGAGATGGACAAGACTAAAAGCACATTACCCGAGTCGTTGTTTAGCCAGATTTCTCCCTTGATCGAAAATGTAATCCGGGAAGCGACCAAACAAGTTGAGAATGCTTGGGAATCTTTCAAGAAAGCTACAACACGGCGTGTTCCAGTGCTTCCTCTCCATGCGGATCACGCACTTGATCTCTCTCTCCCTAATAGTGGCGGCTACCTCGATCGTCTCCTATATAGCCAGCCACCGCGAAAAGCCGGTATAACATCGTTGAATCTTCCCCAACCACTTGATAAAGCTATCCAACAAACACAAGACTTCACGGATCATATATTCCGTCTTGCAGATTTAGAGACTCGTGTCGAACACCATGGGTTACCTGACCGGGATAGTGTGAAAGGTATTACGACTCGTTGTATCCAGACAGCCAAGGAAATTGATGATGTTTTTGCTGAAGTTGGCACGACTTATGAGTCGGATCCCGAGCAGATGAGCTCTATGATTCTCACCTTGTTTACTTCATGGGTTCGTTTGGATAGATGCGCTGTTACGGTGTGTCCTCTCCTTGATGATTATCGACGTGTTTTTAGGCCCGAGCTCCTTGACGTCCTCCAGCTGCCTACGATGTCTGAAATGCGCCGCCTTCAGGACATTCAAATTTACTTAGCCCAGAAGAATTCTAAAAGTCGCCACGGTACTATATTCGACAGGTTCGATAACAACTCTCTAGCGGTGCGCTACGTTGCCCAGTCCGCCGAGATGCGATTGTTAGGTCTGCGCATCCAGACTGCGTCCGATCAAGCTCGTGATGCCAAAGAAGCTGAATGGAACAGGACCTGCAAACAGTACGACGATCACACAGCAGGACTTGCAGAGGGAACTTGCTGCTGCTCGTGGAAAAATGGGCAGCGCGATGTGCGAGGATGTAAGGCATGTTGGCACGCGCGTGCTCGGAAGCGACTGCAGATCGAAATACATGAAGCATTTCTCCCTGAAAATGAACCCGCCAGGTCTGTCTTGATATTCGAGCTGGCTATCCCTCATTACCTTTCAGTCTACCGGGACGCCACTTGGAAGATCCTATCGCTTCTAGCGCACCCAAGCCGCCCCAATAAGTCCCCAAATCCAGCGATAGAACTCACAAACTGTCCACCGCTGCAACCTTATATGACAGCCGAAGCACGAGGTATATCTCTGGCGTCGTCCATTAAATGTTTCAGCCAAACGCACTACAAGTTCAATAGAGGCAAAGCACCTCTTTCCCGTGTACTTCTTCCCCTCGCCGCAGATTTCAGACTGTACGACCACGGTACTGGACTGTGGGTTAATGATTTAGAAAGGCCCCTAACATTCCTACATCTTTGTGCTGTTCATACTCCCAGCGCACTTCAAGCCACGATTATACCGGTGATACAGCACCCGTCGCCTATTGTAGATGGACCATCGTCCTATGAAGTCCAGGCAAACCAAGTCGAATGCCCAGCTAACATGTCTGTCCATGAATTCTCAGCATACCAGAAGCTACTTGGCGGCAATGTACGGCGTTGGCCCAACATACTTGTTGAAATGGGCTCTTCTAACCTGAATATCGGGAATGAGGATACGGCCCGTGTCCTTTCCCAGCTTGCCATCCAGGCAGGCCCTCGACTACCGGATGAGACACTACGGGCAGCTCACGTCATTTTCAAGGAGGCTAGTTTCGTAGAGCGCTTAGCAGAGATCATAGAGAAGCGCCTTCGAGCTATCTTGACAAACTGGCGAGAACATCACTATATGGGACTTATCATTACACTTACTTTAAGGCTGTTTCACCTGTCATCCGGTTCTTCTAGGGGTCGTGCTGAGGCTTTACTCAGAACCGCACGAAATGCTACGTTGGAGTGGACTACTAGCCTTAGGAAAGAACTCCGTGTCGCTACTGATACTGATGCTGATGCGGCGCAACGAATTTCGACGTACGGTTTCTGTGCCGCTATACTATGTCGGCGAACTTTCGCGGTCTATACTGAAGTCAACCATGCCATGAGTGCCGAAGACCTGAGCTCTTGGGTTTTAGCATCAGTCGCCCTACAGGAGAATTTGCTAGTCGATGTTAACAAGTTACCTCATGGTTTGAAGTCTATGCTCCTGCGCGATACAAAAATGGCGTACCATCTACAGTCCCTCCTCATGACCGCCATACAGGCCCACCCAGATGCCGTCGGATATGGGATAGCTAGGTGTTGGTCCGATTCTTCAGATAGTACCAAGTTGACCTTCTGTCAATGGGATTTTCTCCCTACGCCTCATAATCGTTGGATTGTTGCCCGCGCGTCAGAAAAGCACTGGAAGTACACCAGAACCCAGACAGTTCATTATAATTTCATCGAAGGTCATATGCTCGTTAATGGGAAACCCCGCGGCAAGTTGCCTCTTCAAATTCAAGAGAGCGAAGATGTCAAGGAGATATTTGGAAACCAGCACATTCTAACGTACCCTTCTTCTTTACCGGGAATGACGCATCAACTTTCGAACCCCATTGATGACCAAGAGGTGCATTTTGGGATGCGCGATGGTCAGGTCATCATTCGTGCTTGTACATCAACCAGTGTTCTAGAATTTATTCCCAGAAGGATTTTCACCAGTGCAAAGAGTTTCGACTTACCGACCGAATTAACAGAGAACTGCGTGCATTGGTTGAACTTCAGTACGAGATGCCTAGAGATTCGCCGGATGCCTGTCATTTGGAAAAAACGGCCGCGTGATTGGGAAATTGATATTCCTAAACGGAGAGCTATTCGCGGCAAAGTGACTCTTGTCGATCCACAGTCAAGCGTCTTCGCTCAGATCGCAAAGACGCTCCAGTACTTCGAACAGCCAGAAAGGTTGACAGTCTCCCAGCCTTTAGTTGGAAAGCTACAAGTGGAACTGCGCCATTTGGACCTATCATTCTTTGTAAACCGCAATGGCTTCCTCGAATGCCGACAGCTAAACGCAGAGATTGATCCTAATCAAGATGCGGGCACTTGGCATGGCCTCCAGAGCATGATTGTGTTACGGGATACGATCTCTGGGAAACGAAGCATAATTATACCTCTTGGGCAGCTCAACTATAATCGAAATGGCATGCATGTTAATGTGCGAATAATCGGCGCCCAAAATTATGGTAGATACAAGATCGATGATATCCTCGGTCGGCTTTCTTGCCCTCCGGAACCTCGGCTTCTTTATACGAAAGCCCTCTGTCATGCCATGACTTCCTTCTGCCTTCCCGATGCTCTAACAGGGAGAACAGGTACAGAGGAGGCATTCGCAATCCTCAGTTCGGGCGCCTCTCAGCCTTGGGTACCGTTAGGGCCTATTACGCATCCGATATTAAGTGATTTGGCGGCGCTGCCTCCTCGGAGGGTTTATTATCCACCCCCAATGAAGCGTTTACAGACCGTAACATGGAATGAAAACCTGAACGCAACTATACAACATGATGGGTTTGAGTCCCTGGTTCAGGATATCATTCTTAAATCTAACCAGCTCAACAAATTTGCCGGGATTGTTACAACAGGCATTGATTCTGAGGAGGCAACGCACCTTCGTAACCGTGGCAAAATGCAACGTCAACTTTACGAATGTCCAACTCTAGATACATCTAGTCAAGTTTATCAAGACACTGTTTATATCCCTCGTGATCGCAGGAAAACGTCTAAAGCTGTCCACGTGTATGAGACTGCTCGCCACATCCTTACAGGCTCGTCTTCCCTAGAGATGCGGACTACTCTTAAGACACTTCTCGAGTCCAGCGAAGTTATTGGCGGATTCCACGGCGATAGCAGCTCGCTTATCGGTGCAGAGCCACTTATCAGCCAAATCGAGGAGTCTGTATATGAGAAATGGGGGTCTCTTGTACAATTCTGTCGTCACGCAGATCACTCTGCACCTCTACTCTTTCGCCTCGGGCTACTAGCTTTCCATACCAACTCCAACATGGACTTGATCCGCTCTCTTGCTGCCTTTTCCCTGGTCCGCAAGATCAAGTATCTGGAACCGCCTCCTTATGGCAGCTTCTTTGATTTCAAATCTCGTGAACGACCCTCAACTGAGCTTTTACAGACGCTCATAGCCTCAGCTCACATTGCATTTGAACCAAAGGCTCGCCGTAGAAGTGAATGGAAAGATCGAGCTGGACGAAATGCCGAAGAGCACCAGGACTTCTGTGAAATTCAGGGTCGGCTGCTCGCCGGTCGTCTCCTAGAACAGTGGCCTGTTCCAATTGATGAACTATCCACGGAAACGTTAGGAATTCAGGTCATCAATGTCCCCTTAGCATTGGACAAGATACGTCCTGAATGGGACCGTAGGCTAGAAAATATCGAACTCGAGGGCTATATTGACAGAGTCCAGGCAGTTTTAAACTCACTTAAAGGTCCACGAGATTCATCTGCGCTGCTTAACTGGACGGACGTCAATCCAGTGTTTACGGGCCGAAAGAATTCTCGAGTTATCCCATCAGTGGCTCAAGACTTAGTGACTAAAGCCGGACCCAACCTAGACAATACGATAGCCGGCATTCAGTTAGGCACTGGAAATGAGTCCGCGTATAGCGGGACTTGGGGATCGCCAACAAGGGACCTATTCAACGAAGCCACAGAATTAGAGGCCATCTTACGCAGGTTCGCGAGGTCCGCCAACGTTATTCGGCAGAAATACGGCAATGATCTTCTGCAGAGTCTAGCTGCATTGAAAGACACAGGCCAACTGAATGCTCAAGGTTCAGTGCCGGCTCTGAAGGAGGTTAACCACGCAATAAAGCGAGCTCGCCTCACGGTTTCGAAATATCACGAACAAATCTATGACGCTCTTGCCAGTGATGACCACCGATTCCAATGGCTGCGGCTTGGTGCTATCTGGCCTTGCACATCGCCGACCGAGATGCTTATATTCCTAAGATCTACATCAGCCTACGACTTCGGGGTCGGGATGAAAAAAGCTCTAGTTTCGTACGGAGTAGCTGTTACAAGTCTACAACGACTGGAGCGGCTCCGCTCCGCAGTTCTGCGCGGGGATCACCGAGCATCTGATGAGGAATTGCGTAACCCAGGTCATCAGAACTGGTCGCCATTCAAATCGACAGACTGGCTCTTGCTCGAAATTGATAGCGACTTTCTTATACGAGCCGAACAGGTGGATGTTGCGTGTGCCATGATAGCGCCGAAATCTGGTCAGAATAGTGTGTTACAAATGAACATGGGCAAAGGTGAGTATATCGGCTAGTATAGCAAGGAGATTCTATTGCAGGTTCGGCGCTAACTTTGGTGTAGGAAAAACATCGTGCATTGTGCCGATGGTAATAGCCGTCCTAGCAGACGGTAAAAATCTTTCGCGCTTAATTGTGCCAAAAGCGCTTCTCATGCAGACAGCACAGACCACCCAGTCGCGATTAGGAGGTCTTGTAGGGCGTGAGGTTCTTCACATTCCTTTCTCGCGGAAGACCCCGACAACCCCTGAGATGTTGGAGCTATACGAGAGGCTTCACCGGCTTACTCGTACTCGTAGAGGATTAATTCTCACGAGCCATGAACATGTTCTGTCATACAAACTAGGCGGGTGGCAGCAACTCGCGGACGGCAAATTAAAGGCAGCAAGAAGTATGAACAACTTCCAGCGTTGGTTAGACGAAAATTGCCGGGATGTTCTGGACGAATGCGATTTCACCCTTGCGGTTAAGACGCAACTTAACTACCCCAGCGGGCCCGAGATGGCTGTTGACGGTCACCCATTTCGATGGCAAGTCGCCCAAGAGTTGCTTGCCTTGGTGGCCAATTATCTTCCGAACTTGACAAAAAGGTTTCCAACAAGTATTGAGGTATTATCGCGCTCGGGATCTTTTCCGATCCTGCAATTTTTGAAGAATGATGTGGAGGAGGCGATTCATGACTACATACTAGAAAGTATCTGTAGGGGACAAACAACCTTTCTTCGTCCCGCAGATTCAAGTTTCCGGGGCCGGCAGGGGATAATTCGGCGAGTCCTATACGAGCCGAAGTTAGACGAACGTATTTTCATGCAGGCAGTTAATGCGTTCGTCAACCCACAAGCGGCGTCGAAGATACTCCTTCTAGTCCGAGGCCTCCTAATTAATCGGATCCTCCTTCTTTGCCTCAACAAGCGATGGAATGTTCAATACGGCCTTCATCCTAAACGTGATCCTATCGCAGTGCCCTTCGAAGCTAAAGGTACTCCGTCCGAGCAATCCGAGTTCGGTCATCCAGATGTGTCCATATTGTTCACCTGTTTAGCATTCTATTACACTGGTCTTACCTCCGCGCAGTTCCGTCAGGGGTTACAGTACGTTCTTCAGTCAGATGATCCAGCCGCACAGTATGAGCTGTGGTCTTCCGGTTGTGACAGTTTGCCGGAGGCATTGCACCACTGGAATGTAATAAACATTGATGACGGAGGGCAGCTAGAGGAGCTATGGAACCATTTGCGTCTGAGTCGAATCGTCATTGATCATTATTGTAACCATTTCGTCTTCCCGATCCATGCTAGGCAGTTCGAAATCAAATTGCAGGTTTCGGCGTGGGATATCCCACTATTTTCAAAGGATCAACGTGGTGCTAGGACGACGGGTTTCAGCGGCACCAATGACAGCCGTATGAATCTTCCTTTGACCATCCGACAAGACGACCTTTCTAGCCTGCAGCAGACAAGCGCAGAGGTTCTCTCATACCTTCTACAACGATGTAACCGAGGTTACCAGGTTACTGCAGACGCTCAAGGCAAGCGATTGACTGAGGAAGATCTGCTATATCAGCTGCATAGTAAAAGCATCCGCACCCTCATTGATGCCGGAGCCTACATACTCGAGATGGACAATAAGACGGTGGCTGAGAAGTGGCTAGGAATCGATAACAAAGCCGTCGCTGCCGTCTATTTTGGCGCAGATAATCGTGCTTGGGTGCATTATCGGGGAGATAAAAAGAACGACGTTCCGCTCTTAGCCACTCCCTTCGTAGATGATCTTCGGAACTGTGTTGTTTATCTGGATGAGGCGCATACACGTGGTGTAGACCTGAAGCTGCCACCAGACGCCCACGGTGCATTGACGCTGGCACTGAAGCAAACTAAAGACTACACTATGCAAGGTAAGTACCGCTCACTATTCACACCTTATATTTGGTACCGCATGGTTTCAGGAGTACCTATGTAATTGAGAACGGTCCTTCTAATCATATTGATAGCTGCTATGCGCCTCCGCCAGCTGCGTACCACCCAGTCAGTTAGTTTCTTTGCCCCTCCTGAAGTTGATCAGAGCATCAGGGACTTTTGCCGCCCAGCAAAAGGTACGAGCATCGACTCTTCTCATGTCATCGCTTGGCTTCTTGAGCAAACATGCTGTGTAAATGAGGATCTGCAAAGCCTATACGTAGCGCAAGGCGTCGACTTCTGTCAGCGTACGGACGCGATTTGGCGCTATAACAACTTCCTTGCAGATCCGGCACAACGCGCAAAACTGCTGGAGACAATACAGCAACCGGAGCGCCAGACATTAGAGCAGTTGTATGGCGGGGCTCTAGCAGGTTCACGGATAGGCACCGTGGACCGCATGTCTACTCCACAGTTGCAGAAATTCGCCGACCAACTTAACCAATCCTATGGAGAGCGCGGCCCTCTTCACGTAGGTGCTATGGAAGAGGTCGAACAGGAGCGCGAGCTTCAAGTACAAGTTGAACAGGTGCGCCAGACACAGAAGCCGCTCCGGTACGAAGCTCTGACATTCCCGGGCCTCCATCCGGTTGTCTCATATTTCGTGCGTACGGGGGTGCTAGAACATACGTCATCGAATCAGAACGAGGCCGCATTCGAACACGCATTTACATATGTAGCAAGGACTACTCTGGGAAAGCAATTCCACGTACGAGAAACCGACTCGCGAATCTTCGTGTCGACGGAATTCGGGCGAACGGTTAAGTGTAAGAAGAACAACGTGACTGACAACTTCATGGTAAGTGATAGTTACTAGTTAAATATTTTGGTGGGAATTACTGACAATGGGGTAACAGCGTCCCGTGGAATGGATCCTCTGGAGTCCCTCAACACAGACCGCGTTGGTTATTATTCCCGAGGAGGCTGAGTCGTTGATTCCCTTGCTTCGTACCAATACCCGCTCCCCGCGCGTCCACTTAATTGCCTACGCAGCGCCTGTTACGAAAACTATGGAAATCTTCAATACTTTCAAGTATTACAGTCTTCCGGCGCTACCACCCACTTACAAATTCCCGCAGTGGTTCAGATTCGAACTGGGTATACTGAGTGGCCGACTGTATGTTAGCTTGGCTGAATGGGACCCGCTAAGCCGTTACATACGATCGTCGTTTGATGAGGCAGGCGAGTCGTCTAAAGGAAGCGCAGATTCAAAGCAGGCGAATGGAGTAACGCCCGCCCCATTTGCGGACGATCCGTCCTCTTTCCTCCTCGAGTGGCTCACGCTCCTTCGCAAGACGCAGGATGTCTTACATACGCCTATGGGTTACATCTGCACTGGACGTGCACTCGGGGGGCCGAGCGAGTTCCAGGAGTCGTTATCGTGATTATTTAATCGCGGTTAAACTGACATATTGAACTGCAATGTTGTGGAAAGCACGGAAATGCCGTCTTTGAATTTACTGCAGTTTGTACTTAGCTAGGATTCCATATTCAGTCTATGCTTTTGCATCATGGCACTTGCAATAAGAGATTGAATCTACTGTTTTAACGGTGGTTACGACATGATGAAAATGACCTTATGTGACTTGGCTTACATGTTAATTAGGAACGGTACCGATGGTATTAATTATGGCCAAGGGCTTCGAGTTTATTTTCTCCAACCTCGCGTCCTTATAACTCTAATCTGGGACTTTCACGGATTGGATAACCTACTACAAGTTCGAAAGGATTTATGATAATAAATACACCTAATAGGTGTCTTGAGTTTCCCGCTAAAGAATCACAGCAATAGGCCCCTATAGCCCCAGTTGTGTCAAGGAATCACTCAGGGCCCCTATTTTTAGGACCTAGCATATGAAAACCAACTGAATGGTGCCGTAATAAGCATTATGCAGTATGTGAAGATTGCACAAGTGAATTAATATTTCATGAAGCATGCTATTCTTCCGAAGCCCAACATTTTAAACGCATTAACGAACGTTATTATTTAACTTAGGTAGCAAGAGGAGAGCTCCCTTTCCCTAAGCCCACTCCAGAACAAGGCCCTACCTAGAGCATTATTATCATCCCGATGCCGACAGAGGCTTTACTAAACGGCTAGATCTCTACAGCTTAGGCGTTGTATTGTGCGAGATCGGATGCTGGAGTTTAGTCCCTAGCTCCAACAAGAATAGGACCAGAGCAGAGTGGAGGAAGCGCATGTTGGATACGGTGCGTACGGAGCTTGGATGGAGGATGGAGGATGGGAAGTAAATATCAAGGCGTTGTCAGGACGCTGCTTGAATGCGAACTTCCATCTGACGACCTTGGCCCGGAATACTTTGCGATGCAGTTTCTAGAAAAGGTTATGAAGCCACTATGCCACTGCAATGCCTAGGATAACATGAACTAATCAGGGTGGTTTTGTTAAGAATTATTCTCGCGGTAACTACGGAGATTGGCAAACGCGTTAAGGGTGTACGGATTATAGATCATCTATTTAGCGTTTCTAAAATACGTAATAGTACCGTATTTTTACAGGAGGTATTAAACGAAACCCTACATCTATTACGGAACCACCTACGGTTGACCAGACAGGCCACTGTGCCAAAATGAAAAAAATCTGTGAGCTTAGCTTAAAAGGGTAGTCAGCCACAGGTTAGCGCAATTAGCTCGAATTATTACGGTACTTGGCACTTTTATATGGGGAAAAAAGATTATCCTTTTTAAATACATACGTTATAACGTTATATATAATATGCTTTAAAAAAGTAATCTTTTATTAAATCAAAAAATTTAACTATTAAAGTATCTATACATTTAAATAACTTTACAATTCCAGCAATTATAACTTTACAATTGGTATCATTTTATAGCTTTAATTAAAGCGAAAGTAATTATCCAGGTTGCATGTTTATACGATATATTGTTGTTAAAATATCTAAAGTCTTTTGAAAACAGTCGTCTCAAAGGATATCACGTGTACGTATCTATCTCTGGGATGATAGGTACTTAGGTACGGGGCGGCCTATCCGGGTAGTATGTAGGGCTGTCATATATCGTCAAATACCTCCCCCACCATACAAATTTACTACTATACACTTGTACTTTTGGAATAGTCCCAACCTACTCTTTTTAAGATGCGCGCCCTTCTATTGGCTAAATCTTACACCGCCCGTCTGGCAATATCCTTATCCTTATCCTTATCCTTATCCTTATCCTTATCCTTATCTTTACACCACATCTCTGTTACAGCTTCATGTCTAATTCAATTCAATTCAATTCAATTCAAATAACGATGCAATGGCTATCTATTTTTACATATTGCTTTTACTTGGTCGCATACATTGGTTAAAGACTATACGGTCGCATACAGTCATTCCGAGGCAAAAAGGCTGAAAACGAGGTCTTTTTGAATGATCTCTGATATATGTATGTATGTATGAGGCTGGCTGGCTGGCCAATCAGGAGGCTGTATCGTATAAGGCTATTTGATTAATACCCTTTAAGACGACTGTTTTCAAATGACTCTAGATATCTTAACAACAATACATCGTATAAACATGCAACCTAAATCATTATTTTCGCATCAATTGAGGCTATTAGCCAATACCAATTATAATGTTATAATTGCTAGAATTGTAAAGTTATTTGAATGTGTAAATGTGGTAGTTAAAAATTGAATTAACAATTAAATCCTTTAATTTAATTGGCCAATCCTTTACATTATATTGGTTAAATCAATATCTCTATTACAATAAACCGTAATAAGGCTTGGAAGTACACATTTAATATTTTTTAAATTGTGGCAAGTGACCTCCTACCAACTTTAGTTTAGTGTGCGATTATTTTTTTCATTTTGGCACAGTGGCTTGTCTGGTCAACCGTACCACCTTTGCTACCGTAATGTGTACGTGTTTCGCACTGTATCTACCCCCTTTTTTACATTCTCGGCCTCGACGCCACTTTACACCTTGTTGTAATAAACGATTTCCTTGTATCTAACCTACCTACCTTAGGAGGTATGTATAAAATAACAAAAATCGTGAGAAAATATTCATATATTATTATTATATTATATTATATATATGTATATCTGCTATTCCAGCAATACGCCCTTAGATAACTACGCTACGTATACAATAACACAACGGACCCAAAAATTAATCTTGCTAAAATAAGTAAACCCTCCAGCCCGGTAGCTAATGCATAATGAACTCCCTTTCAACTCCCCGTGAGTATAGGTAGGCATGGCACAGTAAATAGAAACCCGCTGGAACTTAATACTTAGCACATACATCTCCGATATGGGCAATAAGCTCCTCGATGTGATACGGCTTCGTCGTTACGCCATCCTAATATAGGTAAGAAAGTCAATATTGCATCAAATAACTAGCGTATTTTCTGGACTCGACGTACCATGCCTACTTCCATAGCGCCGCTAACCTGTTTGCTACGCACGTTGGCTGTAACTCCGAGTATTGGTATATGTCCCGTGAGTTCGCCCTTTGCTTCTAGCCTCCGAATCTCCCTCGTAAACTCGATACCGTTCATGATCGGCATTTCGATATCGCACAAGATCACGTCGAACGGGCTCTTTGCATGCGAGACCTCGGTTTTGTTATCCAGCACGGCGTCGAGGGCGTCTTTTCCGTGGTTGGCAGCTTTCACGACGAAGTCGTGGTTACGCAGCTGCTTGCACAAGACCTTTTGGTTAACCAAGTTGTCCTCGACAACGAGAACCTTGATTGGCGGATGTTCGTGTGGTGGAGGGCTTGGGTCCTCTGATATTTGGGGGAAACCACCCTGTTCATCTTCGTCTTCCAATGGCAGCGGGGTCCCGTCTGCAGCTATACTAAGCGATCGACTTAGTCTAACAACAGGTTCTGAAGCATTCGAAGAATAGCGAGGAAATTCGCAACGCTGGGTCTTGACGTAAAATGCGAATTTGCAACCCGAGCCGGGGCTGCTGGCCATGCCTATCTCGCCCCCAAGCATCTCGGTAATCTGGCGAGAGATAAAGAGGCCGAGACCCGATCCCCCGTACTCGATATGCGTTTTCGGAGATGCCTGAGCGAAGCGATTAAAAACCTGCGCCTTTTCGCTCTCTGTCAAACCCCTGCCCGTGTCTTTGACGGAAAAGGAGAGAAACACATCTTCTTGAGGTTCTTCTAGACCACCGAGGGAACAGCCGTCGAATACAGGGCTAACGGGTGAATATCTCTGTGGCACGTAATCTACCCCTAATTCACTTTCGAGAGGACGATATGTCGTTCCGGCTACCCTTACAACAATTTCCTTTCTTTTCGAGGTCTTTGTGAATTTGATAGCGTTCGTGACAAGATTAATCACGATTTGGAGGAATCTGTGCGGGTCCAGTAGAACACACCCTAAGCCGAGCATGGACAAGGAATCGTCCTCGATAACCTTCAGCTTGATACCTGTCATCTTTAGCTCGGCGTCGAAGATTTTTAATGACGAGCGAACCAACGCCATTGGTTGGACGGGAATAGGAGATACCACTAGTAGGTCAGAGTCGAGCTTCGAAACTGTTAACACGTCGTCGACGATTTGCTTCTGGTGCTGCACGCAGTATACAATCGTATTGGCAGCGTCCAGTGCGCTGTCAACCTCCTCCTTTAAGATCTCTTTCGCGGGGCTGTTTGAGCTTATGGCCAGTTTGCCATCGAATACTGCATCTAGTGTGGCAGAGCTTCTCTTAACTGATTCGATAATTTCCTCGCTGCAGTGCAGAACCGCTGATAGGGGGTTCCGTATTTCGTGGCTTATCATGTCCATAAACCTCTCCTGTTGAGTCCTTGACCGAATAGCTTCTTCCATCTTATCTGTCAGAACCTTAACAGCCATCTTCTGACCACTAATATCTGTTACCCAGAAATCTATATGGTCAACTGTCCCATCCTCTTTGAATTGGGAGAACCCGGTAGCGACGACGTAGGCGCCGTTAGTCACAGTATTGTCGCCACCCGAAATAGTATAAGTCCTATCAATTAGCTGGAACTCAAAAGATTCGGGCCCGGTGTGCTGTTGGAGTCGAGCGAAGAAGTCTTTACACGGTTGTAGGTAATCTTCTCGGACCCATGGTAGCCACGGCTGCGGAATATCTGGAGAGGGACTATCAGGTCCAAAGCCGTAGAAAGACCGCCATGCATCGTTGCCATATTGGACGTGACCATCCCCATCCGTGCGGCAGATTCCAAGAGGGCAGTGCTCTGCGTAGTTCCGCCATTTTATCTCCGACTCCTCAAGCGCTTTCGAACGAGATATAAGCTGCTGCTCAGTCCACTTGAGCTCGCTTATGTCCATTGTAAAGATCATTATACTTTCAACCTCATCAAACTCGTCCAAGTCCGAATAACAGGCGCAGATCCCCGTTCGATGATCCGAATACATTTGGCCTCGACGGAATGGCTCTCTGGAGCGAATTTGAAATGTCCCTCCTGTCTTATTAGAAAGAACCTTTTCTTGCCATTCTCGAAGTAAATCAGCGTCTTCTGGAACTACGCTGTCGAACCAACTCAGATTATTCTGATCGGCAGGACTGAGGCCAGAGAATTTATACCACACATCATTCGCGTATATAATCTATCAATAATTAACTCGGATCCTCGATTATTCTAAGTTGGATAGCCATATTACCTTGCCGTTCACATCGGTAACCGCAAGACCAACAATGGACCGCTCGGCAAATCGAGAGAATCTCATATCGCTTCGTTTACGATCCAGCTGAGCTCGTTTAGCCAAGTCGTTATGTCGTGAAACTTCTTCCGATAATCTGGCCCGCGATACCTGTGACGCCGCGACATCTGCCACCAGTTTCAAGAACTCGCAAAATCCGCTACTGTACCTTCGGTAAGGGTTCAGGCCAACTACCATGAATGCCGCTATTTTAAAATCGTCTTTGATCGATACGATAGCAAATTCCTTAGCTAACGTATATCCTTTCCATCCGATACCGTTTAATAGTTTATGTAATGACGGGTCGCTTTCTTCTAATATGAGCACCGAGTCGCATTTCAGGGTCTTGAGCATGGTCGGTGCAAACCCGTCAATATCGCATGAGAGATCGAGATATTCCGGTCCCATGATACGCTCGCGGTCTATTCCAATTATGCCCTCTAAGTGACACGGGTAGTTAGGCTGACTGGGGGTGGAACTAATGTTATGTTGCTCGTCTAACGAGTATAATAGCGCAAACGGAATATCCTTGCTATTATAGCTAAGTCCGGTTAGTAGTGTATGCCAAAGTTCCTTCATATTGTTCGCTGTTGCGGTATGGCGGCATAGTTGCTGAATGCACTCGTTCTGTCTCGAGCAAATAACATCTTCAGTCCTGTCTATGGGTGTTCCGTACGATCCTTTCACTTCTCCTTCGTCATTAGTGACCGGGATAAGCTTCCAATCAAAATAAGTCTCCTCAACATGGCCGTCCCTGTCTATTAGCAGCCTAGTGCTCGTGCACGTACACGTTTGGCCGGTTCGTCGCTGCGCAGAGATTTTCCCGGAGAGTTGGTCCCAGATGGTAGAGAACACCTGGGAAGCATCCATTCCCATGGACTCCGGGTGCTTATTCCCCAATATCGGAAGGTAGGCATCATTATAAATGATACAGGAGGGCTCTCCCCAAAACAATATGGCCGGACTCGTGTCAGCTAAGAGGAAGCGAGACATGTGTCGAAGCTCCGAGCTCCATTGGTCCCTTGGACCGAGAGCCGACTTGCTCCAATCAATATTAAAAATGAGCTTCTGGATCGGCAGAGTAGATGATTTAGAGGTATCCAAGTCCTGCTCTTCGACTACCGACGGCGCCTTTCGACAACTGCCTTTCTCCTCGGACGCACACCCATGTATGGGTAAGCCTATCCTTTCACCGTTTGGAACCATCACGGCACCATTAGGTGTCGTAGCTTCGGTCGTAGCGATAGTGTCTAGTAAATACTAAAGAGAGTGGGTTATGAGAGCGACCGACAGTAGGTTAATGCAATAGTTACGCTGGCGCTGACATGTCAGCGTTAATCTTCAAGACTAATAGCAATGGCGACGAGAAGATGGGTTTCTCCAGAGCCATCATTGTCTGCTCGACGTCGTAGAGATAGATAATATTCTAGAATCCATCCATGTTCATTACTCGCCACTTACACTAACTACCTAGTTACGCTTGATGGGCATTAAACTTTATGTCTAGCAATGTCAGTCAAATAGTCAGAAACTCTATTTGGTAAATTCATTCTTCTTAATATCAACGTAAGGCTTTTGATTGGACTAGTAAGGTAGGGAGCTATTGATTTGTCTTTATCTTAATGCTAGTCTGCGTCACATATTCATCACCACCTCATTAGCTGCGGAAGATTCCGAGCTATACCATCTTAGTAAAATCCGGGGTAAAGAATTTAATGGAGAATTTCCAATCGATCTAGTAGCATAAGGGGCGGTTTAAACTTAAGTATCGGAACCGAGCCCGCGAGACAACCATTATGCACAAATAGCTGTTAACTTATAAATTCCATACTTGTCTAGACCCCCTTGATCGAGGGAATAAGCGATTAAAAGAACCGCTGAAAAGTAGGATAAAAGGCACAACCAGGTAGTATTACATTCGAATGTTCTTTTACGTACCTAGGTACCTAACACCATTACAGCTGTCAAAATATATAGCACTCCCTTACTCACCAACATTTTGTTATAGCGTTTATTCCGATATAATTTTGGCAAATATATTTCATTTGGTGATTGTGAGTGCATTATTACCTACCAGCTACCTCTTTATATGTCTTCATTGAAGTACTAGTAATATACCAGGTAGTTACCTACCTAGCCAGTCGCGTCAAAGCCCACGGCGGCATCCGATAAGCTATAAAATATAGACCCTATCAAGATCGCGCTTTTCAGAATTGCCGACTCCATTAGCCTGGGTATGACTGGGATCGCGTAAGAACTAGTACCCGTTACGAGTCGATCATATAAATTACTAATTCTTTAGTTTCCTCAAAGGTCCCAATTCTTTCGTACCTGGATACCTGGATACTTGTTCCATCTCGAGATTTGAGCATAGTAATTCATAGTGCGATATCTAATCATGGGTTCCCAATTCTCCGGATCAGATCTCGATCTAGCTCCGCTCCCACCGAAGGATTTTATTGCGAGTTTGCGGACGGGAAAAATCAGGCCTTTCGGGGGCGTCAAAGGTTTGTCGTCGGCGATCAATAAACAACCCCGGCAAGGCAAGATCCGGCTCACAGCAGGCGGCCTCGAGGGTGACGAGCGCCAGTATATCAACCACAATAGTCCGGATAACGCCATTCATCAATATGATCCCCGCCACTATGAGGAATGGAAGAATATCCTACCGGAACGTGCTCACAAGTTCAAAGTTGGCGCGTTCGGCGAGAATATATCTTCCGCGCACCTCTCGGAAGCCAATCTATGCCTCGGAGACAAATTCCGGTTGGGGCCCGACGCCATCGTCCAGGTTACTATGCTAAGGCAGCCCTGCTATAAGCTGAACCACCGATTTGAGTACAAGAAGATGTCAAGACTCATCCAGAGTACTGGATTTACCGGATGGTACTATCGAGTTCTCCGGGGAGGTGATGTCCAAGAAGGCGACCCGATCGAATTGATTGAACGTATCAACCCACGATGGCCTCTCTTAAGAATACACTCTATCCTTTATACGGACTCAAATAACATGGAAGCGATAGAGGAGATTAGTAAACTGGAAGGACTTAGCCGGGAATTTCTTAATTTAACCCGGAACCGACTTTCTAAAGGGATCGAGAACATGAACCAACGCCTCCTGGGCAACTTTGCTGTGCCATGGCACTTATATAAGTTGGTTGAGAAAACCAGGCTCACTCCGAGAGTACAAAAATTCATCTTCGAGCCTGAGGAATCTAACACGGACGTGAAAGATTTAAATTTCGGGCGCTTTCCGCATGTGCGTCTCAGGTTCGGACCAGATTCTAAGTTCACCAGAGCTTACTCGGTAGTGTCGGGTGATATGAGATCATTCGAGCTGGGAATCGCGAAAGATGATGATTCAAGAGGTGGATCGCTATATCTACACGATGACTTTAAGATTGGCGATATTCTAGAGGTAGCCAAGGGACACACTGCAGTCATTCCTATAATAACTAGCGACCAAATCGATACACCAACAAGGCACATCTTTATTTTAGGTGGCATTGGTGTCACCGCCTTCATTGGCGAGATTAGGGCCCTCGAGAAGATATCTGCCGACTTCGAGATTCACTACGCTGTCCGTAGCAAAAAGGAGGCCGCATACCTTGATCATCTACCAGCCAGCAGAACTACTATTTACGCAAAGAGCGAGGGCAAACGCTTGGACGCGGCTGCGCTTATTCCATCGCCCGACGATTGCGGGGATAATTGCAAGACTTTAGTTTACTGCTGCGGCCCATCGTCGTTGCTTGCCGCCTGCCGTGACGCGACAACGAAGTTAGGCTATCCCCGATCCCAGACCCATTTCGAAGAGTTTGGCGGTGCTGGAACTGGAACGGGTGACCCTTTTGAAGCCGAGATTAAAAATACCGGGGAGGTTCTTCAGGTCCCTCGAGAGAAATCATTATTGGACATCCTTAACGAAGCCGGTTTCGAGATAGAGTCCTCATGCCTCGTAGGAAATTGTGGAACCTGCATGGTGGATGTTTGCAAAGGGAAGGTTGTTCACCAAGGTGTAGCCCTCGAAGACGAGCAGAAGGAAAGCAGTATGTTGGCCTGTGTGAGCCGTGGTAAGGGAAGGATTGTGATTGATTGTTAAGAGGACCACACCTGAATTCTAGCATGAGCGTTCCTTGATACCAATTATTAATCCTATCTACACGATCAATATAACTAATTTCTACACTTCAATCTCTCGATGTGCGCCATATGATTAGTCAAGCAACCTGTCTTGCTACTATTACTGTAGAGTTACTATATTGTCACTGCCGAAGGTTGTGGACTGCCGCGTTCTGGCCGGGCCGGAGTCCGGCAGTCTCGAGATTACGGCTAAACTGCCGAGATCTAGTACAATAGACCCCGGAGGAGTAAGATCTGTTAGGATATCTTACGGTCGACAATCTCCACCTTCATATAAATAAGGGTAGACGGCAAATCTATTTCTTATTAATTAGCAGCATGAGTTGGACGCAACAGTCACCAAAAAATAGTAGCCACTCGATTTAATCTAAGGTAACCTGTACCGGAGAATCGCGTTCCAGCCCCTAAGCGGTGCAAGTAGCAGTTCATCCTTATCTTCTCCAAGTGCCATGATGTTTTAAGCCGGGTATATAAGCCAAAATGAGGCGGGCTGAGGCAAAATTCAGGAGCCCCTCCTTTTCCGGCTTCGCCTCCTACAAAATGAAGCGACATCTCAACGCGACAATGCTCATGACTAGCCTGGGGAAGCAATTGGATATCTAAGAATAACTTTGAGATACAACAAGAGCAATGATCTATTCGCTCCTTTTACTAGGCGCGGGTCTCGCCTCGCCGGCCTCAGCAGCATGCAGCCGAGAATTACTTCAGGAGGCCACAGCGGCATACGTCAAAGCCCAAGCTGCCGGAGACCCGAATCTGCCTACTCTGGCTAGCAACGCCAGCTACTTGGAGAACGACACGCCGGGGGATATCAAAAAAGGTATTTTAAGCCAAGCCATCACCATCGATTTCAACCGCAGTCTGCACGACACAACCCAATGTGCCACGTTCACCGAGCTGTCTGCGGCTACCAACAAGAACCCGTACGTCATCCACACGCGCCTGCTCTTTACCAACGACAAGATCACGGCCGTACAATCGGTTGTCGCGGACCAAGGCGACTGGGCCTTCAACGCGACGGGGCAGCTCTACTGGACTAAGCAGGAGAAGTGGGACACGATCCCGGAGGACAAGCGTGACAGTCGCGAGGTCATCCAGGCTGCCGGCGATGCGTATCTAGACAGCTGGGGTGATGGTACCGTCGCGGTCCCGTACGGCACGCCGTGCGCTCGTCTCGAGGGTGGCTCTTACACAGGGGGCTCGCGACCGACGGCCAACACGTGCGTGATGCCGCAGTTCCCGGAGCCATTCAAGGTCGGAAACCGCCGGTACGTCATCGATGAGGAAGTTGGCGGTCTCGACATCTTCAACGACTTCCCGTTCATCGACGCGGGAAAGCCTGATGGTACGCCTAGCACCAACTTTATCCGGGTTGAGGGCGGCAAGCTCAGGTACATCCACGAGGTTACCGTGTGCACGACTCGCAATTGTGGAAGATAAAGGGTTGACCTGCTATGAGATGTGAGGTTCCCAAAATGGTAAGGGGGAATTGGCCGTGTAGAGGTTGCTGTAGCTTAGTATTTCTTTCTATATTCTTAGCTTAGGTAGCCAATTTCTACAAATCTTTACCTACCTTAGGTAGGTAATATTGGTATCGCCATGTATAGCATCCGTTCGAATAATGGGATATACATAGGTAATGTGTAAAGATTCTATACCTATATTAGTGTATTTAGGAGCTACTTGGCTCGAAGTTTCTGGACTTGGAGCTATGTCACCGCATGTGAGATTCTACTATGTATTCGACCAAGGTTCTCTTCTCTTCCGATGTCAGGAGACATTCAGGCCGTATGAAGCCGAAGTGGAACTGGACAGATATTTACGAATATCGTATGGACGAATAAGAAATGTCCAACATGTATGGTGGATTGGCTAGTCGGAGAGAGACCTGATGGCTGATGATCGTGGAGGAGATAAGTTCGACGGACAAGGACCGGATCGGTACAGGGCTACGTCAGATTCGAATTAGGGGACTTCCCTGACGGGCTAATGGGGTAGCACGACCCCCATGTGCGTGGGGGCAGGGGGGAGGTGGAACGACTATGACTGGTAAAAGGTAGTTTAGCGTCATGCGCTGCCCCGCCAAACAGGGTTTTGTCGAACCAATTGATCGACGTCTTTTCTCTCCAACAGATGCTTTTCGGATGCTTCTAACATACATATGTACCATTCAAGCATTCCGTCTCCATCGACGACATCTTGCAGCACGGCATCGTGACTCCCCGCGTTATCTTATTCTTGTCCCCGATCGCTTACGTTTAAGGCATTACATCACATCGCGTCGCATTCTTCCGAAACTAGGGATATACCTATACATATATGCCACTACAGTCGCATCCCAAGCTACTCCGCGTCCGTAGACGTTAGCTTCCATACCTAAGGCAGCAAGTAAATATAAAGGTACTATTTTAAAATATAACCTGAACATAACCCATTGAGAATATTGTTTCGAAATTTGTATCTTATCCAATATGGAAACTCAAATTTTTATTCCTTTTAGACCAATCCCAACTCTGAACTCCTATTTAGGAGCAATGGCAGAACGCAATATGTCCGAATCTAAAGAGAAGTTCTTTCGGTATTTCCAAGCTGAAATAACTGGTGAGATTTTTCCTTACTGTCGTTGGTGGTGTAATTACTCTTCAAACTGACCCATCGAAGCTATACAAAGCCAAATCGATGATCTTGCGACTCTATCCCCTGTTGGCGGCGAGAGGCAGGACTGCATCGACGTGGTCCTAGCTGGAATATCCCGCCTGTCTAACGAGGTTATGGACGCTGGCGATTATATCCCGGCCTACGACCAACGAACATATGCTCAGGTACTAACCACTAATCGCCTGGTAAATATTGATCTTCATTCTCACATCTGGGTAGGCTATGAAAGCCCTCACAGATAAACTCAACGAGACGACGGCCAAGTTTGCCCCAAAGTCAAGATTCCAGTTCAAGTCAAAATCCTCCAAAGCAGCATCGGGAGCAGAACCTCGAGCCGATCCCCGCCAACGTACTTCCTTCAGCAATGTGGGATCTAGGCAGTCGCCGGTCTTGGATGCAGCAAAACGTGATGCCGCAGGCACCGCTGCTGAAATAGCGAAGAACTACAACGAAGAGCTTGAACAACAGTCAGGTGTAAGAAAACCTAGTTTCTCTAACGCTAAGAGTATTTCTATCTACGACCACTCCGGACTGTACATTATGCTGCCCTCGACAGCATCCAGGGCTACGTCTTCGGGAAGTCTGACGAATCTCGAGCGATGCGTCGTGGATATGACAGCACCTACGAGCGCAGGAACGCCGTTTGCTGGCCTGGCATTAAAGAATATTAGGGAGAGCTTGATTATCGCTGGCCATGTTGCGGGACCGGTTCATATCACTGGATTGCGGAATAGTATAGTTGTGGTGGCTGCACGACAGGTCCGTATCCACGAGTGTGAGAATGTTGACGTATATCTCCATTGCTCAAGCCATCCTATTATCGAAGACTGCTCAGGGATGCGATTCGCACCTCTACCGGAGCTCTATGTAAGTTGTCTCCAACTATTTATATAAACAAGATGCGCTAATAATCCTGCAATAGGCCACTAAGCTAGAGATTAAAGGTGAGAGCCAGTGGGACCAGGTTGACGACTTCAAGTGGCTCAAGACCGAACCATCTCCGAACTGGGCCGTCTTGCCCGAGGAGAAGCGCATCCCGGAGGACGTGTGGAAGAATTCTGTGTGTGGAAATCCTAGCCTCGGCACGGTCGATATACTGCGTAGAGCTGGCGTTCTCAGCTCATGATCGTCCTAATTCCTTCCGAATACACCTTTGAAACTGTCTCCTTGTTCGAGTTTCGATGTATAAGCACGGGTCTAGCGTATGGCGTCGGGTTTTATTGCGGTCTTTATCCGGTGTAATATTGTAATACACACAATTCCCAGGAACAGGTAGTTTTTATGAATGATTAACCCTCGCTGTATTCCCACGCCTGGTCCCCCTAACGCTGCCTCATGGTATCGTACCGTACCGTATCGTGAAATAGCCTGAACACCCAAACTCCATGCCAATGCAAGTATACAACAGCTTCTGCACCGCGCATATCTAACGACGAGCCAAGCAACCCGTAGTCGCTCTCCTGTTTTGTTTTTCCTCGCTTGCCCCATTGCCATCGCTCACTCAATCTATAATCATCCTATCACGATCCCCATCGTCTTGCTGCGCCGCCAACTGCGCACCCATCTCGCGCAGCTTATCCAGCATATCCCGCTGCCGCGCGAGCCGAGCTTCGAGCGCCGCAATCTCAGCCTCCTGGTTGGGTATAGTACGGTTCATATCGGGCAGACCGCGGATCAGCACGCGCGCGCGCTGGAATCGGTGCTTAAGGACGTCAGCGGCAGGCGGGATCTCCTTGAGGGCCAGCTCGCCTGTGTTGGTCGTCGTCGTGGCGCCGTTGTTAGTTTGCGCCTGGGACTGGTTCTGCGAGTGCGGATGGCGGTGGGATGGAGGTGGAGGGGGTTGATGGGAGGGCGTGGGTGCGGGCGTGTTGCCTGTTGCGGTGCCGGAGGGGGTGCGCAGGCGGTTGAGGAGCACGGCGAGTTCGGTTAGGGTGTCGAGATAGTCGGGGTTGAGGCCGTCGGGCATGGCGAGGACTTGGGTCTTCGGTGCTGCCGTTGTTGATGCCATTGTGAATGCAAATATTGCGTGATATCTTAGTTAATAGAAAAACGTGAAGTTGAATAAGAGGTTTCGGGGTTTAGCTAAGGACAAAGACATCCAGAGTTGAGTACTTTGTAATTAGCTGTTTGGCACCTAAACGCTAATATGCGGTGGTAGTTTACGTAAAAGCGAACCTTGATGGCGAAAGGGCAGCTGAAATCAGCCTCAAACGCTATTAATAGAGCTAGATGTGATTGTCAATAGTTTCGTCAACGATGATTTGACTATTGGTGTTGTATTATGTATTAGGCGGACCGCGTTCCTGCGAGTCGGAGATCTGAGCTTGTCCTTCCGACATGTGGGGTTTGCGCATTGACGTCAAGTTGACATTCACCTCTGCAGGTGGGGTTATCCGGCCGACTGCAGACTCGTGATACTGATCTTCAAGATTAAAATGATGTACCTATGGTTTCGGTTTCATAGTCCGAGCTCATTTCTTGCTGTTTATGTACCTAGGTACTTACTACGCGTTATTCAATGATTCATATCCTCGAAAGTATATGGATCAGGTACCTAATATTAATAAATAATAGAAGCAAATACACTACGTAAACGTAAGGTGTAATAATCACCTGAGGGGAATAATGGCAAGACAATGTTATCGATAGACGGATTTTTGAACGGAGCATAGAGACTAACCCCCACTATAAGCCATCCCTAGCCCATATACGGTTGACCAGACAAGGTACTGTGCCAAAATAAAAAAAATAATCGCACATTAAACTAAAGTTGGTAAGGGGTCACTTGCCACAATTTAGAAAATATTAAATGTGTACTTTTAAGCTTTATTACGGTTTATTGTTATAGAAATATTGGTTTAACCAATATAATGTAAAGGATTAACCAATTAAATTAAAGGATTTAATTGTTAATTTAATTTTTAATTTAATTTTTAATTACCATTTATATTTATAAAGTTAAATAATTTTATAATTTTAACAATTATAATATTATAATTAATATTATTTTATAACTTTAATTAAGGTAAAAATAATTATTTAAGTTATATATTTATATAATATATTATTGTTAAAATATTTAAAGTTTTTTAAAAATAATTGTTTTAAAAAGTATTAATTAAATAATTTTATATAATATAACTTTTTAATTAACCAATTAGTTAATTTTATACATATATATATACATACATATATTAAAAATCATTTAAAAAAACCTCGTTTTTAACTTTTTTGCTTTAAAATAATTATATGCGACCGTATAATCTTTAACCAATATATGCAATTAAGTAAAAAATATGTAAAAATAAATAATTATTATATCGTTATTTAAATTAAATTGAATTAAATTAAACATGAAGTTATAATAAAAATATAGTGTAAAAATAAAAATAAAAATAAAAATATTGCCAAACAAGCGGTGTAAAATTTAACCAATAAAAAGGTGCGCATTTTAAAAAAAGTAAAAAACCGCCCCGTATTTAAATACTTATTATTCCAAAGACTTATACGTATATGTAATACTTTTTAAAACAATTATTTTTAAAAGATTTTAAATATTTTAACAATAATATATCGTATAAATATATAACTTAAATAATTATTTTCGCTTTAATTAAGGTTATAAAATGATACCAATTATAATGTTATAATGGCTAAAATTATAAAATTATTTAAATATGTAAATATAATAGTTTAACTTTTTTTAAAACATATTATATATAACGTTATAATGTATGTATTTAAAAAAAAAAAATCTTTTTTCCCATACAAAAATGCGAAGTACCGTAATAATTCGAGCTAATTGCGTTAACCTGTGGCTAACTACCCTTTTAAGCTAAGCTTACAGATTTTTTTCATTTTGGCACAGTACCTTATCTGGTCAACCGTACTATATGTAGCAGCCCACCATCATGCGAAACATCTCAACACTTCAAGTCCAAGCCAAGCCATTACCTCCGTAGAAAATCACTCAACATTCCCTTTTCTCTTTCTTCCTCCTTAGACCTCTACCCTAAGATTGTTTCATACTATTGTTAAACTAAAAGATAACTTAAAAAGCAAGAATGGCTGCGACGAAGCAAAAGGCGTGTCTGAGTACGTCCTATCCCTCTATTTTTTCTGTTTCTCTTGCCCCTCCTCCTCATATCACTCGAACTGGGCCTAGAAAGCCCGATTACTTTACTTCTGCTTGCTACTTCCTCATATATCTCGAGATTGGCTGGCTAATCTTCTACGCCTTACGAACTTACAGTCGTGATTGATGGCTGGGGTATCGCCTCCGCTGACTCGCCTAAAAATGGCGATGCTATCGCCGCTGCCAAGACCCCCGTTATGGACGACCTGTCCAAGAGCGCAACTGGTTTTACCGAATTAGAAGCTTCCTCCCTCGCCGTCGGACTTCCCGAGGGCCTCATGGGTAACTCGGAAGTTGGCCACTTGAACATTGGAGCTGGAAGAGTAGTATGGCAAGATGTCGTCCGAATCGACCTGGCCATCAAGAAGGGCGAGCTTCCCGATAATGAGGTTATCAAGAATGTTCTTGAGAGAGCTAAGAATGGCACGGGAAGGCTCCACCTGTGTGGTCTGGTCTCTCATGGTGGAGTGGTACGTCAAGTCGCTTTTGAATCTCGCAGACCTTGTTGCTGACTGGACTATTTAGCACGCCAAACAAACCCACCTGTACGCTCTCCTAAAAGCCGCCAAAGCCGCCGGAGTCCCCAAGGTCTATATCCACTTCTTTGGCGACGGCCGTGATACCGACCCCAAGTCAGGAGCTGGCTATATGCAGGAGCTCATCGACACAGCGAAGGAAATTGGCATTGGAGAGATAGCTACCGTTGTCGGTCGATACTACGCTATGGATCGTGACAAGCGATGGGAGAGAGTTGAGGTTGCTCTGAAGGGCATGATTCTAGGAGAAGGAGAAGAGAGCTCCGATCCGGTCCAGACCGTCAAGGAACGGTATGAGAAGGGCGAGAACGATGAATTCCTTAAACCCATTATCGTCGGTGGCCAAGAAGCCCGGATCAAGGATGATGACGAGGTTTTCTTCTTCAACTACCGATCGGACCGTGTCCGACAGATCACTCAGCTGCTCGGAGGAGTTGACAGGTCGCCTAGGCCCGACTTCCCTTACCCTAAGATTAATCTCGTCACTATGACACAATACAAGGCCGACTACCCCTTCGAAGTTGCCTTTAAGCCTCAACATATGGGCAACGTATTGGCCGAGTGGCTTGGCAAGCAAGGCGTCAAGCAAGTCCACATCGCCGAGACTGAGAAATATGCTCACGTAACATTCTTCTTCAATGGTGGTGTCGAGAAGGTCTTCGCTCTAGAGACCCGAGACGAATCTCAGGACTTGGTACCTTCCAACAAGTCCGTCCCGACATATGACAAGGCTCCTGAGATGAGTGCCGACGGTGTTGCAAAGCAGGTCTGCAAGCGACTTGCGGAGCAAGAGTTCCCGTTCGTCATGAATAACTTTGCTCCCCCGGATATGGTGGGTCACACAGGTGTGTACGAAGCAGCAATCATTGGCTGCGAAGCCACCGACAAGGGCATTGGCCTGATCCGCGATGCCTGTAAGAAAGAGGGCTATATCCTCTTTATTACTGCCGACCACGGCAATGCCGAGGAGATGAAATTCCCCGATGGCAAGCCCAAGACCTCTCACACGACCAATAAGGTTCCCTTCATCATGGACAACGCGCCCAAGGGCTGGTCATTGAAAAAGGCCGATGGTGTTCTTGGAGACGTCGCCCCGACTATCTTGACGGCTATGGGTCTACCAGTGCCCGAGGAGATGACTGGCCAGAGTCTCTTGGTTGTTGAATAAGTGGCATTATTTCGTAGAGCATCATCGTTGGGACACTGGGCTAGATGAGGAGTTGGGAGGGATTAGGTAGAGGCAACATGGGAGGCGTAGAGATACCAACCGTATTAGACGATGAATATGGTTATTGATAATATACTTTCTTAATCAATTCTTTCTGAGGATTTGAATGTGAATTTTGATGTTACATACCTCATAATGTGAATTATCATCTTATTGAGTTGAAAGCTGAGAAGAATAGATCATTAAGGTTCAATCTTGAAGGTTCCGATTTCCTGGGCTCGATACCTACCTACGTACTTCGTACTGTGCTTATACTTTGTTAGTGCATTTTCGTGGGCGTATCCGATATTGCTGATAACTTCATACGCCTATCCGTTTCCGTGCTAGCGCGCACACGCAGTTTGACAATTCCAAAACTTCCGCAACTTGATTTCAGCCCCACCAAATCGACTTTTTCCTGAACCTCGACCATCGTGAAAGGACTCGCTTCGACTTCCTCGCGATCACCTCCAAGATGGATTCCGAAGACCCCCAAGAGCGTCCCGAGGACGTTACCAACATCATAAACGGCCTAGAGCGATACAACCCCGAAGCCGTGGGTAACCTGGAGGACTATCTACGCCACCAGTGCGAAAACAGATATACCGATTCCAATGCGAATCGGACCTTACTGAAGCTGTGAGTATTTTTCCAAATATCTCATATTTAAAATGGTGTTACTGTCTACTTTGGTTGGAACGATGATCAAATTATCCACGTTTCCTATTACCTGACGGGTAGCGACGTTTAATAAAAACGTCCGCCGTTGTGATGTCTCTATTAGCTCTATCTGACCTCCAAGTCGACTTCCCCTCGCGCTACTCGCATACGTCTCCATCTATCACGGTAATATTACCATGAAAGCTAACCATGAATACAAATTCCAGATACCAACTCAACCCCGACCGCGTTAAGGATGAGGTCATCACAAACATCTTAGTCAAGTCCCTTACTCTGTTCCCGTCGCCCCAGTTCTCCCTGGCGCTGCACCTGATCTCTCCCAACCTCGTGGCGCCTAACCAGCGTGCCGAGCTACCTGAGGCCATCTCCAAGCTGCGGGAGCTGAACCTTCAGCTGCAGGGTGCGCAGTACGCGCGTTTCTGGGCGACGCTGGATTCGGACGATCTATATGCCGATCTGACCACCGACATCGACGGCTTCGAGGAGTTGATCCGCGGCCGCATCGCCAACCTCATTAGCCACGCCTACCGCGAGATTGAGCTATCCGTACTTGAGCAGTGGCTCGGCCTCGAGGGCCAGGCTGCCGTTAAGTTCGTCGAGGAGACCGTCGGCTGGAAGGTCGAAGGTGCCATCGTCAATATCCCCCGCAACCCCGAGAACGAGGCCAAGAAGAGCGAAGTCCGCGAGGACGTCAACGTAGACATGTTCTCAAGAGTCATCAGACGGGCCTGGGAAGAGACCGTATAATCTTACCTGGGACAACTTGTCTGGGGTTACGATTTTGGCGGCAACGGTGGTGGATCGGTAGCGAGACTAAAACAGCATTGGGAAAGACGACAAATACGTCTTTGGCGTTACGGATGACGAGTTCGGTAATTTCCGGATTTGATGTGCTGTTTGCTCCGCCGTCGTTAGATAGGCGGCCATGAGATATCAGAAATGAATAAAAATCACGATCTGAATGAACGTAATGCATCTTTCCCTATCGTTACGTAGTCTCATTACTCTTGTCCCTTCCACCTACAGAATTGTCTATTTCAATAGTTGAACTTTTGCATCCATCAGAGCAATACAGCTGAATTAGTTCAGGGCCCTAGTCGAATAGAAGCAAGAAATAACAGGAAGAGATTAAGCACATCTCTTCAGTCTTAATAACCCTTCTCTGGAGTTTTCCACCAAAAACACCTGCTTTTTCTGGCCCTTTTCCTCATACCGTACTCACTACAGAGACATAGCACCTAGAACCTCCCCTACTCCCCTACTATCGTTTAGCACCGGTAGCAGTCAATTCCTCCCACTGCACACCAGCCCACTCCTCAAGATACCCAACCTCACCTTCAGACACACCACGAGCCTGACAGTCTTTCTCGCACACCCCAACAATAACAGTACCCCAATCCATACCCTCCAGAGACAGCTCATCAGCCTCCAGCTCCGTAATCGCATGTGGCGTCATCTGCACCTCGAAAGTGCGCGTGGCACCACAATTCCCACACCGCGGCATCCCCTTCGCCGCAGTCGTGACCCCCCCGGTCCCAGGCGCCGCAAACAGCTTCCCCACGGCATCCGTCTTCGAGTACAGCAGCGGCTGTCCGCCGAACTCGTACCGGATCGCTTGTTCGGGGTTCTGCGCGAGTCGGTCTGCGAAGCGCTGGAAGGCGGCGTCCATAGAGGACTCGAAGACTTCGCGGTCTTCTTTGCCGCCTTTGGTGTTGCTGCTGCTGCCGTCGTAGTCGACGTCTACCAGGCGCGTGTTTTGGGGGATGGCGGGCGCGGGGGTCGGGTCTAGGGTCTCGTACTCGGCTTCGGAGAGGTAGGCGATTGGGTAGGGGGTTGGTTGGTCGGCTTCGGTGGGCCAGGGCTCGGAGGGGAGTTGGGGGGAGGGGGTTTGTTGGTCGTTGTTTAGGTTGAGGGTTTGGGCGAAGGTCCGGGGTAGGGATTTGGTTTCGTCTGTGGATGTGTTGGTAGATGGCGCCGAGGGTTCTGGCTTGGGTTCGGGGTTTATCTCCGTACTAGCTGGAGGTGGAGAGGAGGGATTGCTGAAGGGGTTTCCGCTGGTAGCGAATGGATTACCGCCGGGTGAGGATGTAGTAGATGTGGAAAACGGGTTGGTGGAGCCGAATGGGGAGCCGAGCGACTGAGCGCCAAAGAGTGTCTCGCCTAGATTGGATGGCGGTTGCGACTTTGGCTTTTCTTCTTTCGGCTTTGCCTTCTCCTCCTTCGTTGTAGTTGTGACAGCTGCTGTAGGGCTTCCAGGAGCTATACGCACGCTTCGTAGAGCGCGGATGCTACCCTCTTTTCGACGACATGTCTTCCGCCGGCAAGAGAAGACGTATAGTCGGCGCTCATGGTCGGGGAAGCGATTCGGTAGTCCGCCGTCTAGCTGTAGGAGTAGGACCATAATATCCTTGCATATCTTGCATCTTGCGAGAGCAGCTGATGGCGCATTGTTCGGGTCCAGCCATTCCTATATCATAATATCGGCGTTAGTCGTGGCGAGTAAATATAAAAACGGGTATCGCTCGCATACCGGGCGGCCACCCAATCGACTTATAAAATCATCACCAGCGTCTCTTGATGCATATCCGAGGAGCACGTTGGTCTCGGTAAAGTCATCTTCTTCGCCAGCAGACGAATCGCTATCGTACGGGGCCATATTGTAATTATATGTCCTCAAGAAAAAAACCAATACTTTCGTGGCGTTGAGTTGACTTCGTCGCAAATATTATTATTTTTTTCTTATCGATCTGGATTCTTATCGATCTGGAGGGGTTTATAGAGGGGTTGATGGAGGGGCTTATCTGCAGTATTTAAGTGCGGTTTTTATCAATCTATAATCTGTACAGTGCGTATAATACTTCACATAGACCGTTTGTCTTAAAGTCGAGATAACTTCACTTATGCATTTCTGTACTGACCCTCTTAAAGAGACTATTAAAAGGACTCATTATTGTGACCATTCTAGGTTATTCACATTCAGTCCAGTTCAGTCTTATTCTAAGCAACCTCTTTCTTGTATCCAACTTAGGATATGCGTCAACAATTTACAAACATCTAGGTACAAGACTTAGAGAGTAACACCAAATAGCAACGTAACGGTTAGTTCTTTAATATGATTATAATAATACTAACAACTACCCAGGTACAGTTTCATCCAGAAATATCCATAAAGTCCTTCAACCTTAGTTAGTTGGGACACTAAGAGTTCATGGTGGTGAATTGTATCAGTCAAGTCTTTACTGTCACGATTTCTCTCTGATCTTTGGGCATCTACCTAAACTTGTGGTTCTTAATTGCCGCTGAGGCAAACAAAAGGACTTGACGAGCCTTCTGGAACTATGCACAAACTCTGTATTCCAATCATTGCGGTTTGTCTCAACTTCCTGCCCTGATTTGAGATAGGGGAACTAGTCCGATGGCTATTTACATTACATGTTGTCCGAATGCGAAGATCAGAGCTTCTTATTCCCCCATAAGTCAGTTACAGCGTTTATGTAGACATCCCCGTACTTGATAATATGGTTGCAATGTGGGATGTTGTCAAACATGAACTCCTTTACTTCTTAACACTTGTGAGCTTGTTCCGCATGCAGCAAAACGTCCCTCTAATCGATCATCTTATCTGCCTTACATTAATTATAGCAAATTCTCTTACCACTGATGAGATTGTCGTCCAAAATAGACTTTCGTCAGTAGTCTTCAAGGGCCTCATATCGGCCTATGACGATGGATAGATAGGAGAGATATCAGAACATGGGCAATCACCGAGGCAATGAGATTGAGAGGAAATCCCAACATTTTTCTATGTAAGAAGCGCCGGTGGGGATGCTATCGCATATTAAATCGACTAGTGGCAGCGGCTTTCCCAGTTTTCGTTCGAGGACAATCAGTAGGTTTGTTGCCAAGTTGATTCCACCATTCGATATCATATGGAATAGTATCCGGGACTTAGTACCTGGGTTCTCGAATCCGTCATCTTCTGGATGGATATAGCCACATTCATCTAAAACCTGGCAGACTGCATGTTTGGCTGGCTTCATAGCACTTTCATACTTTGAGTAGGAACTAACCATGCTCCTTATTTAGAATTTGACGGCAAGCGAAGCCATGGCTATTACCTCCCAAGTGCCTTTGATGCGATGTCACTGTGACTATAACAGGTACCTGAAGTAATCATCCCCTGCGTAGTTTCGTCATTCTCTTCAAACCCTTGCATCAATACATCAACTCATATCATTGGACACATCCTTATACGCTTCTAGCGAGTCATCACTGCCGTCAGTTATATGATAGGACTTATAAATCTATAAAGGCTGAACGGCTAGCTAGTTATAATACCTATGAATGATTATCTTAATAAGCATAAGATATAAAGGAAAGCAAATAATCACATAGGTATACCTGCCTACCCATGTTTTCTGGGGCAAGTGATCTTTGTAGGTATGACCAGGTATCCGTACGGATTAGGTAATAGAAAGGGATAACGTAACGAAAGGAAAGGGAAGGAAAGACAATACGAAATAAAACTATCACGATGACTGTTGTTGTATTGATTGATTGATGTTGTAATGGTTACGAATTGTGTGTGTGGGTGTTATCTAAAAAGAATTGCTTTTTGTGTGGGGAATAGTCATGTGTTACTACGTGATTATCTTTATGTAATGATATTTTATTACTGGTAACTTTTTTCTTTTCCCTTCTTTTCTCGTATGACGTAATTACATACAATTTAATTAATTTAACATTGACAATTTCTTTTTTTTTTTTGTCTTTAATCCGTTTTTTTTATATTATGACGTAATTGTTAATAAGTTTTAATTTATTATAATAATAATAAATTAAAACGGTTAAATATGTAATTAAATTTTTTATTTAATTAAATTTTATTAAATTTTTTTATTTAATTTGATTTTATATTAAACCTTTTATTTGATTAAATTTTGTTAAATTTTTTTTTTTAATATGGTTTTTTATGGTAAAATCTTTTGTTATGTTAATTAAAGTTAATTAAAGTTAGTTAAAATTGGTTAAAGTTAATTAAAGTTAATTAGTTAAAACGGTCGAAATAAAAGTCGTTTAGTTAAAAACGAGGTTATTTTCGGTTAAATCGTTTAGTTAAAAACAAAGTTGTTTTTAATTAAATTATAAAAATTATTAATTTAAATTAATTAAAAATAATCGTATATTATAATAAATTCGATATAATCAACCAATTTTAATTTTATAATAAAAATCTTTAACGATTTTAATTTTTTTATTTAATATATTATCCGTTAAGTTATATTTTTCATTTTTATATTTGTATTCGTTATTATTATATACTTTAATATAATTGGTAATGCTTTGTGATTTTATCGGTTTTATATTAAACTTGTTAAACTTTAATAAAATTATTTATAAAATTGGTTATATGTTTTATAAAGTCGGTTCCGGTGTTATTTATAAAATTAACTTCGGTATTATCGTTAGTTATAAAATAAGTTTAAATGGAAATTCCGGGAATTTTTTAACGTTAATTATTGTTTTTAATCTTTTAAAAGTGGTTTTTTTTTTATTAAAATATATTCCGTGGTATAAAAGATAATTTATTATTAATTTTTAAAGTAAAAAATGTGTTTTTTAAAAGTGTTTTATTTGTTATTTTATAAAAAAGTTTTTAAAATTATCCCATATATTTTCGTTACATTTGTTATTATAATATTTAAAATAATACGTAAAGTTTTCCGTATAATATATATTAATTTCCTTTGTTATTACTTTATTTAATTCGGAATTATTAAAGTTAATGGTTAAATTAATGTTTAAAATATTATCGTTAATATATTTGTTTTATATTAAAATTATGTTAAATAATTGTAAATATAACAAAAGTATTATAAAATACATAATAAAACGTAAATATTATAAGTTTATAAATTAAACTTTAAATACTTTTAAAATAACATAATAATTAAACCATTATTTTTTTTTATTAAAAAACGTTTTACGTTTTTTACCTTTATTAATTTATGGTTTTATTTTTTTAACTAATTATTAATTAATATAAATATAACTAAATATCCGTACGGATTAAATAATAAAAAAAAATAACGTAATAAAAGGAAAAAAAAAAAAAGATAATATAAAATAAAATTATCACGATGATTATTATTGTATTAATTAATTGATGTTATAATGGTTACGAATTGTGTGTATAAATGCTACCTAAAAAGAATTGCCTTTTGTGTGGGAAATAGTCACGTGTCACCACGTGACTATCCTTACGTAATGATATCCCATCAATCTTATATATCTTTATAAAACAACTTCAGCATTGCCATATTTTCCAAAGATACTTGTTCCGGACTTAATACGGACTTTTCCAGGATCCGAGTTAGAAGCAATCGTAGCACACTGTTATTGCCGTGATGACCGGGGTGATTTAACATCTGCATTAACTTCCCATACTCTCATCGACTAAACAGTCGACAACTGTTTAGCAGCTCCATAACACGAGGATTCTGTTTTGTGTTCACTGACAGGGGCTTTGCCGTATAAGGTATCCCTGAATGCAGGATCATGGAAATTGTATCGCCAAGCAAGTCGGCCCAAACAATCCCACTTCACGGTCTCTTTCGCATTAGCTGTCCTATGCTTGACTTGATAGCTTGTAGTAGCAACTGGGTATCGGATAGTTCGGTACTCATCAACGACAAAGTCAGCGCCAAGCTTCTGTGATCTACCGGCAACTACGGGAAATCGAGGAAAGGAGGTCAAAAGTCGAAAGGTGTTGGAAATTCTATGTGGGAATCAGCTGGTATTTAGGATACGTAGGTAGGGAAAATGTGGAGTTAGGAAAAAGAATTTCGAATTTCTTCTTGGGGTATTACAAGGTCTCGGACAGTTTCCATCAAGTCCTGCACGTAGGTATAAGACTACCTATTATAGAACAATGGAACCAATTTAGCCAATCAAGTTGTAGGGCTATCATGCTATCCAAGAAGACAGACGTTTCGGTGTCTATCACCGCAATTCTATACCATTATCGGACGCTTAGCCTTGTATACGATTTCAAATTATTGGGCTTAATATTCATATTCAGTAAACGTATGACCAATCAATACCGTCCACGGAAGTCCGAGAAGCGCCGTCATTAAATCGGCTATTCTTCGCGTTCCGCGAGTTAGAATGCAAGGTTGGCGGTTGGTATGAACTATATATGGCCTTGACTGAAAGACACTACGATAGTTCTCGAAATAGTTCTCGATTCTCCAGTCCCATACACAACTATCTTATTCTAGTAACATCAATCAAGTTCAAACACGCGATAACAATGTCTCCAGCACTACTTATCAAAGACGTCTGCATCTTTGACGGCGAAAGAGAGATCTCATCTGGTAGCGTACTCGTGGAAAATGGGTTGATCAAGCAAGTGACAGAAGGATCACTTGCTGGACTAGACGCATCTACTATTATTGTTTCCAAACCGGGACATACATTAGTTCCCGGATTTATCGATGGCCATGTACACGCAGATGTCGACGATGACAACTCAACACTGAAGCAGTGCTTGAAGTTTGGCCTCACTACTGTCTGTGATATGCACCAAGAGGCTGAGAACATCAGCAAACTAAGGGAGCAGGCTGCAAAGGACTCGGATTCGGCAGATTACAAGACCGCTAGCCAAGCTGCAACTGTATTCGGAGGGTGGCCAACACCTGCTATATTAGCCCATGACAGCTCGGATGAGGTAAAAACTTATATATAGGTACCTAGAGATTCTACATAATGCTAATGAGAAGTTAGACGATAGCTCGAATTTCCGCCTGGCCAAATATAAAGAGCAAAGCTGATGTGGACGCCTTCATCCAAGATCGCCTCAACGATAAGGTGGATTATGTAAAGCTGATGCATGAAGATGGCAACGGTTTGTCCATGAAGCCTACATTGATACCTATAGAGCTTCAGAGAGCTATCGTCGAATCCACCCACCAGAATGGCCTTCTCGCAGTTGCGCACGCTATGAGTCTTAAAGGGACAATAGAAATGTTACAGGTTGGCGTCAATGGGATGGTGCACACATTCTTTGACCGGCCACCTACAAAAGAATTAATCGATGCATACCTATTGAACAATGCGTACGTCTTGTATTTTTAACATCCGAAGCCTCAGCGTTGACGGGTTTATTCTAACGAGCTGGATATAGATACTGTAGCCCAACCCTAGTGACGATCGCTAGCTTGACCTCGGAAGGGCTGAAAGAGCAACAGAGATACTGCCAAGATCCTCGAGTCCACAAACACCTGAGCGATCAAAGTAAAAAGAACCTTCACAGATGCATGGCACTTAGCGATAGTGCGGCAAAGGTTGAATATGCTTATCAAAGTGTGAGGGAGCTGAAAGCTGCCGGAATCGAAATTATCTTGTAAGTGCAACCGCGGCTAATCATACATACTGGTCACTAAATATTCATCCAGGGGATCTGACTCTGCTGGCCCTGCACATGGAACTGCTTTCGGCCTTACTGCGCATCAGGAATTAGCCGTGCTGGTTAAAGAATGTGGCTTCACTCCAAAGGAGGCATTGAGAGCAGGGACTGCGCTAGTAGCCAAGAGATTGCGTCTCAACGACAGAGGAAGAATTGCGGAAGGGCTCAGGGCAGATCTGGTCTTGGTGGAGGGTAACCCTCTTCAGGACATCGACCACACGCTTAACATCCGGGGCGTGTGGAAGAAGGGCACCCTTTGTTCGGCGTATAAAGGAATTACGGCGTAGGTAACCGGACCCTCTTCGATGATTCTAGAAAAGGATTTTAAAGCGTGACGACTATACTGAAATACATACATACCTGAACATACTTATCTCCACTCATACTCAACATATCAAGTCAAGGTGCTATACGTATGATTCAATGCACAGTGCCTAGTGTTATACACACTAGCAAGTCATATAAAAACTATAGATCAAAGTATCCTAGGGATTGGATACATATCTATCGTCATCATGTTTAACTGGAGGCAGCCCTGCGGGCTGCACAATATGCCCGAGTTTACATAATTGCGCACGTGCCATATACTGCCCATTGAGTTACTTTCCTATTTGGGCCATGGAAAAAATTCGACACAATAACCCCTCGTAAACTCGGGCAAAGATATATAGAGTAAAGTTAAATAACTCGTCAAAGCGCTGAGGCCTAAGTAGGTGTAGTGTTTTAATCTTGCATGCATGCGGGAATATATAAATGTAAATTCTCAACAAATTTTCACATCCGAATTGGTGTAGTGGCTAACATTTGACGCTCTCAAGACTTCCTAGTTGAAGGACCGTCAAGCCCGGGGTTCGATTCCCCGATTCGGAGTTCTTTTTGCTTTTGTTTTGCGGCTAAATATGTCGTTAGCTTCACATTTTGTGGGAATTAAATATGCAAATTCAATTCTTATTGTGGTTCCCCTGAACTCTCCGGGTGGTGCTAGTCGGAAAAAATTACGCGAGATTTTCGGGCCCACTCGGGAAATATGTTTGTCAAGATTCGCCCTAAAAGTATTTGGCCCCATATGAGATTAGTTCGTCTACTTCCTATATCAAGTATCCATACTGCACTGATGCACTAGAGGATACTTATACCAAATGGGATTGATATTGCCGTGATTCTGACACCAGATAGATATAGTGTTTCTTCTAGCTAAACTTTAGACAATGCTATCTCGTTCCTTATCAAAGTCAAATATGATGGTTTAATCAGCAAGTCACATATAATGTTTCTCGCTAAGTGCTTATAAAAACGTTACTATACGGACTTTGTGTCGAAACTCACGATAATAGAGTTGACTAAAGTCAGAGCTCCACTCAATGCGACATAATCCGGGAGGTGAATAGGAAAATTGATGCAAGAGCTTGGGACTGTATATTCTAACCAATCATTGAATATCCGGGAACCAACGCTTGCCAAAAATGATGAATCTGTGGTGAGGCTTAATAGGCCATATGGCATAGAGGCTACTATTTTTATGGGCTTGAGCATTTCGCTGGTTGATAGGCGTCTTCCCTCCGAGACTAGGACAATTCCGCAAAAGAGAATTGTTCATGTTTCCCATCGTCCCCCCGCGAAATTAAATACAATTCTATATCCTTTGACACCATAGCCGTAAAATTCTCATAAAACAAGAAATCCGGAACCTATTATAGTACCAGCTAAATAATATTCTAAAGGTTCGCAAGGGAACTTGCGCCCCTGTTGAGCAAAAGAAGAGACCCCCTAGATATAGCCTTAGTAAAACTCATTTGTTATAAAGGATCAGTGAGGTATCGTTATTTAGCAATGTACTCTTTCAATTGACAGCAAGCAGCTTGATATATGCATTAGCTTTTGCCCCGTGACCCATTCGTAGAATTGATATCGTACACCTAAGTCCTCTATTCGTTACCTGCTAAATTCAAAACTTTTCCGAAGAGTTATGCTGTATTCCTTAGTCACTAGATTTATACAGCACTTTTTCTGGTTAGCATATTTTTGATAGATAATCTTATTCGTTATCACTTCAAGGACTCTTAAAGACTAAGTAGAAGTAGCAAATCAGTTACTCACTTCAGTGGGATAATTGGCATTGATAAATCGATGCTTGTGACTGTAGAATAGACAATACCACCCTGAATTACTCAATAACGGTATGCCGCAGATGCTAAATTCTGTATTTAAGCACATAGGAATTATCTATTATTTCCGTCATTCTCGCCCACTCCGCTTCCAACATATCTTCCTTGGTAATCGATACTTTTGGTACTATCAACGCTTCCATACAGCCAGTCCTCGTTCCCGGATTGGCTTACGATAGATAGTCGAGATACCTAAGTAGATGTTGGTTTAGCGGAGTTGTGTCTCAACATGCCATATTTTAAGGACCGAGGCCTTACATGTCTCCCTGTTCGTCGTACAGAGATCCCAGAGCCGACCTCGTTGACTAGTTCACCAGACACGACGTCGTCCAACCCATTATACCTCTGTGAATTCCCTCCCTTTGACCCGACCGCCTCGTTTTTGACCATAATTCGGTCGGAGCCTGCTACATCTATCACGCAACCTACCCCGGCCGCTATTACACCGAGTTCCCCGATATGGGTAAGCCCTATAGGCACGACCGGACTGCCGCGTCCCACATTCTCTCCCCCCTCCGAAACACCACCTAATACTATAATAATCATCATTGTGGCATTCTCAGGTGCACTTGGGCTTATTATAACCCTCTGCATTGCCTTTGCGTGCTATCGATCATTAAAGCGTCGTCGACAACAGAATACTAGCGAGGAAAGCAATGACCAGCCTAACGTCGACGAAAATGCAGGTACTTCGCAAGAGAATAAGCAGCATAATAACGATTCACTTGAGGGGAATGAGCACGGAGTCAGCCCTTTCAGACCTGCCTCAAACCACTCCAATCAGAGGGCAACCGCCGGGCAACATTCGGGAGCATCTATGGGAACGTCTTCGGGTTCTACGATGCATGCCGGAAGAGCGTAGCAGAATGGCAAGATGGCAAAAGATCGGATGCCGGGTCTCAGATTTTAAACCATTTGGGGATGTGTGAAGAGAAGGCAGGACATTGATATTAGTAACGTGGAGAGTAGTTTAGCAACGATCATAATGTTTAATTCAATCCAGACATTGAGGAACTAGGATATAATGATACTTTAAATGGTGACAATTTAAGAAGTATGTCCTCAAGTGCTAGAAAACTATAGTAGGTACATGTCCCACTTATATTAACAAATCAATATCCATCACTTTGGGAATAGTACAAAAAGACCAGCCAACTAATTTCAAGTGAGTAATGTACCGTAGTTTTCTGGTGCTTGAGGAGATATTATTAAATTTCAGCTTGGCATTACTTCTATGGGTATTACGATACACGGCGTCAAAATGATCATGCAAGTGAATCTGCAAGGTAGTTAGTTCGAACTACATATAAAAAACAGTGCGCTTGTGAACTTAATTTTGTCCAAACCCACATATATTTATGTAGTTGTTTCATTTACCTCGGAGATAAGATGTTAGTGCTTAATGGTGTCGGTATTGTCAGTATCCCATGAAAAGCTCTCTGGTGGTATCAACATGAATCTTGTAGAAGTCGCTAGCTTTTGTTAAAATCATAAAGATCCTACAAGCTTCATAGGTCTATTGATGGAATTCAATGTCAGCTCGGGGTATATGTACATGTAGAAGAAGCAATTAAGTTCTTTACTGTTCCGGAATTGTGGGGCTTGAGTTCGGCTACCGGTAGCGCTACGCTATATATAGAACAATAGTTCCACTACGGGTAGACCCGCCCCCACCTCATCCACAGTACCGGGTTCTTAGTAACCTTATTCATACTTATGAGCTCCCTATTGGCTCTTGGTCTTCGACATCATGAAAGATAGTTTAGCAACTTTACGAAGGTATAAGATATGATAAGATTTTTATCTGCGTGGTCAAAAAAGCCAGTAACAACACTCAGTCAAGCCTTCAAGTACCATAGCTTGACTTAGTCTTCATGCATCTAAAATCCCTATGGCCAACGTTGAATAGTATAATCTCAATTAATGTAAAACTAGATCATAGACGAAGCGCAAACCATGAATGTAGCGTAAAACAAAGCCGGGTACAAGTCGCATTAGGAGGACTATTTAACATCCGGCAGTCAGACTGGGTTTCAATACTTCCTTACAAAATACACCATCAAACAAACGTCCCTGATGATTCTTAGGGGTCCTCAAAGCAATCAAACGTCAAACAGAGGTCCACTTAGACCATAGGAAGCTGCAGTAACATCGAATACCTTTCAAGGCGACTAGACCTTAAAAGCTGAGGATAAGCGACGATAAAATGTCCAAGAAGGTCCAGATCGAATAATAATGGATAAACGATAGATGTGAAAGAAGCTACCGCGACGAGGAAGGCCGGAACGAGAACCTCGTCGATAGTTTCCTGGTAGACCAACATAACATTGACTCCGGGGGTAGGGGCGGATAGAGGGGCTTTGAGAGCCTGCTAAATGACTCCGAAAAGATCTGTGACGGAAGATCTAGGCAAATCGCTATAACAGAGCGAAGAGACCCTTTCGAAGTTCGTGTCAGATATTCAGGCGAATATTTCAGCCATGAATACCTAGCAGAGACACCTTGGGCACCGTCCCAATGCACATACATGTGCAGAGCAAGCATATAAAGGATCTAGTAGATGGGCTCTTAATTCCCATCCACTGTCCTTGCTTGATGTAGATGGATAACATCATCTGCAAGTTAACCAAGGCGAGCTAGGATCGCTTCCAACTCGGCAGCAATCTTGGCCTCGTGAGAAGTTTGCGTGTTATCTGAACTAGGTGTACGATCATCTACGAGAGGTACACTGTTGGGTCCGTCTTGGAATAGTTGGAGGCGGTAATCTTGAAGACTTTGTTTATCGGCCGGGTGACTTGTTGGTGGGTTTTCAGTGAAATGGTGAGTTGGCTTGGACGGATTTGCACTGTAACTCATCAGTGTCCCGTTAGGGTCTCATAATTCCCGTGGAGATATAGGTAGCGTGACTTACCCATAGTATGCCGCGCTGTTTGAGTTGTTGGCCATGGCTGATATTCAGTGATGGCTTTAGAATCAGACGAATATAGGCAGTTTCTGGATTCAACGTGCTGAGATTGTATGAATATAAGCCTCACAGGACGTCTATCGCGGAATAGGTTGGCGAGGGATATAACTCGTGTGAAGTGGACTTTTCAAGTAATATATGACAACACCGTCCATCATGGCGGACCTGTCCTCAGAAGGGTTGACGAGGCATCTAAGGCGTCCAAAGGCACCAACCATACATAACGCGCGAAAGGAAGATGCTAATGTATTGAATAGTAACGACATGGTCGTACACCATAAGGCAGAATATAATGAACGTTGGTTTGTTCATCTGTGGATTGCTGTATCTAGGCTATGTCAAAGGTGGTTCCAAGATGCCGTGAAACTGAGATTAGCAAGATCCTTGATTATGACGAACATGTCCTCGGTCAGCTGGTAGCCTTGGACGCCTACTGGGTACCTCGTCTGCTCTACACACCAAAATGGCAATATTTCTAACTTAGAACCAAACTAGCACTGCATAGACATAGAAATATTGCGCAAAATACGATATAAATTCATCTAGTTACAAGGCTGAAGTCGGCATTGTGTGGGAACTCCTTGCTCTTAGTTACCCTGAATTGCCCAAACCCAAGTTCCTTCAATGCAACTATGCAACATCTAGGCAATACATTGTAAGTATTCGAATAACTTGGGTACTACTTACTAGGCGACGTGACTTCGTGCTACCCCTATGAATGTTTGTTCATCATACCATCGAATAACGAATATGGGAAGACTGCTAATAAGGCCGCCGCTGTGCCTCCACCAGTACCCTCAAGGGTAACTGGTCATTCAACGAACGGTGCGCGGCCAAGTAGATACTTCGTCAAGGAAAGAAGATATCAATAATAAACGTTGAAAAATATTAGGCCGACTAGGAGCTCGTCTAGAAATTTTGTGATTTGTGGTGGCTGAGGCGTCTGTCTCGCAAAAGCCACCTAACAATGGTATGTTACTAGCTTAGCCCTTGGCCGAAACTAAGTTGCCCTGCCCCATTGATACTGTTCTGATGTAATAGAACCACTTGGACATTGAGGTGATGCATGGGCCTCCTTTGCGTTAGGCAGGAGTCCTTTGTCTATGGATGGCTGTATGGGTCCTTGACCTAAGAATCACTGTGTGGGAAAATTTCTTGATGATTAAACTGACAAAGATATCGTAAATGAATGAACCGTGTATCTCTTCAAAAGCATGGTAGAGGCAGCAGGATTGTCAAAAACGAGCTACACGGGCGATTGTAGCAAAGAGAGATACACTATCGGGTGAAGTAAGGATAACTCTTGACGACGATGCTGAAAGTGTTTGGTCTTGCATCTACTCTTACCTTGGGTGATGGTGATGTTGATTTATATATGTAAGGTATATTCGTTACAGTAGGTAGGCAATCACCTGGTATCATACCGTGGTTTCGGCCTGGCACCGGGTATTGTGAGCCTGCGCTCATCTTTTCCAAGTCCGGTGTTTACACCGCCCCCCCCCCCCCCTATCAGGCCATAGGTTACACTATTGTGTACCTATATTGTGCATAATTTCACGTCTAAGACTCCAATCTATCTGCCTTGTCCTTATGCTCTGTAGATAGTTAGGCCTTTTCCAACCGCATAGGACGTATAACAATCAAGTAATTACTAGGTAGAATATCCACTGCCTTGCCTTTGTCCGGTCACCTCAAATGCAAACTTTTCTAATAGATGTTACACACGTGCTATTATTACTCAGTCTTTTATTGGGCAGACAGCTCCAGATGCTGCAAAGTAACTTGCAGTGGTACTCCCACCTGCAGACATTCACCGAAACTATGCTTGTTTCTGACAAATTAGGTACTTATCACCTCATCTCAGTCTTTCCTTTGCTTTAGGCAGACATGATCTAAGGTTGGAGCAAAATATGCAGGGTTAATTAAATATGTACGTTCACCGAAAGCATGCCTTTCAGATCAATATTTCAGTAGCAGTCAGGCTTGTATTGTCCTAAGGTTCTATCAAAGCGTCCACCCAGGCAAGCAAGTTTCTAGTGACTAGGTAGATTTCGGTGTGCTCAGTTGTAGCCTGCATTTAATGTAGGACAATAGAACTTATTAATGCCTAACCCCCACCCCTGTGTCTTAAGCCACGGCTTCCTAAGGCAGCATGCACCAGCATTGACTACGTCACCACACCCTTCCAATGCAATATCGCAGTTTCTTTTCTTAGTATAATTCAGTGTGTCCAATGCTGGAAAAGCTCAAAAGGAGGTGAAAAGTACTAGAACTTAAATTTTTATTTACAGTTTTAATATTTTAAATTGTACTGTAAAGGGATTCCGGATTATATAATCACTAGATAAACTCGAGTAGGTAATTTATGAACTTCATTTAATCAAGGTCATACCTATTAGCACCTATGGTAATTACATTTCTGATGTTTTAAAACCATACCTTAAAAACACTTTAGATTAAGATTAATTTGTGTTCCCTATCAAGGTACTTTAGTCTTTGGAACTATAGCTTATTTTAATTTCCTAACACAAAGTCGCTAGTTACCAAAAGAAACAAACCTGACGAGAAGTATCAATCGTATTTTATATATTTACAGTTCCTTACCTTTGGTAATCAAGACGCAGGCTTTGGAGTTTTAAAGCAAAGGATCCCGGCCGGGTTGGAATTTACCCAGCCCTCGTTGAAACTAACTGCTAAAATCTAGCAATGACAAAGGAAGAAATTGATGTATTTGAAAGATAATCTTAAGCAGGTAGCTAACTATTATCTATGATAATTCCCCTTTATGCATATTTTATTTCACTTTCGTCATCTTTGTCCACAGCGTGAAATAGGAAATGGAGTTCGCGAAGCCTTGTGAATGAAGGGGGTCACCTAGGTATGTAATTGAAAAGATTAAACCCCCTACACGGGAAATCCACACCTTACTTGATCAGCTTTCCCCCGCTTTAGATAGGTCCGGCTCCACTGCGGGATGACCTGATAGGTACCTGTTAGATAAATTGATCTATTAAACTAACTACTAAAATGAAACATTATTATTTTTTTTTTACAAACACTCAAGATGAATCTGAATGTCTGAATGACACGTGACGAGCAGTCACGTGTTGAGATGTACTAAGGTACATCTCACAGTACCCGGCAATTCGGGAACATTTCTACTTTTAGATAAGCTCGGACCCACCTAGCGGGAGTATCCTTTAAGCTTAGTTGCACACTTCGGTTCCAGCCTCCGGATAACAAAGATCAAACATTTCGTAAAATAAACACTAGAAAAGTATAACGCTTAAGAAGAATAATGCTATACTTATGAATAAATTAATATCATAACTTGTCAATTTCCCTATTTTCATATTTTCAGTGTGGAACAGGGAACTGTGAAACAATCGAGATCTAGGGTAAACTTTAGAATTAAAAATGTTGGTGTATAAGGTAGGTTAGGTCCGGCAATTCCGGAACCCCTCCACAAGGTCTTTTAGAGGTATTGTTTATCATGTGAAGACATCGCAACGTAAAATAGTGCATAAAATGCGGAATATTTGCCATTGCATTGGACCTGATGCTACGTCCTTCCATGAATATGATTGCTGGATGATATGTATTCTGTACCCGACGAACCGATCCTGTTAAAGAAACTACCCACTATTCCTTGAAGTTGAAATAAACAAAAGTTCTAGCAAGTCAAGAACACGCACGCCAGCCTAAAAATTTCCCGTCACTTATGTAATAGAATAACGCGAACTGCTTGGTACCCATTATCTATCCTACCACGTAGAGTGAACCGATTCCGATTTGCCTTGCAAGTTTGCAATGGACCTAGCTGTATTGTGCCCCCCTTTGAGAAAATATGGTCTTTGATGTCGAGCTCTAGCAAGAGTTTCCCAAGTAATGAAAAACTCTGTGTATTTTAAGTTCAACCAGACGAACTTTCCAAAGGCATCGCCGTGCAAGTCACATGTAAAACCCCCATATACATTATTGATTAATATACGATGCAACGCGAACCACAACGCGCAAGGAATATTAAGCAATGTACTGAATGATATATAATAATTGTAACCTATGAAATTTGTATAGTCTGTGACGGTATTTTGTCCACTCTATCAGTTAATATAGAATAGTAATAGCCTTCGCTCACTGACATGCCGAACCATTTCGGAACCGTTAAGATGATAAGGCCAATGCGGGTGAATCTGTTCGTTGCATTATCAATGGGCAGTAGTCCCAGACATGTCAGCTCCCATTTAGTGAGTCTATCCCCCTTAGCACAGAGAAAGCAGAACACAGACTTGATCTGCAATCCTTCCGGGTTAAAATCAAACATTATACGACCTAACTGCTGGCCTGTATCGGGATCCCGCACTTCTCTTTCCCACTCTCCGTGTCCATCTAGCCCTGAAAAAGCTCCTAATGGATTGTGTTTCTCCTCAACGACCGCCATTTTCAGTCGGCCGCTGAGGACGAGAGTCTTCTGTGTGACGGTAATATAAGGGTTCGTTGTGGGCGACTGAGGCGGAGAAGTCACAATGACATCCGGAGCATTTCTAAGTTCGACGAAACCCTCGGCTTTTAGGTTTGGAAACTCGGCAACGTTTTGTATAGCCCTCGACAGACCATCCATCTTCATCTTTATAACGAGATCCTCGTTTTCCCAGCCTTGGAACTTTATGTATTCGCCTCTCCGAGAAATCCAAGACCATGATGGCGCAGAAACTTCAGCAGAATCCGGCTGGTTCTTAGGCGGATCCAATGCTATGCACGGAACATCCATGAGTAGAGGCTTACCGCCCCTATAATTCTCGCAAATCCTAGATAGGTTCATCAATAATATCGATTTTACGAGCTTCAGCAGCATTTCCATTACGGCTAGTAATAAGGCCTCATGAGTCCTTATATCGTTATACAAAGCCACATAAAGCCAGCCGATGGGAAAATTCCGACAAATCCAAGACCACAGCAGCGCAGGACCTTTTGCGGCTTTCGACTGGCCGTCCCTTTCATGAAAGCGTCTACGCGCGCTAACATACCAGCACAGGCCGGTCTGCAGGTCTTCGTGCCATAATCCGGCAAGGTATTTGCAGTTGTGTGTCTTCGCCATTGCTGTAGCTATACCGGCCAACGCAGGTAGCTCATCTGACTCGCGCGTGAGCTCTCTTCTGCTATAATTTTCAACCATGGAATACCAATGATCAAAGTGGTTATCTCGAAACCATTTATCATTCCGATACCGCACCCGATCAGGCAGAGGATCGGGATCTTGGATCCACATTCGAAGATAGTTAAAACCATCTTCCACCTCGCAGGAGTATTGAATCTTCTCAGGCAAGCCGGTAGGAGACCCAAGATCTCGGATAGTTGTGATACGCCTACGGCACGTCTCCATTGGGGTTCTCTCAGAACTTCTACCGCACATGCATCGCCAACGAATTTCTCGACGTCCAAAGACAAGCCCTCGAATTGCGAGAATTTCTTCCTGTAGGACCCAGCCTCGTCCATAAAGTGGCGAATAAGAGTCATGGGCGCCGTCGACATCCACGTAAACTGATCCCTCCACTGTCTTATGGTGAACGGTGGTCTTTAAATTTAGCAAACACGGCTTGTGCCACCGTGGGTCTCTGGGAAATGAGAGGCCAGAGTCTGCATGATCCCCGGCCGCCGCGAAAAGAGTAAGCGTCGAATACTGGAATATCTGGTCCATCATACCCATTTCTCTCTGCAGCTCATCTTCTACGTCTTGTACAATGCATAGAGCGTCAATCTATAGCCAACGGAATCCAAGTGAATGAGTGACGTGCATCGCATCTTTGAAGGTCCGGGGCAGGAAGATTAGAGGGATGCCTGTCTCTTCATGCTCACATAGGTTTTGTGCTAGGGTGAAGTACTTGGCACTTTCACCCCATTTGTAGCTCAATGTGATATAGTTCTCCACGCGATTCATTCCTTCGACCAGCACAGGTTGCTGTGGCTGACTGACATCGATGACACGGCTAGGCAATGGACCACGCTTGTCAAATTGCGCGCAGGGTTGATGGTTACGTAAACAGTACTGTAGCCAGAATGATGCCAATGCAATGTTGGCCAATGAAGTTGTTGATACGTCGAGGCGTGGAGAGTAAAGCTCTGGATGATTAGCTGGCAGTAATGCCCCCGATATTATACTTTCGTCATGGTCGTTATCAATGTTTGATATTCCATGGCACTCTGCTTGATCTGTAGAATCTTCTCTCGGTGCTGTTGTCAGTGCATGGAGCAACCCTTTTTAACCAAGCCAGCCTTAATGTTAAGGCATGCATACCAGCTGTTACTTGTAAACCTGAGTCTACCATTATATATTAAGTACCAGGGTTCCGCACCAGCTTTCATCATTCACTCGCAAGAGATGGACTAATTCGTCCAGTAGATTTCTAGAAACCTATCTTTGGAAGCAATGCTAGGTATCTGCCTTGCGTTTGCCTGGCTGGGGCGGGGCAACCTCCTGCACATGCAGTGCTAGTGGTTGGCTTTGATACGGTGGTTGATATTTAGTACACGCCCCTAGGAAAACAGCCTGTACGATCAAAAACGTATATTACCGTCGAGGTCCTGAACTGTTTTGGCCGGTTTAGGGGTTCCCATTTTCGGCCGCAAGACCCCCTGAGTTCGACCTCCTTTGAACCGACCCTCCCACAATTATCCAAGAGTGGTAATATTAGTTTAATAAAGATTCAGATACTTTGTTTCCTTGTGTATGTAAACAAGACTTTGCAGCTTGCTACAAGGATCTAATGTTCTAGTTCCCCAGAACATCATCTTCAATAGATGACACCTTTTGGTTTTAGTCTCGTGAAAATTGAGAAATGACTTCTTCATGTGCTTACGCTCGGACTCAATATTCTTCCTTAGACAAAATGACATTTTTGTGTCAAATTGGCAATCATGCCAATACTCCTAGTAAATGCTTATGGGCTTTCCATCCAATATTATAGACCGAAATAATCCATTCTCATGTGCCCTCCCTCGCTGTATCAAATGAGGAAATTAAAGTCGTCACCGTATTGCCATTTTATGTGCTTTATATACATATATATGTGTCTAGTATAGGTACTACGCGCTCGCCTTAGGCAATAGGACGCAGACACTAGACTTGAGGAAGATAAGGAAGGATGGCCGCAAGTTCGGCGTCAATACGTGCTCCGTGAACCGCTGGAATTTCTTCAGGGTCAAGGTCCGAAGCGATGATAGTGCCAATGGGAATAGTGAGGAATGCCTCCAGGCGATCCATCCGAAGATCTTGCTTGTCATAAGTAGTACGGGCAGTCCGTACTTCGTTGGACCCTAGGGGTCTTTCGCTACACAGGAGGGTAGGATGATACCTCAATCAGTTGTGTCCAGTATAGATAATCTCAAATCGGAAGGTTTCTGGATGAAGCACAGAGTGTATTCTTACCCGTTGAGTACGGCCCCAGTAGTTGACTCGGACGCCATGGCTACCTGATATAGGTGTAGGTAGCATAAAATAATAAGGTTTTGTACCTTGTATGTTATAGGGGCGAAGCAATCTATACGTTCATAGAAGAAAACGGTGGGTACTCTGTTATATAAGTAGCTCAAAGGCCTCGTATGAGTTGCATATGAAGGACCAGGGTTAGTGATAATGTAGTGTATTCATAGATTGCAATTAGATGAAGAGAGCAGGCGTCGCCTCTACTCCTTTATATATACTTCTGTTGTTAGTTAGTGGCCTCCTACGTCCACGTCAACGAGGAGTTACCAAGGTATGAGCTTGTATTCGTTCGCAATCTATTTCCTCTTCACGCTCGGCTTTGCGTGTACTAAGCCGTCGTCGAATGCGGGCTCATAGCGAGACTGTTTTATCTGATGTACGGCGCTACCAGCGTAACGTGAATTGTAGCAAACCCTGTGCCGAGCCCTTCACAGTACTTGTTGCTTAAATGTGAGGATTTGACGGACATTTTACTACGGTACTGCAGTACGACGACACCTTCAGATGATTTTAACCTCTCCATGTGTATACCGAACCAGGCCGAGCGATCCAGAAATACGTCCATGGTTGATCCCCCAAATGGTAAATTTGCTTTTCAGTATGGCACCTAATCCTTTTTAGTTATGATAACTGTCGTAGTTCCTTCTCCGTTATTATTGTAGCGTCAAAGTAAACATTTCATTAAGACGATACCTTTCATGCGGCTTTCTCACTTGTCTACCGAAACCTAATACCTCATGCAAGTAGGAGTTGTTGGTACACCTGGGATCTGGTATTACAGCTGCAGCTAGGTAGTCTAAATGGACCACTTACATCTGAACAAGACCATGACTAAAGTGCTATAACCCATCCGCCCTCCTTGAAATCCCATACAAAATCTCCCGGTAGTACCTAATGCCCTTCTTAATCGCCGAATATCCGATATAGCCGACTCTTAATGGTCTCACGACGGACTACTACGGTAGTGCTCTGGCCCAGCACATGTATAACACGTGTGGTGGAACCTTTAAGTATATTAGGCTCTCGAAAGTAACAACCGTGAGACACCTCGGGCGTTTAATCGTCCCTCGGATTCACTGGCTGCTTCCATTTGGCTATTAACTGCAGTACCTACTAACGACTTTCTATCTATTCTCCACATCCTCCCCTAACTAGTTCTTAACACTAGATAGGGGCTTGAAGGATTAGGTTCATCTAAGTTGCTGTTGGCTTGACTCAGTCATATGTAACTTGGCATTCTTCATCACTATGGCATTCTCTCTTCTGTTGAAGTTAATGAGGTTTATAACTACTGTCGTATTCGTCATGATTTAAATTTTAATGAAAGCTAATGTAGGCATACTCACTGCGCGAAATCGGGGACTCCTGCAAGTTGACTATCGCTGATGCAGTAGTTCCCCTCTCACAGAGTCCCATATAAGTTCGTTTGCAAATATGTTAAATAACGGCATAGACTCTAATATCCCATGTTATAAGACACATTCGGAAGTGCACATATTGCTCTAAGAGACGTTATTCGCGCGTGGGATGGCGGTCAAGATCTATGTTTGCTCTCGATTCAGGTGGTGGCAATGCACCGTGTAGCAGTAGTAAATTTTGGGTGAAACGAATTGGTTTTCCCACCCAATCTAAATCCAGATTTAACGAGAATTGCCGGCAGGCCGCATGGAATATTTATCTTCATTCGGGCCTTGAAGGCTTAGTTCCTCTATCGTGCACATATCGCAGACGCCGAAGGAAATCCGATGTTCGGTGATAAACTCCCATGTTTCACTTCATGTCTATGAAGTAGCTTAAAATCATACTGCATTAGATATTTCCCCTGTAGTCTACCGTTTGGTCAATTCTCCCTAGTTTGTGATAAGTATAGCCGTAGGACTCATGTATACGAAATCAGTCTTCTCCTAAGCAAACAATCGAGTGACCCCCACTCATCCCTATCCTGTAGGCACGACGCTTCTCTTTGCTTTCGATTAGGACCGTGCTTCGTCCGTTAGACTCCGAGGAGTTAAAGATCAACGGCCGGGATAAGGCGTGGGTCTCATCGGCTCCCCGGGGTTACTACCTGGGGTGCAAGAGCCCGAGTGAGGAACCAATGCAGACATGAGTTCTAAGATGTCTAACAAGCATTTGGCTTAATGGTAATGGATAAACTCCAGGATTGAGCCTGCATGTATAGTTGTAAGCTGAAGTCCAGATCTGTCGGCACACCTTCTTAACAAAAATAGATAAACTATTGCCAAATACGAGTCGTATACTCGTCCCCGACCATAAGAAATTCAGAAAAGATAAATATCTACATGGAATGAGCAAAGCTCTTTATATAGGAACTGAAGAGAGCAACTTTAAGTTCTAGAATACATAGGCCCACGGGTGCATGAGTAAAAAGGTACCAATCTGCTCAAATCAGGAAACAAGCTACGTCCGGGCGAATGAAATATGGAGTCCTTTGCATGATCGAACGATCAGTCTAGGTATGGGCGTGACGCATTATTCCCAGCTGTCCACTTAAACTTCTAATATACTCCCAGGAGTTTGAGCTATGTGATACAACTTAGAAATTTGCAAGCAGGTCATATAATTAGGCTTATATGAAGAAGAGTCTATTGCTCAACTATAGGCCACGGAGCTCATTCCATTCAACATGTAACGAGGGCATACGCATACGCACCCATCCAGATGTCCACAGGAAAGCCAAACAATCTCAATATATCAAGTCAATGTTAATCAGAAAGGGATTCTCAGTGAGAAAATGACATTGGAGAGTAATGAAAATTACGGTAGATGGATTCGAAACTCAGGGGGGCAATGGCATTATGATATTCTAATTCTAGAAAGCATAACATGTAGAATAGGTATTCTATCGAGAATAGAAATCTGTCTGACATTCTTCCCAAGGGTAATTCACGTGTTTAAGTTCAAGTTGAACCGGTATCGGGAGGCTTTACATAGCTTTACTCTCATGCGAGAAGCCGCACGGGGAAGCACCATATAGCTTCCGATTTCCAATTAGTGAAACTAATCATGCATTCTCGCATCTCACAGATGTTCCACAATCACATGTAAGAGGCTACAATAAGTAATATTAACCATGAATGGCGGCTATTTTCCAACGTCTTGCGGGAATCTTTGTCCATCGCCTCTAATTACCGTGGTTGAGACATGATATGGAAGTTGATGATAGATTATATCCGTAATATCCTCTTCATTAGAGATTCACTTACCCACGATTCAAGTAGGAGGTTACTAAATACCTCAAAGTATAACGAAGGATTTATATACACAAATTGCCTGTGATAATCTTCAAGAAGTATACTTCCCGTACTTTGTGCCCCCGCCAAGCTAGTAATGCGTGATCATCTCAGAGCAGCCAACCGAGTCAAAACAGCCGGAAATGCATCTGGTTGGTTACCGACTAGATTCCCCGTCAACTGCATTAGTATGAGTTTTATCCGAGAGTAGAGTCGTATCGTTAACGCCTTGAACGTCTTGTACTTGGACTTCTGTAGCCGGACCGCTATCATCGCCCTTTTCTCCGGATTCTGCTTCTCCTTGTTGCGGTCCTGGATTCTTCTCTACGTCTTTTTGCTTCTTTTTCTGGTTACGATTGACCCCCCGGATGACAACATCGAACAAACGCTCAAATATTTCCTTTAACTTGTCCACGATTGATTTTATGCCTGGGGCGAGAACTCCGATAACTATTGGCCCGAAGACCAATACGAGTGTTCCATAGCCTAGGATGCTAGCCCCAAGGACGACATCCTTGAACATTCCCACGATGAAGGATGACAGGACAAGAGCCCCGAATGTTATTAGTATGAGTGCGAATGAACTTAAAAGAAGCCGTCGCCCAAACTGTCTGTAAATCTCGTACTTCAGTAGCCTGCTCTCGAGTTCCTTTACATTAGCCAAGATAAACATGGCACCGAGGAAGAGGACGACAATAGTCGCCAGGAGGACTACGACGCCAAAGAAGTCGTATAGCAAAGTCCCCAAGTCTTTGAATCTTGATTGCATACTGAGTACACCCGCGGCGAGTGATAGGGGTAGAAAAATAGTAGCCAGAAGCGTCAAATTCTGAACATTGCCGGATTGGTTTAACTCTCGAGCCATGCTCAGGAATTTGAGGCTGTGTTCCAAACCGTCGGAAAACCTAGTGAGGCGTAGCTTAATGTCCTTACAGCAACCTCGAAGAGCTTTGTCAAGCACTAGGAGCCCAACCTTTTGGTCGTCGTTTTCATTTTCTGTTATACCCATGACCATGTCGAGTAACGACTCTATCGTAGCTACTAGCTCACTCCCACAATCCGAAAATTCCCGATATAGTTGGGAGTCGCTCATGATTGCTTCCAGTTGCCACCGTCGAAGCCCGGATAAGCGAGGATCGAAGTCTCGGCTCCGGCGATCAGTATAAGTTATTGCCATCAACTCTAGGAAATGGGTAAATATATTTAGAGCGGCATGTTGACATTGTAAGAGAAACAGAGGCCTCTGGTTTCCCCTAGTTCTTAGATTGCAGTATAGGTCGTCGAGCTTTGTGAGTTCTGACGCAAACCGTTCCGTGGCAATATGGGAGCGGTCGGGATGCCTCGTAAAATATCTACGAACTGACGTGGACGTAATTATTCCACATGAGATTAAAACTTGAGAGTATTAGTTCAATACTAGTTTCAAGTGTATAAGGTTATAGTATTATTACCTCTCAAGTTCCCGTCTCCAACAGCTATACAGCGTATGGCCCGAACTACCCGGCCCCATTTTCTATCAGGCCCCTTTACAAATTCTTTCAAGTCTCTGAGATAGGGTCGTGACTTTTTGCTATTTTGACCGGAAGCACGAGACTCGTCAGTGTCAAGGAAATCATAACCTTCTAGTCGGTACCACGATTCTGGATTATCATTCCACAATCCCGACACAAGCGCAGAGAAGCCTCTTTTTGAATCGCGGGCTATATGATAAGATTCGTCAATTTCGACTGAGATGTTACTCCCATCTGATCCTTGGGTTACCCATCCTTTATTGAAGCGATGGTGCGAGGGTTTAAACAATTCCGCCTCATCAGCGTCTGAATGGGAAGTTGGGAAAAGGGGGATACCAGGGATGAAGAAAACGAGGATAGATAGGACATCCATTTTCTTGACTTTGGTTTAGGGGATATACTATAGCAGATGGAGATACATGATAATTCTCATACGGATATGATTAATCGAAGGAATCTCAGCCTTGAGTAAGCCCTGGGAGCACGGGTGGTCCAACTGACCTATCAGATAATTGATATTGCTGACAACATACATATAACATACCGTAACTACGCATAATAAGGTATTTAATAAAATAATGAGTATATTTGGATAGAACGCTACCTTACCGACTGCATTTAAATCAAAAACAGTTAATTAATTAATTAATTTATTAAAATCTTAAACTTAAACTTTAATTACTAAAGCAATGGGGATTAAGCAAAAAAAAGCGTATTATGGTAAACCATTAATGCAATTGTATTAAAATTAAAAAAATTGGTTGCATTATGTTTAATAAAATAATAATAACATTAAATGTATAATATTAAAAAAACCTTTTTGCTATCCGGATTATTAAAATCTAAATTTAATTAATTAAATTAAAAATTCCATTATTAATTTAATTTTTAATTACTTTATATATATAACATATAATACATTTAAATAACTTTACGAAAATAATAATATAAACGTTATAATTGGTATTATTTTATAACCGTAATTGATACGAAAATAATGGATTAAATTATATGTTTATGCGATATATATTAAATATTATATTGCTATTTAAATAATTAAAGTTTATTTGGAATTATTTTATCGAGGTGTTTTTAAAAAATATTACGTGTTTACCTTTTTAAACAAACGTTATTTAATTTTATTATAACATAATAATTAAAAAACCGATTTAAATGTAATTTAAATAATTATTTTTACATTAATTAATGTTATTAAATGATATTAATTATAACGTTTAAATTATTATTTTCGTAAAGTTATTTAAATGTATTATATATTATATATAAAGCGATTAAAAATTAAATTAATAATGTAATTTTTTAATTTAATTGGCTGATGTTAAAGATTAGTGGGGAGGATAGCCCGGATATTAATGTTTATAATAATAAACCTTATTTTTTTGTATATAACGTACTGTGTATTTAGCGTTGCTTATTATATTACCTTATTAGACATAGTGCAGCCAATTTTCTTGATTTTGGCACAGTTGCACTAATGGTCCACCATACGTACCTTAAAAGTAACGGAGTTATCTGATGTTAAATCTCTATATCTTATCGATAGCAACATGATTAGATTATAGCCGTTCAAGCTGACGTAGCATCGCAGCTACGTATCTTAGGTACGAAATACCCAAGCTTATTAACCCATAATTTTCCAGTTCTCTTCCCAATATTCAGTCTTTTTTTTATTTATATACTACTCCCCGCGGCTCTACGACAACATCCTGCAGCACGCCCCCCTTCCCTCGATGACCCTCAACGCCGGTCTGCGCATCGCGCGCGTCCGCTCTCCGTTCCTCAGACCCAATGGGTCGTCATATACCCTGGTGTCCCTCGTCGCTACGAGCCGCGCCTCAAAGCAATGGCAGATAATATCCCAGACAAGCCTGCGCCTTGCCTCATCGACAGCGTCGCAGGTGAAGGAAGCGCCTAAGTCGACTTCTGAAGTCGTCTCTTCGGAACGCTTGACATCTCCCCTGCCCGCCTCGACAACCCTCAACCCACCAGCCTCGACACGCCCCCCTCCTCTCGATACACCGACCCGAGACCCCTCGTCCTCGATATTCATATACTTCTACCACCTCGGCAAGGCGTACATGACCTTCTACAAGACCGGGCTCCGCGCCATCTTCACCAACAGAAAACTCCTCTCGCAATCCCCCACCGCTTCCACCCCGTCTCCTCCCATCCCCAGCTCGATATCCTTCCCAACACGATCAGACGTCCTCCTGCGCCGCCGCGTACGACACGATCTCTCGCGCCTCCCAATCTTCGGGGTCCTGCTAATCGTGTGCGGGGAACTAACCCCGCTTGTGGTGCTGCTGTTCCCGCGCCTCACGCCGCTGACCTGCCGCATCCCCAAGCAGGCCGATGCTCTACGGCGCATCTCCGAGGCCAGGCGGGCTGCTAGCTTCCGCGGTCTTCGTTACCGGCCCGATCCGCTAAAGGGTAACGAACCGGCTAGCAACGGCCACGTATGCCGAAGTCTCGGGCTGACGAGCTCCCTGTGGGATAAGATCGGTCTGGATGGTCCGTTCGCGGCATCGTTGGCGCAGCGAGCGATTGCACGGATTGCGGCCGATGATGCTATGCTGCGCGAGGGTGGAGGTGTAGAGGCTCTTGTTGACGAGGAAGTTGTGCTAGCATGTGAGGATCGAGGTATTGATGTTCTGGGGAAGCCGGTGGACGAGATGAGAAGTCGACTAGAGGAATGGCTCCGTAAGACTACTCCTGAGGGGGTGACCTTGGAAAAGCCTGATGCTGCTTTGGGAGAGTCGGCCTTGAAGAGAGCTGAGGAGAAGATAAGGGAGACATTAGTTAGCTTAGATGGGAGCATCTAAAGACCACACGCCTGTGAAGTGTTCGGTTTATGGGTATGTCCTACTTTGCCTAGCTCGTCAATGACCCCATACTCTTGTCATGCTTCAAGGTCATGTATATTTATATATTGATACCGGACGTATTAAAAAGGTAAAAGGCTCAGACAGAACTTGGCTCACTAAAAGAACTGTACAATATACAACAATCAGCTCAATTCGGCGAACGTTGTCATCATAGCGTTTATGTTCATGCCATGGACAAAAGCTATCATCTTTTCTATGCATACAAAGCGTCAACACTTAGTCCATAAATCCCATAGATGCATCTACCCTACACACAGTGGCAAGATGCTAAACGGGATTGACTAGTGACTCATCTCAGGATATATACAGGGGTAATTTAATTAGCTCACTGCCGGTATCTCGCCAACTGTGCCATGATGTTTTGGACGTGCTGTGAAGAATCGCCACTAGGAACACCATTCGGATGCACAGGCGGATAACCTGCGCTGTGCGGCTGGTTATGTCCAGCAGCGCCCATGTTGTGGGCTCCTCCTAAGTTGGCCAATACCGAATTCACATCAACAGGCGCACCTCCGGCCGACTGCCCAGGACGATAACCCTGTGGAGCACCTTGTTGGTTGTGGAGAGATCCTAGGATCTTCTGCAATGTGGCATTATCTAAAGAGCCATTTGGATTACCGGTTGGAACATTAGCGGGCGGATAGGGTTGGGCAGCATATGACGGGGGTAGGTAAGGAGGTTGCGGGGGTTGCGCATATTGGACAGGCGGATATTGAAGGCCGTAGGGATTGTGTGGTTGAACTTGAGCTTTGGCGCGGCAGACTAGCTGCGCGGCGATGTTGGGATCAAGGTCCTGGTATTGATCATACTGGACATTGGCGTGTCCACCGGAGCGATTAAATACTTGCAAGGGGATAGCACCAGTTTGTTGTGCTCGATAATCTAGTTCGACGACCGCATGGACGCCTTCCATCACTTGACGCTGGATCACAGCTTCTCGAGGTAAATGAGCATGAAGGAACATAACCTGCACCCTTAACCCCTGGTTGAGAAAGGCTCTCTCGGTCCAGCTTATAAAGTCTCTGTCGACCTCGTGGAGCAGTACAAACTGCACATCAGGAATATCACCACCATAGCGACGAGGGATATCGAGCTCTACTTCAGATGGATGTCGACGATAGGGGCTAGGACTTCGGCGACGGTAGTGACCTGAGTCACGTCTTCCGTAACCAGGAGATCTTGAGCGCGCACGAGCGCTATAGTCGTCATGATAACCGCGGCTACCATCAAAAGAAGTCTGCTGTCGGTGGCTTCCCCGTCTCGGGGATGGCTGCCGACCTGGGCGATAATCATCACGTCGCCCGCGTCCGCCATCGTGACGTTCGTTTTCTTTCTTAACCCTGTTTCCTCGCCTCTCTCCGTCCCCTTCCTTCTTTTGGGTGCGAGAGAATTCAAGGTCTATAATTTGTTAGCACCTAACAGATCGTTCCAACCCAGGCGGGGGACTCACGAATCTTACGCCCCCTAACTTCTATCCCTTGTAGGTGATCCATGGCAGCCTGACCTTCCTCTAGAGTGTGATACTGCACGAACCCGTAGGCCTGTTTGAGAGAAATTTGTGCGAGACGTCCATATTTGGAGAAGATATCGAAGACTTCCTTCTTGGAGACCCGGTCACTAGACAGATTCCCTATATAACTGTTAGGAGTTAAACCATTGCGATTAGGTTGCGAAGACATGCCAATGAATAATCTTGATCCTTCTGGGAAACGGTCCCATTTGGCTTCTGATACGTAACGACGTTCTTCCTGGAGAAAGGCTTCCCATTGTGGGTAGTGGTCAGAAGCATGCGACGGAGTACCTATAGCGGCAGCATAAGCAGGGTCAAATTGGGGCACCGGGAACGAATGAACTGGCAAGGCATTAACAGATGAGGCTGGAGGGGGTGGAAGGCTATTACGAGCTTCTAGAGCCGTTCCGGGAGCCCCAGTAGAGTAATTGCCAGGAGGGGGCGGAAGGGTAGATAGCGCGTTGGCATTAGGATAGGATGATCCTGATTGGTAATTGAGACTATCATCAGGATGCACATATGACTGGGCAGAGAACTGCGGCATTGGGGGTCTAGGTGGCAATGATACTGCTTGCGGGGGAGCAGGAATGTTGGCAGAACTCTGCGGAACCACTGTTTGACTGGCATTACCCACGGACGCATTTCCTATAATCTTATCGAGGATGTTCTGGATGTCTTGCTCATTATTGGCAGCATTTGAAGGGCGATCATCCTCCCCAGCGGGCGCTGCTGAAGGTGGCTGAGGTACATCGGAATCGTCCGTCGACGAATTAATTACAGCCTTTTCTTGTGGCTTTTGCGGCTCTTGGGCTCCTGATGGGCTCAAGTTTAAGGCAGGCTGGTGCACGGACTGAGCAGGGCTTGTAGAAAAGAGGTCATGTGAAGGAGCGGCGACTTCAGAACCATTTGTAAAGGAATCAGACGTAACAGAACTAATACTGGATTCGATCGTGTTGGATACATCTTGCTGGACCTCAGCACCATTCTGCAGGCTATGGTGCTGGGCGTCTCTTTCACCTCCGAGCAATGCAGCTCCTTCACCCTGATTCCCAGCACCGTTAATATCGTCGGCGAAACTGTCCCGACGTAAAATAGCATTGTCGGTACTATAAGTATTATCTTGACTGGTACTGGCAGGGAGGCTGTTCTGATATGGTGCTTCAACTTGTTCCACAGCTGCTACAGAGGCGGAAGGGACCTGGCCGTCGTTGGAGAGCGACATTGTGCACAGCGTGTCGGCCTGGTCTTGCAGGCTAGGTACTACTACAGGAGAGGACAGATGAAGAGGTGCCGGAGATACTGGAGTAAGGTCGGCAGTTGCCAAATGTGTAGGGGCCTTCTCGATCATTCAGGTAGCATGAGGCGATAAGACAGTCTAGAGAATGCTGTATTATAATCAAGATATGGCACCAGGATTGAGAGCCTTGGAACTAAGCTCGACCGCCGTCGGAGCTGGTTAGATGAGTCCAAGAAACTCCGGAACGGGAATGGAGATATATTTGGTAGCTGGTGACGTCGTCTTAGGGCTGATCCGTCCGAGGTGGCGAGCTATCAATGTTGGCAGAGGTCACGGTAACTGGATCAATGGGCAGCTTAAGACTCAGTTGGTAAGAAAGGAAGACGGTGGATGAAATAGGTAACTATTAGATGAAGAACGTTGATTTGGGTGTGGGTATGTGTGGGTATGTGTAAGTGTGTAGACGGTGAAAGGCAGTGTTACACTTGAAATAGGCGCAGAAGAAAGAATGCCAAGGTCCGTCTAATTTGTATTGTCGCGTGTGAGTTCTGTTAGTTTTGTGATGTTGTGATGGATGTCAGGATAATTATGAAGGCATCAAGAGCCAACTGCGATTAATTGCACAATAGCATCCAATTGAAACCAAAAATCTGGATAAATGGATTTATCAGAGAATTATCAGAGAGGATTCGACAGGGCGGGCAATCAATGAGTTGGGTAACAAGCTCGAAAAGCTGGGAGGGGTGCGCTTGTGTTTGAGGCTTTGCAAACAGACAAGGCTGGACAGCTTTGAGCTTTAACAATGAGAGGGCAAGAAATTTTCTAGAAAGGAATTGTCCTCTAGCAAAACTCGGACAGAAGCATCGACTCTGTTCTTGCTATTGGTCGATTTAGCGTTAGTTGGTATGATCCGTGCGTTACCTAGAGAGCCCCGCCAGAGTTCCTCTGAAGAATCTCCACTAATTATCTCGTTTAAGTACATGATACAACTAAAGGAATATGTACCTAGCCTAGATATGTACCCCAGCGAGTGGTATGACGTAGAAGCTACCCCCTTTGCTGCTTTCAAACAACATTTCAACTATCAAGCTTAGCAATTCATTATTAATACCACTAAATAGTTCACGATCGCACTCATCTCTTCGTATTCTATCAAATTAGCTGAACAGACTGTAAAGAGTGCCATTTTAGCTTCTGATAAGGCCACCGATAAGAAGGGTTATTATGTGATAACCCTTATCTTCGATACCTTTACAGCCGCAAGGCCTTCTCAGTTATTCAATTATTTCAATCAGACTACTTAATGTTATAGAACTATATAACCATTGCTTCTATTCAGATTTAGAGTAATACGATAGGGCTAGTCACAGATAGGTAGGCCCTTTGGTTGAAGGGGTATCAAAAAAAAGAAGAAAAAAGAAGGGGAATCCAGAAGCAGAGGTTGCACTGCCTGTTTAACAACATTCTAATTTTAACACGTTAAGGATACAATATATTTAGAACCGTACGTATATTCGTGTAAGGCAGTGACTCAAGTTTATCAATGGCCGTATCCCTTAGTAGTAGTTTATTTATTCCATATTACTCCCTAGTATCGTATCCCTTGCATACACAGTTGCGGGGGCCTTCATCCAACATGATCCAACATACAGGCTTCTTTGAATATTAAATCCTCAAAGATATTTACCATTTCACTCTCAACGAAAGCACTGTCAATAACGGCACCTATTCTAGATTTGTAACCTGTTAAAAACATTTGTGTAATTCAACATGCCCACCGTGACACTCCCTTCCAAGCCAGATGCCCCTATTGCCTATGAGCTTTACCAAGGCGATGTGACAAGCAGTCTCCTTGTCGTCTGTCTGAACGGCCTTGGGCTGTCACAAGCCGTTTGGAAGCCCACTATTGAACTTATACATAAATCAGGTTTCTCTCCTATGCCGTGGATACTTACGTATGACCGATATGGCCAGGGTGCCTCTCCAAGAGATCCGCGCGAAAGCTGGCCGAACAAGGATCCCGGATACGCACACACGCTAGACGATGTCACCGATGATCTCCACGAGTTGATTCAAACTCGATGCCCCGATCGTTCCTCACGTATTGTCTTTGTGAATAACAGCATAGGTGCACATATTGCGCGAAGATATGCTGATAGGTAATACACAACATGCTTACATATTTCTGCTATCCTTGCGGCTGACAGCATGTTTCTGAGCTAGGTATCCTAGAATTGTCGAAGGAATCCTATTCCTTGATTCCAATCCTGGAAATATTGACTACGAGAGCATCTGGCCGAATCCGAAGGACCCGTCCTTTAATCTTCAACAGATGACTCCCCCTAGCACCTCGCTTGATGTATACGAAGCCGCTTACACCAAGATGACAACGATATTCGCAGCAAGTGCGAAGAACAACGAGGGGTTTGATCGACGAGAGATCAAGAACATTCTTCCAGACCCATCAAAACCAAAGCTGAAGGGGTCGAAGTGTTCGGATAAAGGTCCTTGGGTGACAGTCGTGGGCCACGAGCTTGAACAATTCTCACAGGAAGAGTGGGCCATGATGAAGGTTCCTTTGGGCATGGCTGCCATGTATACTCAGCCGTAAGTGAATCATTATTCTCCAATAGAACATATGGCTAATAAGAAATAGTATGTGGGAGAAGTACAACGAGGGACTCTGTGGACTGACAGATCCAGAAAGAGCAAAAGGGCCACTTATCGCGCCAAAGTCTGGACACGTTATCCAAAAGGACAATCCGTCTTTTGTTGCTGAGCAGCTGGAAGACCTTATTAAGAAGGTCGAAAGTTCTAGCTTGTTCCCTTAGGTACCTTGTGAAAAGTTCTAACGGCTTCCACGTTGGAATTCTGACTGGTATATGAGCTATCAACATATATAATTTATACATTAAACTAGTTCAATGGCATAATCGTTCCGTAAATGTGATTATTAACCTACTTTATTATGTTAGGCCAGTCTCAATATTCCCCCAGTGAACATGCTGATATAGAACAGAAGCTGGAAATGGACAACTCTGTGGCTCCTCTGAGGACTACTACCATGGTCTCGTGTCAATATTTTATATTATAGAAATACTCTCGGTGTATGCAGGATAACTACCAGATGGCGCTTGCGCTGATAAATATTTCTGATCTAGGCTCTTGTTGATATGATCTTAATATCCTCCACGAAAGCTATCTGTAACTCAAGAAGCCGTCTCTATTTCTTCTTAATATCAACTATACGTATCTTGATATTTGTCGTTAAGACTGCTAAGAACGATAACCATTACTCTCTGTACTGGCTGCAAGCCGGCCGAGATATCATGAAACCGTACTGAAGAGTACATGATTACCTGAATTAAAGTAATTACTTACATAGGTGTAGCGAGCCTATAGTTGTTGGGTTAGCAGTCGAAATCATATCTTGCCTTTGACATGAATAGGGGGCGGCGCTGACCCATATTTATTTAGAGAAAGTACCTTGGTACCTATATGTAATAACTCACAATTAAAGAAAGTTAAAGAGGCTCTGGTCTAACAACATTGACTACCAACAACAACATCGACTACCGAGATAACTCGTATATAAGGATTCCTCACTTGATGGCTACACTACGAGCTATATCAGCCAATTCCACCCTACCTCTCGTGTTCAGGACTTTCAACAAAGCACACTACCTTGTGCGCACTATACAACACCAAGCATATGATGCTGCATTTGACCAAGATGACCTCACCGAAGCTAGAAAGTGGTATACTTCGTTCACCGAAAGTAACTTGCCAAAGGGTCAGACAAGCTACTCTAGGTCAAGCGGGCCTGGGGGGCAGCATGTAAACAAGTGAGTACACCCGATAAGTGGTACTATTCAAAGCTGATCTAATTCAAATAGGACTGAGAGCAAAGCCACAACAGTATGGTCCATCGAGGAGTTGTCTAAGGGCTTGCCAAAACTAGTTCGTTTGGCCTTGCGCTCTTCAAAGTACTATTCAAAAAGGAACGACTCCATCACAATTCAAGCCCAGACCCAACGGAGCAGGTCTGCTAATACTGATGATAATCACCTGAAGCTGGTAGAAGAACTGCAGAAGATTTACAGGGAACAAGTCCCAGGAACTACCAGTAGCGAAAAGATTAAGAAGTACGAAGCCTTGTAAGTTGGTCCTCTCCTATTGCTCATACTTCCCCTTGCGTGCTATTACTAACGCACGCGGATTAGAGAGAAATCAGCTCGCGAGAGCAGGCTCAGATCGAAGAAGCAGCAAAGTTCTAAAAAGGCATTTCGGAAAGGCAGGGGAGGTGATGAGTAAACATATCACATGCTCATCTAGAAACGCCTTCACCCTGAGGGACTTTGACGAATCGTCAACTTAACCACTGGGTACATACACAACGGAGCACCCTAGGCGTTTGTTGTTAACTAGCGAGAGTTGTGTGTGCAGTTTAAAATTGCTTACTGCCAATCGCCAACTCCAAGATGTAAGCGAACGTCTATAATCTGGGCACTTGTGGTGTCATAAAAATTGAATATTACATGTTACATGGTTCTGTTAAACATCACGATATAGCGATATTTATAGGGAATATCTAATAGAGTAGGTAGGAAGTTCCTTTTGTCCCTTCCCCCACGGTAGCAAGCAACGCGCCTATTTCTTTGCGGCTGACTAAAACGCCCAGAATGAGGGGCAGAAAAGTGGAGCAACAGCTGAATCCCTTTTCCGTCTGATCGTCTCAGCTTTCCTCATTTTCGCAACACAAAACATCTGTCAACTACCCTAAAGACACCTAACTAACCTAAGATACTTCCTAAGACTGGAAGTTATTATAAAGGTTTTGCACCTCCTAACATCTGTTAGTGTTCAACTGCTACGTGCGCTACGATTAGAAGCCAGCGGATTTGCGCCTAGCCCCTCCCGATTGGATCGACGGCGCACATCCGTCCCGAGGCTAATTCGATTTGGTCTTTCATTAGAGCCTTCTCTCGTATTGTTAGCCAGTCTAGCTTATTCTCTTAAGTCGAGTCGGCAGATTATCTTCTCCTTTTATAACAGAGTGCTCGGTAAATTATAAGTTATTCGAAACATGCGCGACTAACTTATTGTTACCCTTAAATGACGATAACGACCCCTTGATCGACATTCCTCAACCACCGAATCTGTTCTGCTTACAAGCCAGACCCTGCTCTACCCTAATAGCGTCGTCCTACGTCTTTACCATCTAAGCATATATATCGCTCATAAGGTCTCTTCCACCCCCCATTATTTACAATGGCCACCACCGCCGCGTCTGTTCCGAGCAACGGCTCTCCTCGTCCGAATCCCCAAATACAGCCATGTAGATACAAGGTGGGAAAGACGTTGGGCGCGGGCTCATATTCTGTTGTAAAGGAGTGTGTACATATTGATACTGGTCGTTACTATGCCGCAAAGGTTATTAACAAGAGACTAATGGCCGGTCGCGAACATATGGTGCGTCCTATTTCTTAGACTGTATCTTGGTTTCTACATGGTCTCGGAACGGCGCATAAAGATTAACCTTATACACTACACTAGGTTCGAAATGAGATTGCCGTCCTTAAAAAAGTCTCGATGGGCCATCAAAACATCCTGACCCTCGTCGACTACTTCGAGACGATGAACAACCTTTACCTTGTAACCGACCTTGCGCTCGGCGGGGAGCTCTTCGATCGGATCTGCCGCAAAGGGTCGTACTACGAATCTGATGCTGCCGACCTGATTCGCGCGACACTATCTGCAGTCGCGTATCTCCACGACCACGGTATCGTACATCGTGATCTTAAGCCCGAGAACCTACTCTTCCGTACTCCCGAAGACAACGCCGACCTTCTTATTGCCGATTTTGGCCTGTCGCGTATTATGGATGAAGAGCAATTCCACGTCTTGACGACGACTTGCGGCACCCCAGGATACATGGCGCCCGAGATCTTTAAGAAGACTGGCCACGGCAAACCAGTTGATATATGGGCTATGGGGGTTATTACGTACTTTTTACTGTGCGGATACACGCCGTTCGATCGCGACAGTGACTTCGATGAAATGCAGGCGATCCTAAACGCTGACTATAGCTTCCAGCCAGTAGAATACTGGCGCGGTGTCAGCGATAACGCAAAGGAATTCATTCGCCAGTGCCTTACCGTCGACCCTAACAAGCGCATGACAGCGCACGAGGCCCTATCTCATCCTTTCGTCGCCGACTATAGCTTGAGCGGCGACGGTGATAGAGGCCAGAACCTACTCCCCACAGTGAAGAAGAACTTCAACGCGCGTAAGACGTTACATGCAGCTATCGACACGGTGCGGGCCATCAACAAGCTACGGGAGGGCCACGCGAATGCTCACCTGATGGACGGCACCCGATCGGCAGAGCCGAGGCAGGGCGCCCCCCCGCTAGACAAGGCCGAGGTAGCAAAAGGCGACTCGGGCTACTCAAGTATGCAGAACGAAGACGTAGATATGGGCGGCATGGACCCTGACTCGGGCGTACCTGCGAGTTTAAGACCCGGCGTCGCTGCTAACCGGGTTGTTGAAACGTCGAAAGGATTATGGAGTGCCAGCCAGCCACGACGATGAGGCAACACTGTATCATATCGGGAGTTGGAGTTGCATACTTTTGAGGCGATAGGGGGGATAATTTTATCTAGACTGCATCTTGCGAGAGCGAGTGATGGTATATACGGGGATGAGACGAGAGACTGAAAACCCCTATAGTTTTATGACGAGATGAGATGGACTACCGTACGGTTATGTACATGAACGAGAAAGATAGCGGTAGCGCAGCGAGCGCATTAGCAGTCGCATTTTTGGATAGCGAGCGAATATCGGCAGATATAGCGATATGGATCTTGCAATGGCGGTGTTGTAATTAGGATAGCCCAAGTTCCGTACGGAAATAGCCATTTCGAGGTATTAATCTCACCACTAACAATTTTGCTTTTTTAATTACTGAATTGTGAGGTCGATGCAACACGGAAGATATCATATATATATCTTAGCCTGTGATAATGGTGATGATCTAATGTATGTAAACTTACCTGTGATGCAGATTGCATCGACACGACCGACTGAGTAACAGATCTCCTCAGTGACAAATCATGATCCTGAATAGCCATGTACATAATGCAACTGAAAGACGGTACCGATATCTGACTCTTGGTCCCATGACCCAGAGCTGCTATGTAGATTATGTATATACTTGAATGATGGCACCATAATGAGACCTTCTCCTTTGCATGTATGTATACATAGTTGGTCACCTTCATAAGTCGCAAGCTAGCGTAGCAGTGCGCGCGGTTGAGCTAGAGTTAGCTTAAATACGGGAATGCCAATAGCGATTTGCATATCTTCCAGATGGATCTTCTTTCGTCCGGGTACGTTTGGGGGATAGTGTACTTCCATATCGAACAGGCATGTGATAATCTTCGATATGATCATCTGAGATGTTTCCAATGGTCGGTAACTAGGCATATTTACTTGAATTAATATTCCGGCACTCCGGCAACAGTATCTTTCCTAGACTACATACTAGTTACATCACATGTAACTATCTAATGTATGTACACATTTCCACCTCACTTCCCATGAACTTATATTGATCTCTGTTCACACAAGATTATAGAATAGCATGAATTTTAACATCATGAAAACAGACATCGTCCCCACAACGCTCCCTTATTCTTTAATGAAGCCGAACTAGTTCCTAGTTTACGGTGGTCTAAGAAGAAAAAAAGTAGGAAAAGGAAATAAGATGCAAGTACCGATGCCTACCCTGTCAATGTTCAGGACATCCATGTCATTAAGGGTTTTTCTTTACAGTACCTTAGAAGTGTATCGGTACAGATGAAGCTGTTGGTGTGACATGAGTTGACATGAGAAAAAGTAAAGCCTCATGTAGCTACGAAGTACAATACATTATCCCTTACCTCCGTATGTAAATGTTAAAAAGTGTTACCGAAGTTTGACTTAATGTAACAATTAATGTGTCCGGGTTTAATATTCCGAAACCCGTCTCTTATCTAACAAGCGTCCCTTGCTGCTAACTGCAAAAGGGAACACTTTGGCAGACATCTTGATGGCATGGGAATTTACTGTCGCGTGATCGAACTTTGAAAAAGGCAATACCTACAAAACGGTCAAGGGAAATTCTTCACCTCGACGGGTCCGACAGGGCACGCTTAGACCGGCTAGGCGATAAAGTTATCGAGGTGACAGAGTCCGTGTGTCGGTAATTCGCGGAGAGAGTAGCATTTGTCCCTCAGCGCATCCCGTCGATTCTGGTCAGATCTTCGCATGGTGCCACTTTGATGCTCCGATGCTCCGTTGCGACGTCTAGGATACAACTGTGGCATTTACATATGTAGTTATGAAAAGTCGAGACTTGGAAAGGGAGAAGTTTGAAAAAATGGCACGATGCCGCATTGGGATCTCGATTCAAAAACGAACTCCGAACCCCGAGGTTAGCAAGTAGGTAAATGATGGCCGGGCAACAAATAAATGCTCAATTATGCAAATACTGTAGCACGAATAATCTAATCTCCTTTTTTTTCTTCTTTTTTCCTTCCCGTCAGTTAAGAAAGAGTCCGCTTGGTTGGCTTTAATGGTGTTCCCGATCGGTGAGTCGGGCAGAAGCGGAGACCGAAGCGGGAACTTAGACATCAATTGAGGGGCGGCCTCGAGACTTGGATCCACTTTCTCTTATTTTTCCGTTTTAATTCACCTTTTTTTCTTCTTCTTTTCTGCGCACGCGATCTCGTTACTGATAAACGTTTTACAAGAGGTACAAAAGGTGACCCCCATTTGCGCCATGCAGACGGTACATGCATATGTACATTAGGCATGTGGTACACTGCTATATCCTGTACCGTACTCTTAGTGATCCTTTACTTGTTTGGATGAGTGCATCTGCTGCATTTACCTAAACGCATCTATCCATCCAACCTCAATATAGCTGCTCATCAACACCTGAGAAACGGACGGGCACACACGACACATTGCTGTTATTACCCTCACGTGTCCATTTCTCAATCCCGGTTGTTAAGATCTCTAACTTGTTGGTACGTACCTAATTGATAATGACGTACATACGCGTAGGTACTACAGTACTGTAACTTGTAGGATGTGACGAGCGGCTCTGGGATCCTTGCAATAGCACAAAATGGACCGCCAAGACCCTAAAACCTTGTACTAGCGTTTCAATGCCAAGATCCGGTTGCATTGCTATTGTTACACAAGCGCGCATCTTGTATTGTACATTTTTCGTACTATATTTCGCACTTCGTACCCGGTCTCGTTTGTACAAATAACGGATCTTGTATGTAGAAGTTATGCACGTGTGTAACCCATGTAAGCACCGCATGCCACCCCTAGTCCCCGACTCTTCCGATGGCGTCCGCCCTCGCTAGCGCTGATTAATTCCCGCTTGCCGGATTCCAAAGGGTTCTCTTGTTTGATATTATCAACTGGTGAAGTCCGCAAGTCCGCAAGGGACGGGACTGTAAGATGAGAGGACATATAAATATGCTGACCTAGCAGTACTGCTGACCTAGGTCACAGTTCGCTTTCGTTTAGAATTTGCGGGAATTTGGCATGGGAATTATCGAACCTCGTTGTTACCGGTGTTTTGGTGCTTTGAAATCGAGCCCCATAGAATCGATTATGTCATTTGTCCTGGACACAGAGGTGGACACCTGCGAAAAAAGAGACCTCGGCATCATTGCTGTCAGTAATCCAGTCCAAAGGATGGCCAGGCTAGAATTATTTCAAGGCTGATTTGAAGCAAGGCTAACGCGTTCCACGACTACATCTTACATTCCATCGAAGTCGAGGGACCATGGAGTAAGACTTCAAGGTATTGGGCTGAGGAGCACCCTTACGCTTACACATTTGATATCCTCTATGCTATATCCGCAGTTCCATATCCATATTCGTCCACAGTGTGTAGACATTTCAATATAATGAAAGAAGCGCAACTCATTCTTTAACCACGTGTCTGCCTCCCTTACAAACCCTATTATACGCGCCAGAAAACTATGAATTGCATTATGGGGAGGATGACTGATCTTCAAGCTGCCGAAGAAGTGAGTAAGCGGTTCGCTTTCGTTACAGCTAAGCATCATCTATAATAACTCGGCCGATGCTCTGCAGTATGGAATCAGTATCAGAATCCCGTTCGGTTAGATTCAAGTAACGAATAGCGTTGTGTTACGAAGGAAGCAGACTGGCGGGACAAGTGATAAATCTTATCTTAGTCACTAACCTTAGGCTTTTTCTGGTTTCCTTTATGACTGGGTTAGCTTGCATATGCGACGTATTCGGATGCTGGCGCTAATGCAGAGGCAAGAATACTCCCTGACTCCCAATCCCGAACCGTTTTAGAATTTAAAGTTGCGGTACGGCGCTTGCGCTATGTACACTAAGTTCTTAGTACATACCGTTGGTACATGTACCTGAATACTTGGACATGTGCGGGAGGCTGCAGTAAAACTTAATGTGACTGCTTTGTTGCTTTTGCATACAAACATAGTATGTACTTGCATGCATATTAGAACATTATCTTTAATTCGCTTCCTGCTCTTTTCCGCCTTGTATTGGTCGAAACATTAAACTGTAGGTGATGTCCGATGTACTGTACATTGACATTTAACTGTGCAGCTACACGTATCTGTGGATGCACAATCGGCATGGGTCCCCGCTAAGTTTATACCCCTGTCATAAGGCCGAGTAAGATGGGAGCAGGGGAGGTACCATTTTTTGAATCCATTAAATCCATTACTCATAATCCACTCCTAGACCAAATATCCATGACCATCGACACAATTCTACCCAATCAGCCATGCCTTACTTTGCGTCTCTCGCATCCCTGTCCCCGTTATATCCGGATACCTGAGTTATTATGTATGTATTGTACGGCAAGCAACAAAGCACCGGGGGCGGTTAGGTAGCAGAACAGTTGTGGTGCGGTAGAGGTAGTGTGCTCTGCTTTTATTTCTTTATTATTATATATCATGTACCTCCCCTTCCCTTTTCTTTCCGCTTCCCGATCGCACGATCCAGGAATTGCGTTCCGTATGTGATTCTTCACGACAAGCCGACGACCTCGACCTCATCTGCCTTCGCCTGGCGTTTGGGAGGACAACCAGCCCCAACATTCCTCGCCCAACCCACCTTGGCTAACCTTGGTAACCTCCGGTACAACAAGACTTTGCAGACCCGGGTCAGACTCCTCCAACTGCAGATAAAATACCTACGGTTTTCCTAGGAAAGACAGAAAGATTTCCCCCGGCGTCGTACGAGAGCGTTCCGATGCAGCAGACAAACACCGTCGTCGAAACGGAGACACAGCTCCCTCTGGGATGGCGCGAGAGGTTGAGCCCGTCCAAGCTAAAGACAATACCAGGCCGTTATAACCTACCCCGAATGTTCAGCCACTCGTCCAAGCAAATGCGAGAATCCGGTTCCAACCCGACGAGGAGTATCTCCGCTTTGCAAACCTCTTTTAAGATCACAGATACCTTTGAGCTACTGAGGACGAGGAAATGGAGCCTATTCGACGTGCAATATCTTGGATTGGCCGGTTTCACCATTTTTTCGCTGTGGATTATTGACCCGTCGGCGCCTATTATTAAGACCCTCGCCGCCTTAGGGTATCTTTCGCTTTTGTTCATGCCCGTAACAAGACAATTCTTTCTCCCGTCATGGCCTATATGGACTTATCTCCTCTACTTTTTCTCTAGCCGGTAAGCTTCCATTTTTTTCGAAGAGCTCTTATCGGCACTTCTACTACTATTCAACCTTCCAGTCAAGGAGGGGTTTTATTTTATTCATATTGCTAACTAGCCGATTGCAGCTTTATCCCGTACGACATTCGTCCGGATATCCTCGTGAAGGTGCTTCCTGCTTTAGAAGATATTCTATATGGCGTTAGCTTTTCAAACGTCCTTTCTGCATGGACACATCCTGTGCTTGACTTATTCGCCTGGATTCCATGTAAGACAACCCCCATTTCAGAAAATTTCATCTTATCTCTACAAGGCCGGGGTCCTACTCGGATTTTCGCATCTGAAGATCTTTGATTCAATTGACTTGCAAGAAACCATTGCTGACTTGATTCCCCACAGACGGACTAGGTCACTTCGGACTTCCCGCTATTTGCTCCGTGATCATGTTCATTTTTGCTGCTCCGGGTACCCTCCCGATGTTCGCTAAAAGCTTCGGATGGATGAGTGTTTTGGGTGTATCGATACAGCTCTTTTTCCCATGCACACCACCCTGGTACGAAAGGCTGCACGGCCTCGAGCCCGCAAAATACGGAATGCAGGGTTCCCCGGCCGGGTTAGCGCGGATCGACGCACTCTTCGGCATCGACATGTACACCACTAGCTTTACCACGGCACCCGTACCTTTCGGAGCTTTCCCGAGTCTTCACGCCGCCGACGCGATCCTCGAAGCCTTGTTCATCACTTATTGCTTTCCCAAGCTTAAGGGCCTGTGCTTATTCTACGTCTGTTGGATTTGCTGGGCGACGATGTATCTGAATCATCACTACGCTGTCGATCTGCTCGGTGGTGGCATCATCGCTTATTCCATCTTTGCTGTGGTTAGGAAATACTGGCTGCCCATTCAGCAGCCTGGGAAGACATACCGTTGGCAATACGAGTATGTCGAAATTGGTGCTACGAAGAAGAACAAGCCTCTGGACGAGGAACTTGGATATGGTCCCGTCGGAGCCGCTAAGCGAAGTGCGGACCTGTCGGACGAATTTACAGTCTTGGACAGCTTCATGCACTCGGGGTCATCGAGCGGGAATTCGAGCCCGACATCAAGCATCCGGAGCGATAAGAGCGACAGGAGAAGAGATTAATTGCATATAAGAGACGGCACTGGCATTATGATACCACGATACACTTAATACTAGAAGTTAAGACGAAATAAATTAATACCGCCGAAAGGCGAGATCATTACTCTATCTACGCCTTCCGCGAACTTGACAGTTCTACATCCGTGATATATCTGAAGATACTGGTTTTTACTATTGAGCCTCATAGCATGATATATTGATCGATTTGTCTGAAGCCGATTTTACCTACTCTGAAGCGCATACTTTTTGACAGATTACCCTGCCTAACTGTCAAATATTTTACGAAGCCGCTCCTCATTTACGCGCTTGGGAATAAGAAAGTGACCATAACATCCTATTATATTCATAGATGCATCACCAGCAACAACTGTCATTAGGATTCTTTAGCTAACAGGTCGAGCACAGGTCGTCTCTACATGTCCGTCTTGAAGTATTTTAACGCCATGGAGGAAATATCTTTTCAATTATCATCCGTTAGAGTTCGGCTGGAAGTGAATTCTATTGATCTACATCATACTTCGTACCCTTCAGATTGCAGCATCTCCCCCGATACTTGTCTTCCCAACGGCAAACTTCTGTTTTTCACTAGAATCCAGACTTTGACCTGCCAGACCTTCTTCTGCGTGGCTTTCGTTGTCGGAGGCATGCTTGGTGTCTTGCTCGACCGGGACGTGGTTACGGACAACAAGCCACGTGGGGAATACAGATAGACCTATAGAAACATGTGTTAGTCAGTCTGTATAAAACGGCACGGGATCCAAATTTCAAGGCCCAAGACATTGATGAGATATCAAACTTACCAAGCAGGATGGTGTTTACGGCTAGAGGCACACGCCCAGCATCCTTAAACTTTTGCGTATTGATTCCAAAACTAATGGCCTGGGCAAAGCTCTCCTGTCCTCTTAGGATGCCCGAGAACCGTGTCAGCTCCGAGATATTGTCAGTCATGCTCGCGACGAGATAATCTACTGCGAATTAGCAATTATCCTTCCATGATACACCCCCATTGCGGAAATTTGAGGCCACTTACAAAGCCAATTCTGAAGTGCCTGTCGGGAAAAGTCCCAAAGGACCAGCACGAAGAAGCCCTCGACGAACCCCTTGTCCTCCCAGTCGTAGGCAGGTGGGTTGACATTATACCGAATTTGAATCACCCAGCCGTATACCCAGGCCACTATGTGCACCACCACGACGTAGAAAAAGCCGATCACTATGCGCTTCTTGACCGGAAGACCCTTATAATCCAGCAGCGTGCTCATAATTTGCGACGATATCAGGGTGCCGAAGTTATTCACGAAGCCGATCAAGGCGCGCGCTCGCACACCGAAGTAGTACGACTGGAAGTTGCTGCTATACTGGTTGAAGTAGGCCGCCCAGAAAACCGGCAGCAGGAGGAGGATATCCTTGCGCTTGCAGGCCCTCCATAGCGCACGGAACTCCCCTGCGAAAGAGCCTTCGCTCTTAATGATAACTTTCGATCCATCTGAACGCTGCACTTTCTCCGGTGGCGACAGCGCGAGCGCGAGGGGAGCGGCAACGCATTGTAGCGCGATGAATATCAGGTATACTTGGTATCCTACCTTGCCCTTAGCCTTGGTGCCCTCGTCATGGTTTAGCGCAAGCACGATGGCGCCGCCGACTAAGGGTCCGCCCGTGCGAAACCACAGCCATATATTGAGATAACGACCTCTTTTTGCAGGCTCGGGATAGCCTACCGCGATGGCTGCTTCTGAGCACCAAAACGCTGTCCAAATCCAAGTTAGCAGGTTGTACGAACGTAGGCAACGTAGCTATGTCTATATGAATGGAGTCGTACCACCGGCGCTCAAGCCGCACGCCACGGCGCCAACTAATACAAGCCAAGTATTGCCGTAGCGATTGTTCGCATATAAGCCAGCCGAATAAACCGGGTACCCCACAGCGCCCAGAAAAAGCGTCCATCGTAGACCAATGCTATTGGCGATGGGCGCGCCAAACAAGCACATGAACCCCATGATGGCGAAGACGAGCGAATTAGCCGCGTTAACCAAGTACGGCTCTTGCGCGCCGCCAGCGCCTAGGTTGTTCATCGCGTTCCATAGTCCCGGGGCGATGAAGCCGACGCCGCCGATGACGAAGGCGTTGAAGAGCGTTGTGTGGTACCACGTGCGCTTCTGCTTGACCGCGGAGCCGTCCGTCGGCGCGTCTGCGATAGAGGAGCTACTCATTTTGCTGGTCGACTCGAGTGGATTGTAGGTATTGCCCGGCTCAAGTTTAGCAGTTTGGCTGTCGACAATGCCGTCGGAACGAGGCGAAAATCGGTCGAGGCAAAAATCCACGAGAGGCCCTAGGTAATCCAGCTCTCCAGCTTACACGAGAAGCGACGGATATGATCTTTATATCATACCAGCGGTATGGTACCACACGCCGACGTTGGAAGTCTTCATTTTTCTTGTGACATTACACAATATTTGGTCCGATGGCGACATCTTGGCTCGGTCCACAACCCCGGCCTGCTGCAGGGTATCGACCGCTCCGGGTCCATAATTTCGGCCGTTCTAGCTAGATCTAGACCGTAAAGAAGATGGCTTTGCCGATTCCAGCCGTTGGAAGACGAGGGGTGTTTTGACCTAGGAGTTCTTCATGGGACGCTACTCTACCTAAGAACAGAGAAGAGTGGGAGGTTATTGGATACATGAACTCTTAAGGTCAACATTGAGAGAAAGACTACCTAATTTAGTAGAAAGTCTCGAGTATTTTCTTGGCAGAAGCTAATTTCAGATACATAGACTAATATATCATTATTTCGTGCTCGCCATCAACCCCGACGATTGACTTACCCAGCAATATCCCCATGTAAATGGAATAAACCGCCACAGAACCCAATGAGATCCTCGTACGCGCAGCTGCCTATGATACTCTCTGCTCTTCAACAGCTGCTATTGCAGCGATAACATTGTCCAATGCACCTGGCAGATCCGAGTGAATACATATACTGAACCCTTGCCTATCAACGGGTATATCCACCGCATTCCCGCTGTTGGAAATGGCCTGGCCCTTACTCGTGAAGATGCGGATACGCTCAGCAATCAGCTCTGGAGTAACAGGGGCGGACTCTGCCACTGGTACCAGTCCGCCTTGGTCATTGTAGTCAATGTCCACATAGAACTCAGGGATAAGCTCTACTCCAAGCCTCTGGCAGTCCTCGACCATCTGCTTAGTTGGCAGTGAATAAATGGGAACCTTAAACGCTTTGACGGCGCGGAGCACGGCATCTCGAATACCAGCGTCTCGCTGGATGTAGAAGTAGAGCTCGCCGTGTGGCTTGACGTGGTTCAGCGGCATGTCCTCTGCAGCAATTATAGCTGCAAGAGCGCCGACTTGATATAATACCAAAGCGTACATATCGTCAGGAGAAATCTCCATGCGGCGACGACCAAAGCCAAGGAGGTCTGGCATTCCCGGATGAGCACCAACTCGCACACCATGTTGCTTTGCAAGGCGAACTGTGCGCACCATAGTAGAAGGGTCGCCGGCGTGGAAACTCTTTAGGGTTAGTTGAGATAGGAACGGGGTTGATCAGAACTAACCCGCAGGCAATATTTGCTACATCGATATAGCGCATTAAGTCCTCGTCAGGCCCCTATCGACCATTCATGCATGAGCGAGGGGAAAATAATAAACGGCAGGGGAAAGGTCTTACTAGTTTCCATCGTCCAAAGCCTTCCCCCAAGTCGCAGTTGATCTCTATCCATCGCAACTGGGATTTACCTTCAGACATGATGTATTCCGTACTGGATCTATGATATCTATTTTGTTTGGACTTTATTAGTAGCTATAATGTTGATTATAGGATGGCACTTTGTACCTATATTGTATAGCCGTTGAAGATCGACGATCCCCGAGTTCACCCCGCAGATACGCAACTCGCATATTTTATCAGCCGGAGGACTCCGTTTGTACAGTAGATTGTTATCTATATCCCTACACGAGACTAGTCGCTATAGGCACCCGCCAAGTAACTCTGATCATCCCGACCGCGAGGGTTCTCAATGTATGCGAGGTAACCACTGGTTAGACCAACCATTTTCAATGTCACTGTGATGAAAAACCCTGCGACGTGGTTCATTTATTTCTTCAAACCTGAATTCCCAGCATTTACCTGCTGCAGAAACCATATTAGATGGTTCAGGCTTGCTTCCGGAATCTTGATCTTAGGAGTAAACAAAGGTGAATTAAAATATCTAGGAGCAATCGTACAAGATTAGAGGGTAAATAGGTACCCAGTTGCTGAAGTTACCGATATCCAGATGTTCTCCACGTGGAGTAGTTGGACTCGTTAACACATTAGAGATTCCACTTATCCCTTAACACGTATAATTCCCTGATTGTATGAGCGAAGGATGCATCACCTATGTACCTAGACATTTCCGACCCGTAACTGCAGATAACCCGATTTAATCAGGCTTCTGAAGGAGAACAAGCAAAGTCCCGGATGATACTAACGTTCCTTCTTGAACCAGAACTTCCTTAACTACGAAACCATGATGAGATTCCTCTGCTATGACTGGAATCTCCATTTTCATGGCTTCAAGTATAACAATCACTTTCTCTTGCTCTATTACATCACCGCGATTAACTTGAATCTTCCACACCTTTCCCATCTGAGGCGACGAGACCGTCACTACTCCTGACCCTACGTCAGTTATCTCTTGAGCGCTGGCATGATTCCGTTCCTGGTCCAGCTGCCACTCTGATAGTAGCTTTTCTTCGCGGACACGCATAAGTTCTTCTGCTGCTCCCTGCTTGGCGCGAAATTCGAGCGTCTCTGGTAGATTGCGTTTCTCCTGATCCTTAGCAAGTTCGGCTTGGAAATCAAATACAGTTTCTTCAACCTGTATCTTATATACGCCGGCCTCAAACTGCCTTGAAATTTCCTCGTACTCATCGAGATTCACCTCGTAAAAGTCCACTAGGTCAAATGGCTCGCATAGCCACGGCTTCGCTTCCCTGAAGCCTGGCCGTAAGGCGTACGTGTCCCAGACTGGAATTGACTTGGCAAGCATCATATAACCACCAGGCTGGTCAGCTGGATATATGCAGAACATACCACCCCCAAGGCCCACTGTACCAGGGGGTGTAGAGATACGCGTTGGGTTATATTTCTGAGACGTTAGGCGCGCCATAGGATCGAGAGGCCATAAGAGTGGCAATCCTGACATAAAGCCGACAGTGACGACGAGAAATCGCGTCTTGAGAAGGATCTCGAAAACATCACTACGGGAGGCAAGCCCGTTATTCTCTTGCACATAAGAGACGTTATCTGGGACATAGGCAGCTTTATTGCGTTGCAAGGTGGTATAACGACTCTCCGCTTCGCGGACCGAAGGATGATCGAAGACAATAGGGAGGCGAAAGCGACGCGCTGCCAAAGGCTTCTCGATATTGCTGCTTTGTTGATGGGCTTCCTTGATTAAGAGAACTACATCTGGCTGGGAAATTATGCCCGGCTCGTACTCAACAGTGATGGCTATCAAAAGAATCAGCCATGTTACCAAGCCGTTATCGTCCAAAGAGTATACTAACAATTAATGCTAATGTGAATAAAAGTCCCCGGGATGTTACGGCTCTGGATGGCTCTGGCCAGATTATTTGCTGCTACTGAGGTCTCGAGGCCTGCTTCTTCAGAGACGTCGACATTGACGATAATAAAGCGGTCGCCGCCCTAAATATAACGGTATGAATTAGCAAATTTGAGCTCTTCCACCGTGCCGAAGAACATACTTGGCGTAATGTCAGTCTCGGTCCCCCATGGCCACTCGAAACTACTTGCAATATTGCATCTGGCCTTAGATGCTTTTCCTTTATCTCCAAAAGAGACAGCGCATGCTCTTGTTCTAGAATGCCGCTAGATATATGCTTTGCAACTGTACCGATGAAACTCGCCTTCTGGCTAGCTATCTTCCGAGCGGAACTGTAAGATACCGGCGTCAACCTCGTCTTGTCGCCAGGTTTGAGTCTTCCTAGTTTCCATAGATCTGCGGAGACAACCGTAGAGGAGGAAAGAAAGCCGCCGAGTCCAGGAGAATCTTGCGGGAAAATCACGCCGGTATCACCTGTCCAGTTAATCCCCCCTGGCGATGGATAGTGATAGTCGATAATATTGCTTGGATGACTACCGCCGTCCCCTCCGTTTTCTCGTGCCCACTCAATCTGTGGACCAATTAGGCGTATCCCCGTTCGGTTGCAATTATGGTCCACAGTCCACTCGGTCGAGTAGAGAATTTGTCTGCCGGTTTCTGTGATGTAGTCGTCGGAATCGTGTGGACCGTGCATCACATAGATATCTGTCACAGTGGTGGGAGGAATTAAGTCCGATGGGAGTTGATACGCATCAGGTAGATCGGATTTTTCGATATGGACTAGTTCGATATGGTCACCACGTCGTAGTTGTCGACCCTTCATCGATTTTAGTAATCATATGAGCTCCTTTGGTGATGAGTATACTCACTTGTATACCGCCCAGGGCGAGGTTCGGTGTGGTGGACTTGGATCCAAGCCATTCGGGCCTAAGTTGTGTTAACGGGTCAAGTCAGTAACCTTTCTGGAATTACTTACACCCCTGGAAATCCTCCTCGGATCGCAATGTAGCATCGGCCTCCCGGACTGGCGGATGCTCCTATCTTTAGTACATCGCCCTGATTCATAATAATCCTGGACCACATCTGCTTAACGTTTCCGTTCACCTCCACGGAAAACGGTGAGCCAGTAATAGCTATCACACTTAAGCTAAAGAATTTGAGCTTGGGTCCACGAGCCGTGACTTCGAGACATTCTATATCCTCCGAGTTCCCGACGAGCAAATTGGCAACTGTAGCAACGTCAGCGGTGGTTTGGCTATATAGTTGGGCTAGTTCCCATTCATCGATCAGTATAACGTACTAGTCGCAGCCAAGTCATCCATTGGTCCACTCGTTGGTATTCCATAACCTTTGCGTGTCCTGTTACAAGCTTGCTGGACGGTGGTGAAAACACCTGGATCATCAATTTGGATGCCCGTAGGATGGAAGGTGAATTGTGTATCTAGGAATGTCGTAAGGGTTGTTCCTCTGGAGAATTCTATTTAATAATTTAGTTGAAGATAGACTTGGAGATGATGTTATAGCTCTACTCACCTGTCGAAGTAATTATCGACTTCAGCATTGTCAAGTTCATCACAAGCCCGCCGACTTCTGAGGTATCCAAGGCTTTTCGCATAGTCGCAATTGATTCTTCTCTTGTAGCACCATGTACAATTACCTTGGCCAACAGGGAGTCTAGCTCCGTGTCAGATGAAGTTTGAATGGAACTTGAGCTTCACTTACCGAAATAGGGGCTAACAAATGTGCCAAGCTGTATCCATGTATCCACCCGAGCGTGTTGATTAGGCCAAACAACTGACTGGACAAAACCGGAGCTAGGTAGGAAAGAATCAGCTGGGTTCTCACAGCATACCCGGGCTTCGATTGCGGAGCCTTTCGGGGCCGCCTCTGCTCGTATCCTCAGAAGCTCGTCAGAAGGAATTCCGGATTCTTTGGACAGTTGATGCTTGGCCTGCTGTAGCATCAAAGCGACAAGATCCACACCGTAGCAAAGTTCCGTGACGCCGTGCTCGACTTGCAAACGGGTATTCATCTCCAAAAAGAAGAAGTCGCCCGTTTTATCGTCGACGAGAAACTCTACAGTTCCAGCTGAAGAGTAGTTGATAGATCTTGCGAGAGTCAAGGCGGAGGAGATAAGACGACTCCTTAACTCGGGCCGGCTAACTAGATACGGACTAGGAGACTCTTCTATCACCTAATATGAAGATACCGGTGATCAGGATGTGATACTTAGAAGGGTGTTGATAAACAGACCTACCTTTTGGCGGCGTCTTTGAATACTACATTCTCGTTCGCCAAAATCTACCACTTCGCCTGTCCCGTTTCCAAAGACCTTGAGCGTGGCAATTAGGACGGTTACTGGCTGAAAATTGAATCAATCAGCTAAACATACTTGAATCTCGATGTGGTGGCTGGAGCCATAGTATTTCTCTAAAAAGACTCCCGTATCGCCGAAAAGTTCTTTCGAGCGGCTCTCCACATTGGCAAATGCTTTCGGAACGTCGTTCTCGCTCTCGCAAATATATTGACCCATACCGCCGCCGCCACCAGAAGCTTTTACTATGACCTAAATCAAGCAGGCTTGAAGTTAATAAACGAACCAACTCGTAAGACTTTACCATCGGATCGGTATTGATGGCATCATAACCAAATAATATAGAAGAATAGGGGCTGACCGGGAAGCCTATCTTCTGTGCTATTTCAAGCGTCTCCGCTGCATTCCTCAATAAGCCAGAGCCTTGAATAACAGGGATACCTGCGGCAGTGGCCAGGCCTCTCGCTACATGTTTCAAGCCCATTTGATAGATTGCTTCGCTATCAGGGCCTATGAAGATCATGCCTGCATCGTGAACCCGACGAGCAAATTCCGCATTTTCGCTTAGAAACCCGTACCCAACAAAGATGGCGTTGATGTCTTGCTTCTGGCAAATCTCAAGGATCGCATCACTGCAATTGCTTTATTAGTGATGTTGGTATGAGCATAGTATAAGCCAAGTTTACATATTTGTGTATGCTCGAGGCCCTTCTTCTTCAAGCAGGACGCTCGAATCAGCAAGGCGCACATGAAGCGAACTAGCATCCGCCGTGGTAAAAATAGAGACGCATGGGAACGATAGCTGTTTGCACGCTTGGATACACCGTACGGCAATTTCGCCGCGGTTCGCAATGAGTATACGAGGAACGAGAGACATTGTATGGGCTACTACGTTTCTAAGAAACAACGAATAAGGGGATGGTTGGAGAAAGGGTACATGCTATTTATAGTACTCGATAGCAAATGCTTTGATGGCTATAATATTACTAGGGGTTGGCTATGCTAGGTAACTAGTGATGAGGGGAACTGATAAGCGTTCAGGGGGATGATTGGATCTGGGAATGCTGCAGATAGGGGTCTGATATGTAAACCGTAGACGAGTTTTAGAAGACCTCGGTGTGCTTCAAAGCAGGTGTTGAAGGCCATACATAACTGGTAGTTAGTTACTGCAACCTTGTCTTGGTTTGCGATATTTCTGAACTCGTTATTTGAGAACCCTTAAACTTGTGTCCTTTTTGTATTACATGACCAACCCATAGACTTTATATGTATAGCCTAGAGACGGTACCTCTGAGTGCCGTATTATTATAAAGTAATTTCAGAGGACTACTGATAATGATATTGGGGTATCAATCTAGGTGATCGAGTGTTATGTAAAATAACTGGTAGCTACCTACATAGGTATTCAGGGTTTATCTAATCTCGTCATGTAATATCAACCAGGCCCCTGAGAGAGGGGCTGGATTTACGTTGAGCCGAACCGAACAATCAATTTAGTATCCCTTGTGAAGGCAATCCGTACATACGAGATAGAATCACTCGGGTAGACTACCAACGATTCCTATAGTTACCGAGAGTAAAGCATACTTGCGCTTTGGATATCACTGTGGCCCTTCGACATTGTATCCGAGTACGTGTCTTAGAAGAAGACTTTAGCCAATAACATAGCTGGACAGCTGGATGAGGTCCCACTATGGATGAGCTATTGTTGCCTGCTTTACTAACGTCCTACGTGGCTGTGCCGCAGAAGACGTATATAAAAGGATATGGATGAGTGTGATTCGCCTTTTCGACATATTTACGGCATAAAAAATATTAAATATAAATTGTCCTTCGAGATGGCAGGTCCATCCAGCATAGCAGACGAATATGACGAATATGAGATCGTCAATCACGAAGAAACCTCGTTGAGCCCCGAAGAATTGGAAGAAATACGCAACTGGCTTAAGCCCACCGACTACCTAGCCGAATCTGGTGAATTCGGCCGTCATCTCTCATCCCAAGCTCCCGGAACCGGGCTTTGGATTTGCGAGACTGATGAGTATAAGAAATGGCATGACTCTTCAGAGCACGGCAGCCTTTGGATAAAGGGAGCTGCTGGCGCAGGGAAAAGCGTCATGGCGGCTTCGGTTATTAATCATTTGCGCACATCTGAGGACTGTCCTGTCCTCTTCATGTTTTTCCGAAATATCGTCGCAGCCAATTTCTCACCGCGTGCTCTCATTCAAGATTGGCTTGCCCAGCTTCTGCCCTACTCTCCTAAGCTACAGTTCTCTCTCCAGTCACGCCTAAAGACAAGCTTGGTAGAGACTTCGGACAACGAACTCTTTCAGCTTTTTCTTGATGGAGTATCATCTGTCCCGAAATGTTTCTGTATTGCTGATGCCCTGGACGAGATGGACGAGATGACTCCTGGAAACAGGCCGCTTCTTGATAGGCTTAATAGCTTGGCCACCTGTCGTCCTCACTCTTTGAAACTGCTCATCACCAGTAGGCCCAAGCAGCATCTGCAAAGTGCCTTGAGAGACTCGTCGATCGTTCACATTAGCCTCCAGCAGCGTCTTGTGGATGCCGATATAGCAGCGTATCTACACCATCGTTTTGATAAACTTCCTAAAACCGATAATGCACAAGAAATTAAACAGCAGGTCATAGATATGGTAGCAAAAATGTCTCAAGGCTTATTCCTAGTTGCAAAGCTTACGATGGACCAAGTGGAAGCCTCTTTTATTGCAGATGGCCCAGTGGATATATCTACTCTAGAAGAAACTCTTCCCGTAGGGTTGGAACAGAATGGGTTTTCGCCGTTTCACTACGCTTTGCGTAGGTATCCTACGACCTAAGGTTTGCGACCTGCTGCTCTCTAAAGGCGCCAGTATGGACCCTGACCCGAACGGTCTCACAGTACTTCATAATATAGCTTCCCAGTGTCTAAAAACGCGCCGCAAACCGCTCAGCTCCGGACGCATAGACATAGAGCTACCTGAAGACTATTTTGATCAATGCTTAGCTCTCTGGTAAAGGTTCCTAGGGCCTATCGATGTAGCTGACAATGCGGGTAACACCCCCCTTTTTACGTATCTATTATCCAAGGATAGAGACCGACGCATGGAGCATCCTGGAGAATGCCATCTTCTTCACTACGATAAGCTTTTCCCGCGCGATAGCCGTGTTGCCATCTTCGCGGTAAATAAAGAGCTCGAGACGGCGTTACATGTGATTGCTAGGAGAGAAAAGACATACTATACGGGAGAGGGTCATGATAAGGCAATGTTTGAGGCTTTCATTGCTAAAGGGCTAGATCCGTTGAAAGAGGATGCTAAGGGGAGGAGCGCATTGGATGTTGCCAGCGTCTTTGAGAAAAATGATATTATCGCGATCTTCGGAAGGAAGTAGAACTTTCATCTCATAATGAAGTTGGGATTGAATGATGTTGATTGAGTAAGAATCTCACGACTCCACTTTATCTAGTAGAGATCTTAAATATGCCCTCATCACTTGCATCGCTATTCCCTTAGATTAGGTAATTGAAGGTATAACCTTAATCTGAAAGTCGAATTAAAGTTCGCCGTATGATGCAATTATCTATATTTATCTTATAGTCTTCTAGATTCTACATCAACATACCTAAGGCAATCATAAATCTGCCTCCTTAGGCACCCAATCCAACCCCTTTTGTTCCCCTACCAAAGTCAGTATCTTTCCTTCATCAATAACAGCTTGCAGATTTCTCAACACGAGAAGTTCCATCTCTCGCTGAGTCTCGACGGTAGTTGTCCCAAGATGAGGGAGCAAAAACGCTCGGTCATTCTTCACCAATCCAGGATGGATCTCCGGTTCGTTCTCAAATACATCGAGACCTACTGCCGAGACGTGTTCCGATTCTAGCGCAGCCACCAGGTCAGCCTCGTTGATCAGCGCTCCACGCGCCGTATTTACAATTACGACACCCTTTTTCGTCTTGGCTAGTTCCGGCGCCGAGATTATGTGTCGGGTGTTTTCGTTCAGAGCTAGGTTAAGGGATAGCACGTCTGACTGAGCCAGTAACTCGTCAAATGACACGTATTTCGCTCCTTTCTCCAGAGACGGATCCAGCTGCCGTCGGTTGTGATAAATGATATTCATCCCGAAACTGCGCGCACGGTCTGCCATTGCGCGTCCAATCCCACCCATTCCTAAGATTCCAAGGGACTTGCCGCGAGGGTCGTGACCTAGCTGCACCCTCCCCTTCCAGCGGCCCTGGCGTAGCGCAATCAGCGGCTCGTGCACATATCGCAAAGCACCCAACATAAGGAATATGCCGACGTCAGCGGTAGCATCATCAACAGCCACGGGGGTGGAGGACACAGCAATCTTGCGCTCGCTGCACGCCGCTACGTCAATGTTGTCGTAGCCCGCGCCGTTGTGCGCGATGAATTTCCAGGACTCCGGTAGCGCTGCAACGAGCTCACGATCGAAAGGCCCCGTTATTGCGGTAGAGACGTTAGACCGATAGCATCCGCTGACCGCGGCGTAAGTTCCATTTCGGCAGTTCTCAAGAAACTGCTCTCGCGTTCCCTTGCGGAACTCAAGGAGTGTGTACTTGCTACTGAGGGACTTCCATTCTTCGTTTGTGTGGGCTAAGTTCCCAATTAAAAGAACGGTAGGAGGCGACGACATGGTGAAAAAAGATTGTCAGTTATATCTTTGCTGTAGCTTGAGGCGGTGGTTTGGTTGTATGTATGTATAATGTGGTGTACCTGTGTAATGTAATACAGTATAGCCGACAGATGCCGAACTTCGGAGGTGGTGACCTAAAATCGCAATCGCATTGCACCAAGATCGCGGATTCCTCACGCTATTTATAGCCCCGTTTAAACTTCATTCACTAGCGCACATGGACTAACCGTTATGTTTTTGATTAATTGAATCAATTAGTTTAAGAAGGAGTCTAACAGCAACAGTAGACTATCTCCTAATTATAAAGTCTGTGGGTGCTAACGGAATACTTTTCCAAAATGTCCACGTAGATATCTCCTAAATAAATATAACAAATTGCGTTGCTCTTTGCATATAATTGAATGCCGCATTCGAAGACAGAAGGAAACAGTAAATTACACCATCGATAACGATGAAGGTATATTTAGGAGCGACTATCCAAACAAGCCTAGACTACCATGCTTGCCGACGACGTATCCAAGTCTTACTCCTCATTGCCGTTTGGAGTATATCGGTTCTTCTCCCAATGCCTAAACATTCGCGTGCTGTCGATGTGATCTTCCTATTCATATCGGCGTGCTTAACAAACACTAGGGTAAGGAAGAGGGCGAGAACCGAAGTCCCAAGCCAAGTGGCAATACAATCATATGGCTCACAGAATGTTGTAAAGGGATGTCTTTTATGAAAAGTTATGAATGTTCGAAATACTTAGAAATAAGGGGGGAGCCCTCCTGTTTGGAAGTATCTCGGATCAATCCTTAATTACTGGCCGTTTCTTTATTTAAAAAGTGATGTTAATTGTAGATTACCATGCCAGCCCTTCCACGTAGATTACCCCACAGAACAAGTATATATACTTGGCCACTAAAATTACTAGTAAAATGACATGGCCACTTTTTGCCTTATAACTTTTTTAAAACACGGCCGATACATATTAATTTTAACGTTAAAAAAATTATATTAATGATATTTTTAATGATATAATTAATGTAATTAATGTAATTGATTTAATTGATTTAATTAATTTAATTAAATTTATTAAATTTAATTAATTAATTATTTATTTATTTATTTAATTAATTAATTAATTATTTATTTATTTATTTATTTATTTATTTATTTATTTATTTATTTATTTATTTATTTATTTATTTATTTATTTATTTATTTATTTATTTATTTTTTATCATTTTTTAATATTTTAATTAAAATACGGTATTATTATATAATTATAATATTATTAAATTAATTTAATTTATATAAATAATTATTATTAAATATATTATTATAATTAAAAAATATAAAATATATATTATTATTTATAAATTATATTTTTTTATTTATAAATTACTTTTATAATAATTTAATTATATACGGTTACATTTTAATAAAATTAATATTAATTAATTCGTTTTAATTATAAAACTTTTAATATATAAAAATATATTAATATATTTATTAATATTGTTAATAAATTTAAACCTTTTGTAAAATTAATAAAATAAAAAGTAACCATGTCATTTTACTAGTAATTTTGGTGGCCAGGTGTATACACTTGTTCTGTGGGGTAATTTACGTAGAAAGAAATTTTGGTAATTTACAATTAACATCACTTTATTTAAAACACATTTATGCCTTGCATTACTACCTGTACATAAGGATGAGGAGATTTTGCAGGCACCCAGGTATCGTGGAAGCTTTTTCCTTAAGTAGGTGGCTCGTTCAATTGTGATTGGCTAAATTCTTTACAATATTCCTATGTAGAATGGCATCTGTTAAGTCTCTTTAAGAAGACCTGATTTACTGATATAAGTAGGCCTAGACTTTAACACTACGAATTAGCTTTGCGGCAGTTAAGGATATGGTATGAGCGCTAGACAGGAGAGTAACGTACCTAGGTATGTACCTAGGAATCATATTATATCGCACTATGGAGCGAGATTATGGAAAGGAATACGTAGGTTAATAGAAATTAGAATATCAATGTCACAAACTTGGATGTAATTAGGTACTAACTAATGGAAATATGCGCTTAAGATATTATTGTAATGCTACTCTATTCCTTGTGACTCCCCTTGACTTAGTGACAAGCCCGTGACATGGCAATCGTAAGGTATCCAAGGCAAATGCAAGAGACTCAAACCCAGATGAGGGCAAGACCGCAGAAAGATAGGGCATATCCTAGAGTAACAAGGGAGCGGTTACTACCACATCCACTTGATTGTTTTTGGGCACAGTTATCAGGCGTGGTGGCTCTATTGCCGAAGCATTTGAGGACTCCGTTGTCGTTGACAATAAGATCGTCTGCAAAACTGCTGTTAGCCTGAACACAGGTATTTATTCAAAGTAGGTTACTTACTCGTATCTACAGAGCTGGTGTGATGGCGCCCTTTTCGATCAGTGCGGCACTCACATTCTAAAACCGTGCCGTCAAGTTTACATGATCGGCATCTAGGGAGGTTACCCCTGAGTTAGGTTAGGCCGTCTAGTCAGTATTTTATTCTCAATTTTTTAACGACCGGATAGATAAAGGATTCTAGGAATCACTTACTTGTCTTGAGGTTTCAGTATGCCATTGTCAGTTCCATAACATTGCCATAGATCAAGGATTGAACATTGGTCTTTATTTCCAACCTTGCAAGATGCCTTCAGGCCGACATGAGGATCATCCAGGTCGACAAGCGTCATATTTCGGCAATTTTTCGCGTAGCCACCATCTGCGATGGCGTGGCAAGCGAAAACGCCGGCGAGGATGAAACAGGAAGCCTTCATAGTAAGGATTACTAGAATTTGACGATTGGTTAAGGCAGGGCTAGAAAATGTATTGATGTAAGGGGGATAGTGTTGAGGAGTAGAATGGAAGGGAAAAAGAGAACTATATTGGCAAGAAATATATAGATAGACTTTTAAGGTCGCTAAGTATAGGATTCTAACGCAGTTACGTCTGTTAAAAGGTACTACTGAAAGAGTGAGTCGTGAACGAAGCATCAAAATCCATTAGCATGCTTATAGTTAGGCACCTAAATCAAGTCGTTAGTCATACTTAATTGTTTTCATTCTTGGAAATTTCTTCTAGTGACAATGCACTTGCGATAGAATCGGCACTTTGTCAACATATTCTTGGACCCCTGGATTGCCTTCGAAGTCACAATATAATTATGCTTCGACAAAGGACAAAGAGCCGAGAGTCAAAATATCACTCTTAATATGGCTATGGTTATACCATTATACATAAAATATCTTCGATTAACAATCGACAACTCGCTTTTGTGTTCCACTCTATACACAAAGGGTCGGTAGAACAAAATCTTCCCCGATTGACAAAGATTATTATTGATGATTGCGAAATATTAGATATATAAATACCTATTCGCTATCTACCGTAAGCTTCAACTCTATAGTCTTGTATCAGGATAGATAGTACACGGTGACTATAAACAAATCATAAAAATGTATCCTATCTTATTATGCTTGATTCTGGCTTCTGATGTAGAGGTCTTAGCTCTACCATTACTAGTCGAAAACAACATCATGACTAATTTGCAGGATAATAAGCGTCAAGAACCTGTATTAGCACAGGGCACTTATCTTGACACTTGGGCCGTCGTTGGTATTATTGTTGGCGTCATTGTTACTCTCTTGCTTGTTGGTCTATTGATTGTGCTCGGTAGACGAGGTTTTGGATCAAGGCGGAGATAAGTTACATGTGCTTTTAGACTTAATATCAATAATATAAATTTATAAACACTTTAAAACAGATGGTAGTTTACGTAATCGATATATTAGGTACTTGATTAAGGTCAATTTACTCTATATTAAAACTTTCCATACTCAGGTAGCGTATGTGGTAGCTAACCATATATGTACCTCTCTCCCAGATGATATGAGGTTTTTCCTTTGTATATTTACCATTCGTTCTTTAGGTATATCCAAAGATAGTACATGCTCAAATTTAAATTTCAAGTGTCGGGGACGATGCTCATGTAGTTTATTCAGCTCGTACGGGGCCGAACTACCCTCCATGTGAAAGCTGTCCCCAACACTACGTATAAGAATCACTCGAGTGTACCTTCTTCGGGGCCACAATTACTGTCTGAAACTATATTAAATCTCTTCATTGGGTCGTCCCTATCCTCATTCTCGGCGTGCTTAGTACTGCCATCAGCCGTTTAATACATGGAATCGGGCATTTGGAGTCGTACCCAGCGCTCCAAGTAAGCCTGTCAGGATTCTAGATGAGACATCTAGAACAATGGACCTGTTCAATATGTATAGACGTAAGACCCTCGTAGTTAGTTTAGAGTTCTTCGCGGAACAACGAAGTTGTTTCCATGCTGTTTCGTTCCACCTCGTGACAGATCTAGCTCAAGGCTCTGGGGTGGCGGCGGGGGAAAGGGTTTCAGAGTTCATTTCAGCAGTAACGGCTAGGCAAGGATCAAGGCAAAATGTGAAGAAATGTTAAAGACTTTGGACCAACGGAAAGATGCAGCGAAAAGAACAGACATAAGCAATTGCTGTCCGTAGGGCTAGCTATTTTGAATACCAACCCCCCGTGAAGCAAGTCGAGAATTGATATATTTCCATGGTTATGTAAAAGCTAAATACTTATAGTATAGGTATCCATAGTCGTCACCGCAGCGGCTATAAATTATCTTGGGTTTTATATTACTAGTGTACAATACCCCACTCCTGTCTACTGTTCAAGATAGGTACTAACGAACTTTTGATTTAGTAGCACTATGGAAATGGTCGCAACACATGTAGACACTTGCCCTTATCTATTACACGCCGAGTGTCTTTCGATAGGTTAAGACATCCCTAGTACATGTTTTATAATTTACTAGCTACCTACGATATTGATATATCTTACACTCCGTTAGGATGTTGCAAAGCACCAAAGTACAAGCCTCATTGCAAGCTTTAAATCCTACACCTAGGAATATATTACTGCAGCAGAGGCGTGGCGTAGAACAATAAGGAGATAAGCATTATATGATTTAGAAAGCTGTTTATTAAAATCGTAAGATAGTGTCAAGCCAGCCGTATTGTACATCCGACGGCTTATAGCTAACCCCCTCAGTAAATTTATACTTGTACTACACACCTCACAAATTTCTATATATAAATATATAAATGAGCCCCCAATATTGCATTCGTTGTTCGTAAAACCAGAGCGTTAATTGATAGCTTATTAGTTACTGATTCGTTGGTGGGATGTGATATTACATACTTTTCATGTAGGGGGCCAAAGATTATAGCACGTATCATATACGATATTGAATGGTGTGGTAGCATACCTAAGTTACAACGTGCAACGCGATCGCTTCCTTAGGTGGATAGTTAATTGGTTTAACCAATGGGAATCCGTCTATGCAGGACCGAACGCCTCGAAGTCACTTTCAAAAGTAGTTGCATAAAATCTAATTATGTAGTCGTTGGAGACGACCATCTACCTTAACACGACTTAGAATAACGGTCATATTGAACTTAACATATGCATGTTAGTGATGTGAGAAACTTGCATACGAGGTAGCACGGTAGTAAGTTTAGCACAAAATACACAGGCGCCCCCATTTAATATAACCCTCCTTGCTTACTGGTATTCAACCTGGTTACCAACATTAGGTACTCTGAGAATTTCAAGCCGCACTCAAGCTGTCGCCTATATCATTTGGAGAACTCCTCCTATGCCATGTGAACCAAGATATGAGTGTTCTACCTACTCTCAATCCCTCCCCCGTTATAAGCACTAGACGTCAATATGGCCGCGCCACCGTCAAAGGAGAAGATAGCTTTTATGAAAGCTCACAGTGACGAAAGCCTCGTGCCAGATATAATTATTTGTGTCTCTATTTGCGGTATCGCATCTATTGTATTCATTCTTCTGCGTCTCTATTCGCAGTATCTTGTATCGCGCAAGTTCCGTTTAACACAAAGCGATATTCTACTATTGATAGGTTGGGTCTTCTATGCGCAATTCAGCATCGGGCTAGGCATGGTAACTAAACATGATCGACCAAAATACCTAAACTAACTCCTACTAACTATAACAAAACAAGATAACCAAATACGGAGGAGGGCGTCACGTTATCCTGGTTACGGACATGCGCTTGCTTAATACTTGGAAAATCGTCGATGAAGTATCATATTCCACGTCTTTAGGATTCCTAAAACTCGGCATTCTTAGGTTATATGGCAACATCTTCCCATCGAGAAGGTTCCATGGATTCCTATGGGTATTCGCCTTGGTGCTCATTGGTTTTCACATAGCATCAATTCTCGTCAACATCCTCGAATGCATTCCCATCCAGTATTATTGGGATGTCACAATGAAAGAGGGTTTCTGTTTAAATTACGGATTGTATATGCTTCTTACCGGAGTTATCAATATAATTAACGATTTTATCATATTATTTTCTCCTATCCCAATGGTTTTACATCTCCACACCTCCAAGCAGAAAAAGAGACTCCTGATTTTCACCTTCGGTATGGGTGGAAGCGCCTGTATCGTCTCTATTGTTCGCCTTGCATTCTCCTTGGATTTTGACACAACTGGTGATCCTAGCTGTAAGTCGCTTTCGACACCTAGTAAACCGAATAGTTATGGTATTAACGTTTTTTATAGATGATAACATACGTATGAGCCTTCTTTCACTTATTGAGCTTATGGCTGGCATTCTTGCTACATCAATACCGACATACTGGCCATTATTTCGACACATTATGGCAATATGCAGACCGTCTTCGATTAATTCACCAACCTATATCGATAGCAAGGATAGCAAGTGGAACAGCGGTGGCAGTATTCACCCTAGTCCTCAAATAAGTGCTGGCGTTTCGGCTGGGCAGCTTGAAAGCAGTATTTCTGGTATAAATGTGACGAGACACGTTGAGCTTGCTAGATATACTAATATGGGAGGTAATTGGATTAGAGTTCCCGATGATATCCGTAAAGGATGGAAATAGGGACAGGGGTACGGGGGATCACGACACTTGATGATATATTTCTATTCGTCATTTATTCTGACTATGTTATTTGATAACTACCTATAGCAGCGAAGCAGCAGCTTCTAACATACATCAAGGGTTCTCTGACAACTGAGGTCAGGTGTCATGAGGTGGGACCAAACAGCATGGAAAAAACTTCGTTGTTCCGCGAGAAACTCTAACCTGCATACGGGAGCCTGCGGCTATATATACAGAACATATCCTTTGTTCTGGCTGTCTCATCTAGAATCCTGACATAGGGACACTCTTTTTTCTTTCAAAGCTTGACTTCGGTCCAGTCCTCTACCCTCTATTTCGTTTACTATTCGGATGATTACCTGGTGCTGCTGTTTTGTCCAAACCCCCTTAATTTCTATTAGTTGGGCTTCGTCATACGGGAGGGGTTTGAAATTGCTGCCAGGACGTTGTTTTCCACGATCGGTAGAAAAAGATGATGAAAAGGGAAAGACTTGGTGACTGAAGCTATCTAGCAAGAGTCAAGCTATCGGTTGCACCTTCCTATAGGTGCTACGCTAATATAGGATGTATATCCCCATGATAAAAAAAAGAGTCTACGATGCCCCTATCGTTTTGCCTTCCAACTGCTTCTTTTTGCTAAACTCTAACCTCAGTCTCGTTTCGTGCCTTCCAACTATCAAAGAAACCAAGTCTCCTCCCTTCATTCATTCTTCATTCGGGTTGTCGATAAAGAATGAGGTTCGAATATCAAAGGGGTCTAACCCGATTCGTACACGTGACCGACGCAGCCAACGCCATTTCCAAGACCAAATCGCTGTGGGCTTGCATTTTCTTTCATTTCGGCCACACGTATTGGACGGCCCTGGTCGCCTTATCGACCCCGATAACCTCGGCAACCTCCCAGCTAGACGGCTCTACGCGGTATTCGTTGCGTTGGCGATATCCTCGAAATATAGGTCAACGTACCGGACGCGTTTTTGGTGAGGTACCTGGGTAATCATTAGAAAATAGGTCAGGTAGGGTCGTTTGGGTGAATTGGATCAATGGTTAGGGTTAGGGTTAAGTCCCGTCTGGATATGGGCCCCCTATTATCACGCAAATACCAGCCCCATGTTTTCTTTATTAAGTACCTACCTAGGTTTATGCTGAATTACCCTGCTTCTTTCTCCCAGTAATGATAGATACAGGTAGGTAGCCTAATATAAGCGCATTTTACGGGATCAGGCTTGTCAAGTTGAGATATAGCAGCCACGCGAGGAACCGTCGTGAAGTGGTCGATGGGTGGGTACCGATCAAGGACCGAGCTTCTGGAAGGTCGAGTTCAAGATAGGTGAAGCTGGCAAGCCTGACCATTTGTACTAGGTGCACGATACCGATGTCCCAGCGGACGAGTATAATAAAAAGTGACTCGATGGCAGGTATCCTGTCCGAGCTGCCCTCTAGCCCAAACTTGGAACCGGCTGTTTAGGTAGCAAGGACTTATGTAGCCACCCATACCTGCATACCTAGGAATTTACGAGTGAGTTCGGGTGGGCAATCTTGCATTTAATGGTGATTGTTACGGTTCGTACGGGGGTGACGGGCCTCGTAGGGGCTCGGGGACAACGGCGCCACGCGCCGTATCAGGGGTCACTGAAGGGTGGGGGTATTGTATAAGGGTGGTAATAGTATATTGTATAACTAGGAGAGTAAGTTCTAGCTATCTATCGAACGAGTGTATAAATAGGGTAGCATAGGAGGTAGCTAGCCCTGCATTTATTCTTAAAAGTAATTGTCTAGAACGTCACACAAGTTTCGATTTTTTGATTCTCGCTTTCTCCACATGAGGAAATATGGATCCTTATATTTAATTCATCCCGTCAGCATCCTCTAGTATGACCTTAGCTGCCTTCTTCGATATCATAAACGTAGGGAGAACGGGGAATGCACCAGGGGGTTTAGGAAAGACTGATGCGTCAACCACACGGAGGCGGTTTACTCCCTTGACGCGGAATCTTGAGTCCAATACGCTGCCGATTGCACATGTTCCAGTCGCATGGTGTGAGTAAGCCTGCAACTTAAGATACTCCTTAATATCTTGGTCAGTGCATTTACCTTCACTTGTACAAGGATGAAGTTCTTCAAAAGGGGCCAGTCCGGAACTTCCGAGCAAGCTTTTGATCTTCTGGTCAAATTTGACAGCCTCGAGCATAGCTTGCAAGTCCTCGTCGCTATCCCCTTCGAAGAATCGAAAGTTTATCTCGGGTTGTTCGAATGGATCTGTAGAACGTAGGGTGACCGTGCCCCGATTTGAGCTACGCGAATCCATAAGGACAAACGGAAGAGTAAACGCGCTTGGGCCACGGTTCGAGGGATACCCGGGCCAGAAGCCCTCAAATGCAGAGTTCATCGGCCTAATGAAGTTGGATTGTTAGCTATCTCTTACAGTAGATGGTGTATGTTCGTTCTGAGGTAAATTTACCATAAAAATATGTCACGATTTCGCGTCGAAGCAGACGTTTTCAACTGCACAGCATAGGGTTTACCAAAACCCTCAAACGGCTTTGATGCGAGGGACAAGACGCCGCCCTCGTAATTATCCCCAAGATTCTCGCCAACACCAGGGACATCTGCCACCACGGTGATGTTGTGCTTCATGAGTTCCTCCGCCGGACCAACGCCACTAAGTTTCAAAATTTGAGGAGTATTAAAAGCCCCTGCAGAGATGATCAATTCTTTACCGACCCAGCTAAAACCAGCAGTGGTGTTTCGGCTCGAGTCATACCGAGGGTCAGCTTTGTACGCGCTAGGACCGACGACGTAGTCTACCGACATAACGGCGGGAGGACCCTGCAGCTGATCCCACGAGATCTTTGTTAGAAATGCGTTGAGCTGGACTGTAAGTGGGAGGTCTGGATTCTCCTCAAACGCCTTCTTAATATAATTCGCTGGACTGAAACGCCGGCCAACCGAGTCAGTATGAGTAGCCATGGCGAAAACGCCTGTCATCTGGTCGCGGTTGGGCTCAACTCCATTGATGTCTCTATTTAACAGTGCTTTTAGTTCGGCATCTGATATTGCGGATCCAGTGTTGTTTCCTGTTGAACCAGTTAATTCCGCTATGGCTTTCAGGACTGTAGCCCCGTCGGTGGCATTGTTCAACCAGGAACCATCATTTTGGTTAGTCTGAAGCCAACCTGAAAATCCGTGGCCTGCCGAACCTTTCGGTAAATAATTACAATTCTCGATCTCTTCATAAACCTTTCTCATTTCAGAAGCCTTCCACGAATCATCACCGGTGATATTAGCTATATAATTCCAAATATCATCACTCGGCATATGGAGAATGGCGGCGTTGTGCATTGCACATCCACCCAGAGTTGCTGCTCTTGGGTACCAAACGCCTAGGTGGTGGGCTTCTCTCGGAGGATCTAATCCAACATATAAAGAGCCGTTGGTGGTACGCCAGGTCGTATGCTCATATTTCAATTCCCTCTCAGAATCATTGGAGTGTTTCACGAAGAAATCCCATCTTGTCCTTGGATCGTTGCTCGCCTCCGTAGCTTTGTCGGGATCTTGATACAATGGATCTTCGGAGAGGTCTGATCCGGCTTCTAGGAGAAGTACTGAATAACCGGCTTTCGCGATTTCCACTGCTAACGGCCCTCCTCCAGCCCCGCTACCTGCAATAACATACTGATATTCTGATTGACCTATTACGTATTTCGTCCCAAAGGCCAGGGCCACAAGTGAGTACGAAATGAGTCTCATCTCTTATGTGATATGAGCATTGGTATTACTTAGGTACCTATCCTTAACACCAGTAGAAGTACGTTGATGCGGGAAAGACTCCGTCTTTATTTATACCCCCTTTTCGAGATAATGACAATCATCTTATCTCCTCCCTTCATCACGATCGCCATCTCATAACATAAACAAGCCAATAACACTAGTCAGAATTAGTGATTTCCACTATATCTCCAACTTTAAGCCACACTTCATATAGGATATATTAACGTCGTATAGATCCTAACGGTAGTTCGAGTCTATCTAGATTACATTTAGCCTTTGCGGTGGCAGATTGAACCGAGTGAAGCGAAGTGTAACACTTTAAAGAGCTTAAGCATTTGTAGAGTTTATTGCGATAACGACACATTTTGTTATGGGGGGTATCGGACATCATTCGTTGCGTCGGAGCTCGCCCGCCGAGCCGAGTCCCTCCTTAACCCACAACGGAGTAGAGATGGTAATAATTATTGTCATCAATTCGTGCAATCCAAATTGGTTCGTGAGACTTATCCATAAAAATAGAATTGATACTTTGTACAGAACTATAACTTAGGTAGCTTAAGATAAACACCCAACCGTTGCCGGCCTTCGGCATCCGAACCCCGGCCTCAAGATATACATGAATGGTACGCTCTCGTGTATATTATAGACGTTTTGCCGCTAAGATGAGTTGTTCAGGTTGCCCGCCAGGACCTACAGAAGAGTTCAAGTAACTCAAATTACCTCTATTGTCAGATATGGCTCCCTCAACTATGAAGCAGTGGTTTATTAAGGGGCAGGAGAAAGGGTTCGAAGGGTTAGAGTTCCTTGAAGTGCCTGTCCCAAAAGTCGGAGAGAACGAGGTCCTCGTGAAACTGCATGCTGCATCTCTGAATTATCGAGATGTAGCCATAGCGAAGAACGAATACCCCAGCCCATTACGATTTCCATTCTGTCCTGGTTCGGACGGCGCAGGTGAAGTCATAGAGATTGGCTCTAAAGTGACCAAATTTCGAATAGGCGACAAAGTAGCAACGCTTTTTCATCAAGGCCATCTTTATGGAGATATTGACTCTTCCATCATCCCAACATCGCTGGGTGGTTTCCTTGGTTTGTTCATCCCCTCTCCCTTACTCCAACCTCCATAAACTAACGAAAAGGTGGAAGACGGAACGCTTAGACAATTCGGCGTCTATAACGAAAATGGGTTAGTTAAAACTCCCAATAATCTCGATCTGAACGAGTCAAGGTTAGCAACTCTCATTGACGGTCTGATCCTTCTTGATTAACTGACTTGTTGTTTAGTACTTTATGTTAGTTAGCATTGACCCCGGCTGCCCTTAGTTAACTAACCTCGGAAAAGCATGTGCTGCCTTGACTGCATGGAATGCATTGTACGGATTGAAGCCATTGAAGCCAGGCGATTCTGTTCTCATTCAGGGTACAGGCGGAGTTAGTATCTTTGCACTTCAGGTACGTATTCAGTATCATCATAAATGGTATTGCTTCTTAAAATTCTTCACAGTTTGCAAAGGCTGCGGGAGCTACAATTATAGCTACCACGTCTACGAAGGAGAAGGAGGAGGCACTGAAAAAGCTAGGGGCCCATCATACAATCAATTATAAAGAAGACGCCAACTGGGGCAAGACCGCCAAGAGCCTAACGAGCGGACAGAGCGGCGTCGACTTTGTGATTGATGTTGCAGGCAGCGAATCTCTTCACCATAGTATTGATGCAATCAGGTAAATGCCAATAGACCCTATCTACCTCCTGGGTAGCTAAATATGTCTCTAGCTAACTGAGACTACGAAAGGGTTGGAGGCATCATTAACCTGATCGGCTTCCTCAGTGGCAAAAAGCCTCAACTTACGATGGAGCTCTTATTCCGCGGCTGCACAGCACGCGGCGTTCACGTGGGCTCGAGACAACAAATGGAGGAGATGGTAAAGGCTATCGAAGCCAATGATATTCATCCCGTGATTGATGATAAAGTCTTCAATCTTGAAAGTGCTAGAGAAGCATATGACTACGTGGTACGCGAAGAAATATCCGAAACCCTTGGCCCGACTTCCAAAGATACTAACAAAATTTATCAACAGTGGAACCATAGGCAGTTTGGCAAGGTGGTTATCAAGATATCCGAATAATTTACTTATCCGAATATGATGAAGCGACTGTTTGTCAGGATACAGGGATTAGTGTTGGTGAGATGACGGGAATGGTGCTCGGGAGGAAGCATACTACATGTTGCTTTGCGTGTGATATATCATATGGAAAAGGGGATCCAACAACGCTGCTATATACGTAAGATACCTTACTAGGTTAAGGTCTAGTATTTTTCCATAGTAACACGTAGTCATTTAGTATTCAAATAGGAATAGAATAAGCATATAGCAGATCGGCAGTCGACAGGTACAAAACTGTAACATCATGGCCGCAAGAACATATACCTAGGTAGGTACTCATATATAAGGTCGGTTGGTTACATAAATGAGTTAAGTACAGGTAAGTCCTAAGTACCTAAGGTACCTCCTAATTGCATCATGTTCAAATGCCTCTTAAGTAGAGATAAAGCCAAGTAGACTATTACAAGGCGACAAAAATAAATCTCAAGACGAAAACTTGATATGTCTTGACATATGACCAGTCAGAAAGAAAGTCTGTCACGTAGCATAACCACACACACTGAGTTAAAAAAATATTTACCTACAATATCCTTTATGTAGTACAAGATGCAGCAACCCTACCACAGTGATATTTTCTAGATCTTTCGCCCGCCACTACTGCCTAAGATGTTACATAAATTAGCTAGGTATAGTCTATGAAAGTACCTTTCAACAAACGCCTCAAAGCGTGCCATAAACCTTCCACTAAATCCCATACCTAACTCCAGAAAAGAACATAAATGTGAAAGATTCCCTCCAGATACCAAGCCCAGTAACAAACCTACATTCCCCAGAGAGCTTCGATACCACGATGCAAAGTACGATGTCTGATCCGAAGTTATTATGTGCGAACAACCAAGGTGTTGCCATACCCTGCAAAAGCACTGGCTCACTAGCATGTAAAAATTGCCTCTTGGTTCCTGTAAGTCTTCTTCAACACTTCACCTATGGCCGGATATGAAGTAATATAGTACTGGTGCTGATTTTTCTAAATGTGAATAGTACTGCAGCAAGCGTTGCCAGGCTGCCCATTGGCCTATTCATCGCAAGGATTGCAAATCCATAAACAATTGGCAACCTTTGTGGGTAAAAGAACGCAGAGTGCCCGCCTTCATAGGTAACAGTTCCGCGCAAGTATTCCACGGGCCAAATAAATACCTTTGGGGCAACGTCCCAGCGATTGACGTAATCCAACTGCAACACAATGAAGGGGTCAATTTTAAAAATCCGTTGAACCTCCTTTTTCCAGGTATGAAATATTCCTTAGGTGTAAAGTACCACTAACAAAAACCTATATCTAGCTTCGGGGGATATGAGAAATGTTATTCTCTCTATCGTCAATCTTCATTCTTATAATGGACCGCTCAGCATAGTATTGAACGATAGGGAAATGGATATAGTAGCCCGGAATGCTATATTCCTGTTGATCTTCCTTGTTGAGGATGACCCGATCATCGCTGCAGAACATGTCCTTCACATTTGGTACTCGGCTTTGATCACAGAACCTTGTCAAAGCCTCCTACAGGACAAGCTCCGGCCAATGGTAAAGAGCGTATGCGACAAGATCATGCATAAGCCTGGCTCATCGCTTTTAGCCAAGACATGGTTATTTGGCAACGCGTCTCTACGACTAGTACTATCTCGGGATAAATGGTTCTCTTTCCTATCATATTTTGACGTTCCCCAGGGGTTGACCAAAGACACCGCCCAACGAGTTCGACAAGCAGTTATGTTAGCTCCCGAGAGAGTTGACTATGTTCATCGAGTCATGTGTCTGAAAACTCCGCCTCAAAGGCTCGGCATGTTCAAGTTTCGTGCTGACGGCATTTTGCTACCGTTCAGTCATACTCGTGAAGAGTTTACAGTACCAAACCCGTTAGTATTCCACTTCAATATAAATTTCAATATCCATATTTAACAATTCTTCTTAGAACCTTGTTTCATTCGACCTATGAATGGCCAATGATGGATAATGCTGATCCTACATCCGGTTGGTCGCTCAAAGCATTCCTCGAGTTCAATATTGGGCCAACGAAGAACGACATATATGGCAAGCTCTATCATTACCTCAGACAGCTATTTGTAGAGTTCCATCGCCGACTGCGGGCTTTCTCGGTAAAGTTTGAACTTCTACAAGCCGATGCAAGATCTCTACAGCTAGGTGAGAAGAGATTTGATCGCATCGATGTAAGTGGTTTCTTTGGTTGATATATTTTCAGGGGCTGACCGTTTACGTAGGTGGGCAATATCGCGGATTTGTGTCATCTTGGCATTGGTGAAACTTTGAAGACGTTTGGTCCATTGCTTCAGCCTACAATTATCAATGAACATGCGACTCTCATCACGCTATTCATAAACGCTGTTCCGGAGATGATTATGTTGAAGGAAGGAAGAATGTTTCCGCCGGATAACATGCCGGAGCAGATAGAGAAAGTTTTCCAATACATGCCCGAGCTTGAACAGCCCACAGCCACTAACATGACCACTAACATGACCACTAACATGACCACTAACATGACCAAGACTCTGATGGCAATGAATCTAGTTCAAGACGTGGACGGAAACTTCGATATGTATGTATCAAATTCTATCCTAAACTTGTCTCCTTTGGATGCTTATACTGAAACCTATAGGTATACGATGCTACACGCATTTCACTCTACGGCGATTCGTTCTGGGCTATGGATGAAAGATACGCACACGATAATCGAGAGATGGCCGATGCGAATCAGTCAGGAATTAACCGAGCAGGCAAAAGAATATTTTGCCCTCTTACTCTCTTCGAGCCATAATGGACAGGAACGTTATGTTGAGTGGAGTCGTATAGTGGGACGAACGCGAAAGGAATGAAGCAGCCATAAAGATATGATGGCGGTTTAAGGATATGAAGTACATCGTAGCGGAGTCCATCCAGTATAGGTACTTAAGTAGTTTATTGAAATACTATGGTACACCGCAGGAATACAGATACTACCACGAAGTCCCTTCGAAATGATAGCATATGTGTAAGGTTTGGTAATATTTTTTTCATCAAAGCCCATAAAACCACTCTGGAGTTTAGGTACCTAGGTACTTCGTAGGTTACATTAAATATGGGGTCCACTTCAATCCGACAAGTCCGGACCGGAGCCGCAGGTGCATTGATTAGTGGGTCCGTAAAGTTGGACCGGAGCCGCAGGTACAGTATGATACTATCCCCATCGAGGAAATAGCAAGTCTGCATTATAAATCACCTTTTTCTTTGAGAACTTACTATATCAAATGGTAGGTAACCTAGATATAATAAGACATGCATTGCAATAATTCGAATTCCAACTATAAGTCTCGGTATCGTATTATTGGGTGTGGTAGGCAAAGAGCTTAAGCTAAATCGTGTTACTGAGCTATATAATATTTTCTGCGGAGTTCTTCTCTCAATTTAATCTAATGAACTTAACAGGAAGTAATTACAAAGGATCTCCAACAATAAAAACCCATCATACAATCAGGAGCTACACTACTAACACCGTATCTATCAAATGTCAATTGTTACTAGTAGATTCCAGCATGTAGATCTCGTCGCCGAGTTGAAACGACTGCCTTAGAGGTTGTGATGAGGTTTGAGGCGTTGCCGATGGCTTGTGATAATCTCAAAATCTTATCTATGGTGACACTTTCAGTCCGTGTACTCCATCCCAGCTCGGTGGGGAAACGTTCATTCTCTTTACGCAATGTTAACTTAGGCACAAATACATGTATAAATGAACTTACCAAAGAAATATTCCACCAAAGTTCTATTAACGGTCACTGCTTCTAGATCACCGAAAGCAATAATCGGAGCAGAAACCTCGCCAAGGCTAAAGCTTTCGACCGTAGACGTGAATGTGTAATTGGGGTTGAAGGCTTTGGAGCTGAGCTGACGGGCAACCTTGCCATTTGCCAGCATGTTCGCATCAAGGATCTCGCCGGTCCAGTATAATTTCGTCTCGTTGAAAATGGTTTCGTTGAAGACATGGTTGTTGCCGAAGAAGGCGTCTGAGCGGCTGTGAGATACAATTAGTACTATTTTTTTTTTGTAAATTATGATCGAAATCCCGCCAGGTATAATACAGTTGTGGGCTGCTGTGGATAGCTGTATGGCACTTGCCAGGTACCAAGGCAGTCACGAGGTGGTCCCGTAGTCCTTGAGAATCAACAACGCATTCCGCAATACAAGACCAGTTCCATACGAAATAATGATCTCACCTCAGACTTGCATCGTGCTCAAGGATCCCATGCTTATTAAGCTGGTCCCTAGAAACAGGTGAATGTTAGTGGATATATTCGACGAGAGCGTAAGTTCGGAGAATATGAATAGATATCAACAGATTGATATTCCTTTGGAGGTAAGGGGGTCTTAGTTTTCTTACAGAGTAAAGAATGTGGCATTTGGGTTGATTATAATAGCCGTGTCGAACATCAGCGCGCCGAGAGATTCGTTGAAGTTGAGAGCCGAGGACAGGGCACTAATGAGAGTGTCTTTCGTGATATTCCGACCATCGTGAGGCAAAAACTGATGATTGCTCAATGTATTAAGCATTGGACATGGCCCACGGTCTATCAATAGTAGGTATTAGCAACTAAAAATCTGAAGTTTTATAATACACTTTATCATACAGTCATTCGGCCCTGGGGCTAGCCACGGATGACCCTCTGGAGGTTCAATAGCAGCTGCTAGTGCAATACTAAGGGTGACTGGAAGAGAAATAAGTCTCATGGTTTCGATAGTGTGTTTATAATTGATAGATACAAGAAATCCGGAGTGTGTTGAGGATGATGATAATGTATCTTTTTCACAGAGAGGAGATGAAGTATTTAAGTCCATCAGAGTTACCCCTTTTCTTAGAAGGAATCGTAGGCAGCAATACAGCAACTGCATAGTTAGACCAATTACTTGGACGATCATCATCATAGTCTCGGATAGTTACTACATATTGTCGATGTACCATTCTATAATAACAAAGCAGCAGGTAGCCAATAAGAGACTAGATATTGTAATGCTTCGCAATATACGATAGTTTACGAGAAGTACGAGGCTTGTACGAATTCGTTTCATTCGTACAACCCTGCTAGGTGGTGGCTAAGCCTCGCAATGGGACGCAGCATGATTTATTAACCATTTGATCTGGAGCTTCTAAGTCTCCATTCTTGCAACGCAACACGGCATCCCGAAGTTGTAGGCGCAATCACAGTATTATTCAAGGCATATGCATTTATAGGTAGGGATGGCTATGCCACTTATTTGACATGTGCTCTAAAGTTTGAAAAGCTTACACGGAGGTGCGTATGCACAAGGCGGTCGGATCACTTGACGTCTCGGTAACTAAAAGGGGTACCTATCATATCGTATGAGTTATAATCATGAGCACCTTGTCAGGATTCTAGATGAGACATCTAGAACAAAAGATATTTAGTATGTATGTATAGCTGCAGGCTCTGGTATCTAGCTTAGAGTTCCTCGCGGAACAACCAAGTTGTTTCCTTGCTTCTTGCTCCATCTCATGACACTCCTAGGTAGGCGGGATAGATGCTCTATATAGATTCCAGGCTCACCTATCTCACTATTCCATACTGACGTATGCACCCAAGCAGTAAACGTTCCTCATCCAAAGGAAATTGGTTTTATACTTCATCTAATTCCTATGTAAAGCTATCTTATGAACGATTCGGGAAGTGAATAGCCGAGTTAAGCCGAACAAATCACAACGATATGCCCCGTATCTCAAGACGCCTTAATCGGGGAATGTTATCAAAAATTGAGGTGAATGGTCCCCATTATTCCTTCGGTGGGGGAGGGGAATCCTGGTCGGAGTCGGCGATAATAGAGATGATGGTTAAGAAACCGCATTATAACCATCATATTCCAGTACGAGTAGTGATTGAGTACCTACCTAAAGTAACCCGGCAAAGCAATACATAAAACCGGCACCCATCTGTATCAAAAGCTAGACATAAGTTATCATGGTTCAGCGTATTCACCGAGAAGCCAACCTACAGGCCTTCATTAATGCTGTGGAGAAGGATGGCTGTGTCATCGTCGAAGGCTTTACCACCCTCGAGGCGCTGGCCGACGCGCAGGAAGAAGTGCAGCCCTACCTCGATGCTTCCATCTCAGCTAGTGGAAGCACAGTTGGGGCGTTGAATGGAGGCACTGCGACTTGCACGCGCCTAATTGGCAGAAGCAAGACGGCTCGTGAGAAGTTCTTCTCTGACCCCTTGTACCAGGTATTAAAAGCACCTTCTCGTCAGTATATCCAACAGTAGGCCACGAGATTTTCGGCGTCAAGAACCACATATTGCAGTTCTTTAAGTGAGATAGTTTGCAGTGAAATGGCTAGAAGTCACTGACCACCAACATTCTTGCCCAGAGACTTCTCAAGACCATTTCTGGTCCATTTGAATCAGCATGTATAAACTAATAACTTCGAAAACTAGGAACTCGCGGAACACTTTATTGGCATTGAGTCAACGACTTGGTACGGGGATGAGCCGCAAGTTAACAAGTCTCACCCTCTCCTCTCCATCTCAATTACAATGGATTCCCGGCCCGGGTGCAAAGCCCAACGTCTACATCGAGACGACAAGAATCACCACGCGAGACACACAAAGACCGATAAGTACACCCAAGGCCGAGATATGTTAATAGGGCTATTTGTACCAGGCTGCGACACATCCAAGGCGAATGGCGCAACAAGAATTGTGCCTGGGTCGCACCTTTGGGGTGACGAAAAGCCTAATTTTGGCCCCAATGGCGATGCGGGTGTCCTTGATGCCGAATTGAAGAGAACGGATGCCTTTATTATGCTCGGGAGTCTCTACCATGGCGCCGGACACTATTCGCTGCCGTCCGGGAACCGCACCGTACATATCTTCTTCATGTGTAGCGGCGTACATCGTCAAGAGGTATCATGCCGCTTGTCTACTATCTCGTAAATGACGCTTGCTAACTAACTTGGGAAGGAAATTCCCTTCCTTAGCTACCCTATAGAAGAAGTGAAGACTTACTCACAATTGGTACGTGATAGGTTAGGCTGGAAGCAATCGGAACCAAATCTTGGGTGGGTCGACTTGATGTCTCCTGAGTACTTATTAGCATAAACTGCTACGTGTAGCTATAGCAGGCAAAGGGCGGCCGTGTTAACATAGCCCATGCAAATGGTTGGTGATTTTAGAAATTAGATTTAATTCAAGATTATATAATCTCTCTTGAGGAATAAAGGATAGTAATGGATGAGAGAAGTTCTGCTTAACATTTTTGATATCCTCACATAGATGAACTTACCATTAAGGTTGCAGCATCCGGACTCCATATGGAGACCGATGTGTTAGTGAGAGATTTAAATCGTGTCGTAGGGTAGTAAGATGATTTATGTACAGATACTATAACTGTATCCCCAATCCCACCACTAAGCTGGACTTACTGGCTGAGAATGAGACTGCAGTCAGTTGGATCACGCCGTACCAGACGTGTCCAAAGTGGAATTCCAGCTACAGCGGAGATTGACTATGGGAAGTGAACCTCCTTTGCCTTCCATCTATCACGAACCAAGTCAATAAGGCACTCGCAAAGGCCAATTTTCTGAATATGGACTTCTCGGTAATATGGTTGCCATACTTGGGAGTCTCCTGGTCAGCAACGTGATGAGTTGCTTGCGGCGGGACGCAGGACCGAAGCTCTCGTTAGACTTCGACTAGTCCTAGTCTAGGAACGTCATACTTGGAATTGATCAATCTGTGATAGCCGCTGATTACCTAGGTACCTTTGCCAAGTTCCCCAGCTATAATTCCCGGAAAATCTTATCATATCCGTACTGGTAGCCGATTTAGTTTTGCTACAAGCCACTTAGAAGATTTTCATCCTTCTAGATGATTGGTTCTGCATCTAAAGCATGGAAGAAGCGCAATATTGTGCAAACTGCGCCCCTCTTGTCGTGGCGGGTGCGAAAGCCCAGGGGGGCTATAAATCCGGGGCCGGACAAGGGCCAGAGATAATAATACCGCTTGACGACCGGAGGTATTTGAAAACTTAATTATGATTCTTGTGGACACGACGGGATAATAGCGAACCGACGCGGTAGAATATGGAGCTTAAGTTCCGGGAAGAGGCGTGCCTTTTAATATTTATCTGAATAAAGAGTAGGAGTTTGGATGATCAAGACAGCTTCAATCATCAAGGACGTCAGAGTGGTCTTCCGACCTAGAATACCCGAATACACGACGTCAGCAAGTTAACTCTAAGACCCTGTTCGAAAACTAAAACAATACATCATCAGTACGCTTTTGCTTTCGGAGGATTTTCGTATCAGGCCACCTATTCGTGGGGCAGCTTGCGAGTGCCGTTCATAGACTGCTACTTTGAAAGAAGACATAACGTGCCTTGCAAAGGCTTGATAGCCGATTAATAAACTATGAGCATAGACCGAGAAAGTTTAGTGATTTTTGAAGATAGCAATTTATTATTGGCTCGGATTAGGAAAGATACTCCTAATAAGGAGGGTCATGTGAAGGATATCTTCGACAAGTGCTGACGAATTGGCTTCGCACTTTGAGCGCGGTGGGAGCTGGTCTATGAATCACAATGACGACCTGTCATTCGATTTGCTAGCGGGGAAGGCAAGCTTAAGGCTATATCGGACGGGGCTGTCAAATCATAAATGTCATCATAGACAGAGTTAAAGTTGAGTTAAAGTTGACAACGTAACGGGTCGGCAAGCTAGATTTTTATAAAGTTAAAAGTGTCATGTCAATACGATCTAAGATAAAGTCACGGGGTGTTGGCCACTCTTACTTAGATCGACATTTCTATCAACATTTCTATCGATCTCCTCATTACCCATAATCAAAGACCAAATACGATATGGCGGGCAAAGTAACTCTTGCAAACACGGATGATATCCCTGATCTCATGGAGATGTTCTGGGAAGCCTTCAGCGGACCGGGCGAGGTTATGTTTCCCCATAACGAGGCAGGACGGAAGTGGCTTCAGCGAAGTTTTGATAACTTCCTAGGTCAGAAGTCTTACTACAGACCTGAATCAAAGGTCGCAGTCGTCAGGAATGTTAACAGTATGGATACCATCATGGATACCATCTCCCATTATGTTTGAAGTACTAGTCACTAAGAGAAGTATAGGCAAGCCGGTTGCGCTCGCAATCGCCCACATCGTCGGTCCAGGTCAAAATATTACTGGCAACTCGTGGAAGACGCGATGGTCGCGATGCGATGACATACCAGGGATGAGCGAAGAGAAACTCGCAGAATTCTTCGAGCCTCTGGCGAAAGCCCATCATCTTGTCGCAGGGAAGGAAGGCCATGTCTGTAAGTTGTCACCGAGTTAGAACGTCAAGAGGCGGCAAACCTGATCCTCGTAGTTATCGAATTCGTCATGACGAAGTCTAAGAGTCGAGGAAGAGGTTATGCATCAGCGCTTATGGAATGGGCAACGAAGCTAGCTGATGACCTCGACATTCCTTGCTATCTCGACGCTGGGATGCGCGGCATGGGCATCTGTGACCGGTGCGGTTTCAAGGCGCAAGACATCGAGAAACGATACGGCGGACCGCCGCCTTGCACGCCTATGTTACGATCGAAAAAGCAGTGACACTTTTATGACGAAGCTAGAATAGATATTGACGATGGATATGATGCGAGCCGAGGGTCGTTGTTGGAACTCGGTAACCGTCAATTTAGAGCGCTAGAGAAACGTTACGAGCATGTCGCGCAGTGATTCGACACCAGGGGTTATCAACCATTGATCAAGGGTTCAATGCACCCCACAAAGATCGCCAATTCGAACAATGCGGCTAATTTGCGAGTACGATACTCAGCATTAATGGTTTTGTGTATGGACATTTGAAGAATATCTCGTATGTACGTTTACGCTTATATGCAACTGATTTTATGTGCGGTAGAGATTTATATTGGTAATGGCATTCGATGATTTAACGATGTATGTGTTTTTTTCTCCATTGTGGTGATTTGTTACCGCAGCCTGATTACCAACAGAATGGAAGAAAAAAAAGATGTCAAGGTCTAAACTGTCTCTGTATCACACACCCACGGCGGAGAATACGACCTGGGTTATGTCCATCCACAGGTACCTAGGTAGGTAGGTATTTATTAAAGCGGAACTGCGGGACGAGAGATGCCGTTGAACTTTCAATGTTGTATTACCAAAGTTGTACCTCTATGTACTTCGTACACAACAGCCTTACAGTGCTAGACTAGGAGGTACATGTAGGTATCGTCGCTGCCTAGTCCCTTACATGCATACTTTAAATCCTTCAGTTAGTCCAATTAGATATTTCTTTTCAATGTCTCAATAGTTCTTACTTTATAAATTTCACAGACTCAACAACAACTTCTGCTTTGACCATCTATCGCCACATATCCCAACTTGCGGTCAACTTGCGGTAAACTTTCGCATATCTTATCAAAAACCTTCTCTATTTGTCAGGTTCTATTTTCCCGTGTTCCAGGCGTCGTTATAGTGGTTATAGTGGGTTTCTTGGGTCGGATGGACGCCAAGCACAAGCCTCCGACGACATGATAACTTTCTTGGCTCACCTAAGAGATCCAATAAAGGAAGATGCCAAGTCTCTCTGTGGCCTTATCCGCTCAGCTGTACGGGATCCATACCATCTGGACCCCTAGGCCCTGGCACTTCCATTGCAGTAGCACTTCACTTCATCCGCCCTGCGGCACGGCAATTGCTAGTTGTGGCCGTTCTGCCTGATCATCTGTTCTGTCCTTCTAATTCGTTTCATACATTCATTCGTCCATCCCTCTGTCGTTCTTGGCGAACTTTTTTTGTGTGTCTTTTTTTCTACATTCTCATTCTCATCCTTGTTCTCATTCTTGTTATCGCTAGTCCCAAGATAGATCGAATTGTTGAATTTGCGTCGCTTGCTTAGCCTCGGTCTATTGGAGCTCGTATTCCACATAGCTCGCCTGCTTAAGATTACGCTGTAATAGCTCTAGATCTGCTTGATCTTCTTTAGCAATTCTTGTATAGTGTTCGGATGAAAAATGGTAGAATTGATTTTAGGTTGATGCTCGTCGCCTTTGCGCCCTTCCTCACCGTTCTCCGACTTTGCGCGATCGAGGCGTTGGCTTGAAGGCTCGAGGGCCTTTCGTCCATCCTTGCCCCGCCTCCCAATTGCCTCTGTATATCGACTCGACTGCAACCGTGGAGATGTTCCGCTTCCGGAGATATCGTTACTACGTCTTCTTTGCCGCCATCATCGTATTCTTGCTATACCGTGTCTCCCAGAATAGCGATCAGTGGGAGTCCGTCTCGGCGTCTATTCCCTATAAAGCTCTACCCAAGTCGTCCCCGGAGCGAGGCTTCGACACGACCAACAAGCAATCTCAGCAACCTCTCCCTGGTAAGAGCGGTACTAGATTGTCGGATGGTGATAGTGACTCAACACGTCAAGGGGGGGAGAAGACGAGCGAGGATAGCAACGAGGTCAAGATCCCTAGCTTAAAACCCACCACTAGCGAAGATGTTCTCAGCAAATTCGATCCTTCTACGGAGACCGCGACGACGGACGCCGGTAGGACTAAAGTAGTCGTATACGATAAAGATGGCGCTGCGAAGACCACTACCGTTCCGTTGATCGATATACCAGATAAAAACGTCGGCCAAGGTGCCAAGGGTAAAGGCGTCCACGGAAAACCGGGTACGCATAAAACTAAAACGGAGGGCGAACCAACTAAGCACTGGAAGAAGTTCCCTGAGCATTTCCCCGTCCCCGAAGACGAAATAATCCCCCTACCGACCGGGAAGCCCAAGCCTATCCCCGCGGTCCAATATGATTTCGATACGGAGTTGCCCCAAGTTCGGGAGAAGCGTCTAGAGCGTCTCGCCAAGGTGAAGGCAGAGATGGTGCGCGGCTGGAATGGTTATATGACTTATGCTAAAGGACATGACGAATTGAGTCCCGTATCTAAGAAGTTTCGCGATCCGTTCTGTGGCTGGGCCGCAACTTTGGTCGACGCGTTAGACACGCTATGGATTATGGGCATGAAGGAAGAGTTTGAAGAGGCTCTTCTCGAAGTCGAGAAGATCGACTTTACCACCTCCGAGCATCGCTCCGAAATTCCTGTTTTCGAGACGACCATTCGATATCTTGGCGGGCTAGTCGCAGCGTACGATGTCAGTGGCGGTAAAGCTGGAGGATACGATATTCTTCTCGAGAAGGCGCTCGAGCTCGCCGAGATCCTCATGGGCGTCTTCGATACGCCGAACCGCATGCCTATTCTGTATTACAACTGGAAACCATCATCCGTGTCGCTTCCGAAGAGAGCCCAGGGAGCGAGCGTTGCTGAACTAGGCTCTCTCGCCATGGAGTTTACTCGCCTGGCGCAGATCACGAAGGAGAACAAGTACTACGATGCTGTAGCACGCATCACAGATGCCTTCTACGAATGGCAAGAGCGAGGAACAGCAATCCCTGGTATCTTCCCGGAACATATAGATGCCAGCGGGTGCAATAGGACCGCAGAGGCCATAGTTGCCGCCCAGGAAGCCGAAGAGGAAGAGCAGCGGCAGATTGAGCTCCAGAAGTCTGGCTCCGATACTGCTAAGAGTAAGGCTATCGAGGTGGACGGTAGCCAAAGCAAATCCAGTAAGGGCGAGTTCCATGCCTTAGAAAGCCGCTCTCAAGTGGGAACGCCTAACGACGATGGTACCAAATCAGTCAAGATCGTAACCAATGGCGAGGAGATATACGCGCCGTCAGAGAAGACAACTTCTCCCAAGAGCGATAGGGGCAAAAGTAGTACCGTATCGCGGGGTCATGGTAACGACTCGGAAGAGTCCAAGAAAAAGGACAAATGTATTCCTCAGGGGCTCACTTCCGGGTCGTTCTATTCCAATCAGCAATACAGCATGGGCGGGAGTCAAGACAGCACGTATGAATATTTTCCCAAGCAGTGGTTGCTTCTTGGCGGCCTCGAGCCTAAGTACGAAACCTTGCATACCAAAGTTGCCGCAGCCGTCAAGAAATGGCTACTATTCCGGCCCATGGTTCCTGATGATCGTGACATCCTATTCTCTGCTAAGATCAACACCCGAGGGAACCCAGAGACCGATGCCTCAACCGAGTGGGAAGTCACCCATCTCACCTGCTTCCTCGGAGGAATGTTCGGTTTGGGCGGGAAGATCTTCAAAGTGCCGGAAGACGTAGAGATCGGAAAGAAGCTCACCGACGGCTGCGTATGGGCTTACGAAAGTACACCGAGCGGTATCATGCCCGAAGGTTCCACCGTTGTCCCCTGTGCCGAGGCGAACAACTGCCATTGGAACGAGACTCTCTACTGGCAATGGTTGGACCCTCTTCACGAGACCCACGACGAAGAGGTTATAAATTTTGAAAAGGAACAGAAAGAGCGAAAGGCCACAAAGTTACAGAAGACGGAAAAGGCGACGATGAAGGGGCATCCGAATCTCGGCACGGTGGCCGAGGGGACGGACGAGTCGGGGAGTGTTGGAATTCATAAGAGAGAGCCCCCTTCATCAATACGCGGTTCGACGGATGACACAAGTGGCGAAGGCGTTCAGGCTCCTCTCCAGCCGGAAGAAGATGACAGCGAAGTTCCAGAGCCAATACGCCCATTATCCTCTAAGGAGTATGCAGAGAACCGTATTCAATCGGATAATCTCCCACCTGGTTTTGTCAGTGCCAATTACCACGCATATATCCTCCGGTAAGTAAACGTCGTATATAATAGTAGAAGCATAGCTGGCACCGTGCTATAAGTCCTGAAGCCAGACTAACCCTCTTTTCGCAGACCGGAAGCCATCGAGTCCGTTTGGTACATGTACCGCATCACAGGCGACAGCTCTTGGCAGGAGAAAGGATGGAAGATGTTCAATGCTGTTGTTAGCCAAACTCGGACAGAGGCTGGTAACAGTGCCATCGACAATGTCTTGCTGGAGAATCCCGTCAAAACGGACGAGATGGAGAGTTTTTGGTTGGCCGAAACGCTGAAATATTTCTACTTGCTGTAAGTCGCCTCGCACCAACTCGGGACATTTTTCGAGACGGGTTACTAACGGACTCTGTAGATACTCAGATCCTAACCTCATCAGCTTGGATGAGTGGGTGCTGAACACGGAGGCCCATCCTTTTAAGCGACCCGTTTGAACGGGTGTCTGGGCAATAGACTCAAGAAATCATCATATTTTTTTTTTTTTTTTTTTTTTTTGCATAGAATACAAAACGCGATAGGTCGGCGGTGAGAAGTCAAGGTTGGCTAGGTTTGTTTAAAAGTTAAGCATTCGTTTGCTGGATACTCTATTCTATTGGAGTCGTGGAATTCGTGGGCTACTTATTGAGCTGTTCCACGTAAGTGCAGGGGTGACGCGTCGTCATCACATCCACCACATTAACACTACCCGTCCTTTTATCCTCATTCGTCCCGACATGATAAACAGTGTGGTCTGTCGCATATTCCAGACGAGACAATATATAGGTATGTATATAAACTATCTCGATGAGATTCTAGCTTCACCGACTTGGCTTGGTGTTATTGGCGCTTTGGGGACGGTGGGCAAGCTCGGATAGGGACGGCTTTAGAGATATCATACCTAGGCCAATTTGAGACACCGAGCGTGGTGTATTTCTTTTACCCAAGCCTCTGCCGAGCATGGTAGTGATAGGGGCGATACCTATGTAGGTAAGGATAGATTTTCGTATCGAACAATGTCGCTTCAGCCTCTGATATTCATTACCCTTTAGGGGCTCTTGGCTCATGGCGCTATAATAGCTATAATCTAGGTAGCTATAACAAGAACTACTGTGCCTAGGTAAACATGGCTTAAAGATAAGTCCCGCCTAGTTGTCAGGTTGTTCGGGCCTATCTAATGTAGGTAGGTAGGGATCATATCTCTCCAGGTTATCTTTACGATAACAAATAAAATCATGAACCACCTTCTCCGCAACTCACTAATCCTCAAGAGGCAACGGTCGACCCAGATCCTGCGGTTTAGGAAGGCCAACCAGATGCAAAAGTTCCACTAAACCCCATCAAGGCGGAGAGGAATGAAAACGCTGTACCGGTATCTCTTATATGTACGTAATACCACCTTTTAATAGGAATCCGGGCCTCGTGATAATAAATCTAGAAGCTTTCGATATTTTTTCTCTTACATATACATATCATGTGCTGAACGCGTCTTACTTGCATTGCGCATTGCACGTTGCATCTCACATTCCTTACCGTCTGTGGCAATCGCTTATCGCTTATACCTTTGTCTGCGTCTATGCGAGGAAGATCCGTGCAAGTGTTTTTTTTTAAGTATCTTCCTTGGGTCCTATCGCATGAAATCACAGCTTTGAATCTGTCTCGCGAGAGTGGAAGATGGGCCGCCAAAGTGAAGAAGTGGCATATGCCACGGGCGACTCTAGTCGCGTTGAGTCTGAGCCGAAAGGTGATGTGATTGACCGCACCACGTCGAATCAGATCGGGGAGATGAACCTCGAGAGCGGTCATCAGCTTAAGAGAGGGCTTAAAAGTCGACATATTCAATTCCTTGCTCTCGGAGGCGCGTAAGTTACCTAACCTGTCCCTTGCATTCACATGTCTTATTGGTGTAGTTGCTAAATAGTTCTAGAATCGGAACCGGTCTATTCGTCGGCTCCGGCCAGATCCTAGCCACCACGGGGCCGGCGCCGCTGTTCATGGCGTACCTATCTATGATGTGTGTAGTCTGGGTCATCATGAACAACCTCGCGGAAATGGTAACGTACCTGCCCATGAAAGGCATCTCGATCCCGTACTTTGTCGGCCGCTTCGTCGAACCCAGTCTCGCCTTCGCCAGCGGCTGGAATTACTGGTACGCCTACACCATGCTGCTCGCCGCCGAGTGCACGGCCGGCGCTATAATCCTGCAGTACTGGACCACCGCCGTCCCCGTAGCCGTCTGGATCGCCCTCCAGCTCATCGTCATCTTACTACTGAACATCGTCGCCGTTTCGTTTTTCGGCGAGGCGGAGTTCTGGTTCGCGAGTGTAAAGCTTATTACTATAACTGGTCTGATCATCCTGGGTATCGTCCTGTTCTTCGGCGGCGGACCAACACACGATCATCTGTACTTTAGGTACTGGCAGGAACCAGGAGCTTTCCACCCGTATCTGGTGGAGGGGAACACTGGTCGGTTCTTAGCTTATTGGACGGCCTTTGCGCGCGCTGGATTCTCCTTCGTCACGTCGCCTGAGCTTATCGCGCTCTCGGCGGGTGAGACCGTCGCACCGCGGCGCAACATCCCTAAGGCGGCGCGCCGCTTCGTGTGGCGATTGGCTGTATTTTACGGCCTGGGCTCTCTTGTTATTGGTATCATCGTCCCTTACGATGAAAAGAACCTGACGGGCGAGTCGAATGCGACGGCTAGCCCCTTCGTCCTCGGCATCTCGCGCGCAGGGATTAGGGGGCTTAACCACGTTATCAACGCTGCGGTTCTTACTTCGGCTTGGTCTGCCGGTAACGCGTTCTGCTACTCGGGATCACGTGTGCTCTACTCCATGGCGATCAACGGCCAAGCGCCGCGGTGGTTCGGGCATACCACGCGCCGGGGTGTGCCGTATGTGGCGGTACTTTTCACCCTGCTGGTGGCGTGTCTAGGCTTTCTCAACGTGTCCAACTCAGGTGCGCAGGTATTCCAGTGGTTCACCAACATCTCGACCATCTCCGGCTTCATCGCGTGGATCGTAGTCATGATCACATACATACGATTCCGGAAGGCCATGGAACACCACGGGTTGCTCGACGCGTTGCCGTACCGGACGCCGCTGCAGCCGTACGCTACATACGTCGTGCTGTTCATCATCGTGATCCTGACCCTGACCAACGGGTTCCAGGTCTTTTTCCCGTCGCAGTGGAGCGTGTCCAACTTCCTCGCCGCGTACATCACCATCCCGATCTTCCTGGTATTGTACCTCGCGCACAAGATCATCTACCGCACGCCCTTAGCGACTAAGGTCGAGGACGTGGATGCCTGGACGGGCAAGAAGGAGATGGATGATCTGAGCGCGGCAGAGGAGGAACGGGTACCGCGGAATTGGTATGAGAAGGTGTGGTTTTGGCTTGCTTGATTTGCTTTTACCCGTTGGTGATACGGGGTTGGGTTGAGCTAGGTGTATTTATGTATGATACCTTGAAGAAATGAGAATATTGAATAGATACCCTTGCAAGATAGATTTAGAAAAATCTAGGTCGAAACATCGAATTGCGCAATACCGATAGCAAATTGTGTATTGCATTAAATATGTCTTATTGGTGACGAAACTATCGCTCCACAGTTTCATCGTTCATAAAACGTATCATAATAATTAACAATTGTACATTTTTATTAAGATATCGTATGTACTAAATATGCCAAGCATCATTTTCATCATTTTGAACTCATCCAATCATACAAGAATAAAGACTAGTCGAGCCGTTTCCTACATTATAAGTAGGCTCATAGCCACGAGCCCTACTGTAAGACATAAGCGAGTCTTCGGCTGAGCCCAAGATCCAGCACCCGAAGGCGACGAGGTGGGCTCTGCAGCCGAGTCCGAGCCTGTAGCCGAAGTAGTCGGAGCAACATATGTTGCCGGCACCGTCACCTCAGCCACGCTAACACCGCTTGCCTTCGTGTTAGCCAGAAAGCATATGGGCATTCCCGACGCGCCGTACGTCGGGCTCGCCCAGCCCCAGAGATCATTCGTCACGGTGGCCGACGGATCAACGCTGCTCGACGGAGGAGTGCTATCCGCATACGTGACGGGATACTGCGTAGCTCGAGTGACATTCGTCGCGGCTAAGCTGGCCAGCGGCGTGCCAGTGGTGCCCGGGGCGCAAGCAGTCCTAGGGCTAGGCGTAAAATCTATAGCAGCGGTCTGAACGCCGGTGACGCCGCAGCAGACCAGGTCCTCTAAGTTAACGGGGCGGGGCGGCCCGTCGTGTGGGTTGGAGTAGGGGACGATGGGCGAGGAGTTGCTGTATATGTCGAAGGAGGTGTCGACGATGACGCCGTTGCAGCATATACCCTGGAAGTCGGTGGGAGAGATGGAAGTGCCTTTTTCATAGGGTCGAGGGCATCTGAGACCGAATAGGGCTGCACGGGAGTTTCTGGGGTATAGGCACCATTGTGAGATAGCGCCAGTAGGAATCGATGTTGTGACGGATGATGGTGATGACATTGTTGATGATGTTACTGTTAGCCGTCTATTATGAGTAGAAGTTTCTTGTATTATTTCCCCGCGTTTAGTTTAGTATGTCACAGCTTGCACGAATGGATAGATGAGAGAGCGTAACTTGTAAGTGAGCATAATGGTGTGGTAGCTTGGCTCGAATGGTGAAGTTGTATTAGGCAGTCAATAGATACCCTTGCCATTGTCGCCGAGCTTCTTACCTGCCTGCTGTAGTAACGTAACTTATACAAGTTACATGGGTACCTACGAGATTGAAGAAATCGACTGTCCTTCAATTTGACATATGGATGAAGCATCACGACTCTATCTAATCAAGATATTAAGTACATAAATTGATGTTTTCGAGGAGATACGTACCTGCTACCAAACGCACTGTGCAAGTACGAAAATAAAGTACACTCTACATACAGTCAGTGCCTGCGCATTGTCGTACGTCGTAACTTTGGCAGTTGCTTATGGTGGTCTGTGTTACCCGTCGTTCAGGCACTACCTAATTTCCCGCCCCACTCCCCAACCTCTCCCAAAAAAGATATAAATATCTGTCTTCCCTCCCACCATCTTAGAAATTCTTCTTCCCTTTTTCTTCTTCATACTTACCTTGGGAGAAAAGCCCTAGCTCAAGAATCAGGGCTTTTAAGGGGGGAGACCTGCATTGCACAGCGCGGAGTCGACCCTCTTCTATTATCCTTCGTGGATCGTAGTTCCCGGAATTTTTGTTGTCTTTCAAACCTTTTTGATTTTCATTGTGCGCGATGCCTTGATGCATCGTCATGAGGAAGATCTTGTAAAAAGCATCTAGTAAATAGATGCAGACGTATGTCGATTAGAATGCAATATTAATTATTGCTTAGCGTTGCCTATGTCCAATCAATCGAAACCTTGTGTTTAATTCCATCACTGCGTTCTCAAATCTGATGATCCAAGTTCACGATAGATGAGTCGGTGGATTGATGCGCCAGTGTTCTCATCCGGACAGGTGTTGGCGTTGTGTCTTAACTATCTTCTGGAAGTGGTATTCCCAACACCATACATCGCCCTCGATTATCCATCTCAAATAACTCATCAAGTCTTCCTCGCCTTCATCGCGATCTCAATCTATGTCCACCGCGAAACTTTGCACCCACATTCAATCAAGAAAACACAACCCGTAGACACTATTCAACAAGTCACAACCAAACCATTCAAAATTCACTAAAGCCAAGTCAAGTTCAAGAGAATCAAGTTCAATTGATCAATCATATTCAAATGCGTGCATCACTATCAATAGACTAAGTCCCAAGTGCAAAGATGCCATTCTTCTAAGTAATACAAAATCCTATGCGCAGCTAGGATCTTCTAACTCTGCGACTTTAGCACGTCGCTTCACTAAATCACGACAGCGTGCTCCATTCCGCAGAAATTCCAGGTCTTCATCTGTTATCATCATCTCTTCATTACTGACCCTCATATATGTAATTCGTCGATATTTTTCCCCTCCTCCTAACCTCGTGTCTGTTTCCGAATCGTTTCGTAAAGACACCATCGACGGCACCATTCGTAGGCAAAAAAGTAAACCGAGCCGGCGAACTCGGTAACTCGAGGTGAAAAGGGAAAAAAAAAAAAAAATCATTATTTCACCGAGGATCCCCTTTCTTGCCAACTCCAGTCCCAGATGCTGACCATTCAACAATAAATATCGTCGTGTACTTTAGCGGACGAAATCCCCCTCCCATATACACATAGACACGCCGCCGTAGTGCCTTTTCCGAAAATATACTTCCGTGCCCGTTTATCCTCCCTCATTCCCGTTTTAGTCCGCTAATGCCGACAGCACCCTGATACTTAGAATCATGACCAGCAGACCGATCGTGACGATGATGAGCAGCGTGAAACTGAACCAACCCATAACCATAGCACTGCTGCCGATTCCGGATAAGACGCTGCCGTTGCCAAAATCTTGTGCTATGACAGACGCGGCTACCGATGCCGTATGTTGCCATAGCACGGATACGAGGACGAAAATAGATGCGATGAAGATGATGGCTAATGCGACCTGGGAGACGGGTCGGCTAGGAAACGGCTTGATCTCGCGGTCCGAACCATCCTCGTCTTCCTCCTCGTGCCAGCCGGGGAAGGTAGCCAGCAGCAAGAAACAGACAAAAGCGAAGATAATGGCGATGATGATCAAGTAGGGGAACACGATCATGTCCTTGAACTGGCTAGCTAGCCAAATGAGGTTCAGCGGGTCCTGGTCGACCGAAACCTCGTTAGCCAGCGCCGTCGCGTTGTTGCTGCATAACCAGGCACCTCCGTCCGGGTTGATGCAAATACCGAAGTAGCCGACTCGGGCCTGCAGATGCGCAGTCCCGACGATGTTGCTGATGGCTTGATTGACATTGTAATCGACCTGTGCTGTGTCCGGCACGGCCGTGTACTTCTCGTAGTAGAGGGAGAGTAGGAAGATGTCGGGTATGAGCGGCGAGGATGACGAGCAACCTGCTAATAGGAGTGCTGTCGGTGAAGGAATGTTAGTACAACGGTCTGAATGAGAGGAAAAGCTGGAATGTGAAATGTGATCAACGTACACAGTAATATTATTGAAACTGCTATTAGTATCATCAAAACATGATGGTATCCGAGGAACGGTATAAACCCTGAAGTGCTTGTTAGTACTCGTCGACCATAACAGTTCCTCGACAGGCTGGTTAGGTGTACTTACGATACCAACCGATTTGAAATCTAGCCATCGTTTCTCTTTATTTCCCAAAGTTCCCGAGGTGTATTGCCCTCTCTCCACTCCCGTCCTCCCGGGGAGCGACGGTGTGGTCTGACGAACTCGAGCAGCACCAAGGCTGGAATGCGACGATATTCGGGCGGCGTGGAGGGGATGCTCGAGACGGAATGCGAAAGCACTATTAATCTCGAAAATCCCACGGCCGTCGTTTGGAATGCGGTCACCGTGCTTAGACTTGGGTAGTCGGCACGTATATAAAAAAGCGGACGTCGTCGAAACAACTTCTACTCGTCGATACTAGAATATCGCCTATGCTTTTTCTGTGCTTGTCAGATTAACACTTGGAACACACGCACGGAGGGTATGGTGCAGTTGCTGGGTGGACGAGGTAGGGTGGATTAAGGTGAGGAGTAAAATGGTATGGTAAAAGGTAGTGGTATGATATGATTAGGTATTGTTAGGTATTGTAACTTAGAAGTTCAATCGATTTCTTCTGGACAACAGCCCTTTGCCCTTTAGAAAAGCCCAGATGGGGAAGAAGAGTAGAATTGTCTATGGAGACTGGTAATGGTTAGCAGGTTCTAAGTCTTCTTTCCCTCCTTTTGCCCTTCGACACTACAATTGTGAGAGAAAAGAGGAGGTTGGTAGTAAAGATCGAATGTATGATTCAAAGATGTAGAATGCATGAGTTGCAGTAGAATCTGCAATTGGCCCTGCCACCAGGATTTCCGTGATGATATCGGGCCAAGGCCTGGCCCGAGTAAATAAAAGATGTGGCTGGGGGTTGCCAGAGCGATGCGCCCATTGAAAGCCTCAAGCGTAAGTGGGGCCAAGCTAGCCGCCAAGCTTTTTTACGACCTAAATAGGTACTTTGTTTTTGCGAGTGGTTGGCTAGGCTGCCGAGGTACCCTGATAGCCAATTGTTCCTGCGTTAGCGAGGCCAAGTCCAGCCAACCAACGTAGACGCTATGCAACAACAAATGACGTGGACTTGTCCACCTCATCGTACCTGCGTACTAATGGCTTTTGCCGAGATTCCGACCGACAATTGGTCTTAATATCTCCGCTCAGACGCAAAACGTACCCCGCAAAATTCGCATTTACGATCCCCCATTGTCGTCCTCACTGAATCTATTTTACCATGAGCTAGGAACCATTATCGATTAGTGCAAGTATGTTTTGCTTTCGAAAACCTAGCGAACATTAAACCTCTTTCATTTTTACCTCTAAGCAAATTAGTCGTATAATCCAATTTTATTCGAAGTTTAGCTCAACTCCATAAATCAGTTTATATATCAACATCTAACTAGGTACATATGAACACGTTGATAATATTATGATCCACACTTGTTTACTCCCCTGCTGAGGTTTCCCGGTTTTGACTCGTGTCTAACGCAAATCACCATGACTTCAGGATCATCGCTGTTAAATCATCCGAAACACATCAAAATACGACTGTTATGGTTACGCTCGATGTTCTACTTGCTGCCAATCCCTACTCTTTAGTGCACAATGCATATTCCGTACTGGGTCTTCATCGGGTCCCTTTACATTTCTACACCTGTGTTTTCGGTATTCACATCAACGAGGCAGCACGTTTATACATGCTAAAGACTAGCAAACGCGACGACGTATACTCATTAACCACCTAGGTACTTTACAGACTAGACGTACCCAATAGTATTAAGCCCATGCATTGAACCATCTGATAGCCTGGAAGAAAGCCTCTTCTTTTCCGAATTTCTGCTTCGGGTCCGAAATATTAGCTCGGACACCAAATCCATGTGAAGTGCCGCCATATAATGCAAGGGAGTAAGGTAGCCCAGTCTCAAGAAGCAAAGCCTCGATTTGTGACCGCCTCGCGGCTGGTGTCATATCATCCGCATCTAAAGGTCAAGTTAGCTTGTAAAGAGATACCTATGTAAAGGCAAACGAAAGTCACCAACCTGCCGCTGCGATGCTAGCTGGGCCTCGTATTGCGGAAATCTCCGCATCCTCTAGTAAACTTGGATGGGCAGCGAAACCCACGTCGGCACCTTTCCCCTCCGCCAAGAAACGGAACGTGTAACGGCCGCCAAAGCAGTATCCGGTAACAACGACTTTCTTTACGCCGAGCGTGGTGCGCAAGAAGTCAATGGCCGTCGCTATAATCGGGTCGCTGACTTCAGGCCGATGGTCGTCGAGGAACTTGGTCACGTTGAAATCCGGTCGCCCGTTGATATCCCCCGGAGCCGGTGTGCCGTTGAACAAATCCGGCGCGACCGTAAGATAGCCCGCTCGTCCGAAGCTATCCGCAAGTCTTGAATGATGTTAATTAAAACCATTAAACGGAGCATCATAGCGACGAACAGTCTATTCTCCAGCAATTGGATACCGAACACATCCGTCAAATATAACACGCCTACATCAGACGTGTTACCCGTGACATACATGTTGACTATATCAGAGTCAGCCAATTATTATCATCAACATTTTCTTAGACCAAGACACATACTCCCTTCATAAACTTGCTCCTTTCCGACCGGGTCGCCGCTATGGGCAATTATAGAGACGCCTGTAGCAGGACAATCTTCCGGCGCCGTCGCGCCAGCCAAAGCGCTAATGCTCAAGAGCGCAAGTAAAGACGTAAACCTCAGCATCTTTAACGATATGTGTAGATTGGCAATGGGATAAGGTGCAAGGAATTAACGAGTGACCAGGTAAGTTTTCAATCTTTGGTGTCTTGGGGCCCGATTATAAATCTATAATATTCATGAGCCATTCGCCAAGCAACAAAGTTCACCGGATTCCTTTTCAGGCAAACCAAGCGTGTGGAGAACGCTCTCGGATGCTCTTTTGGGGGTTGACATTGCGACGGTAGATCGCGAATGAACTGCCGGCTAATTGTTAACTCCAAGATGTTCATGACGCGTTGGCGTTCTTTTGGCTATGATGTTTTGACGCTTCTATGCTACGTCAATTTCCAAGTTTACGTATATAGCTCCCCAAAGACCGGTGTAAGATACTCGTATATGCAAGTCCCTTCCGTACAGCTTAACACGCGTAATATGATATCCAGACTAGGTAGCAGAGGTTTACATATGAAAAAAGCCTCTCTCATTTCCATCAAGCTTAAGAATAAGCGTGATGAGTATCCATTGATATGAGTCTCAATACATATGCTGACTTTCTCATAATAAAACTATATTTAGCTTCAAACTGGGCTTGAGAGACGTTAGGTCTCACCACCAAAGTCTCCAAGTCGAACTGTGTGTCCTTGTAATGCACTATACTGATAGTTAACATACCTCATGTTATTATAATCGCGATCAATTGCATATTCCTGGGCTTCTTATATTTTCCCTATAACTAATGAAATTATACAGTACAACTTCAACCTTCTCGGGTACTTATGAACACAGCTTGATCTATCGAAGTGTTCGAAGTGGATTGAGCGCTCACGAAGAGAAAACACGTGGGAGAGCTTCAACAAAGAGATCACATCCGATATGTTAGATTCTAGGTATGTTTAGCGGGAGGAGCCGAGTGGTTTGTCAGAGATTAACGCCGCGCCCTCACCCTGCAGATATCTCAAGTTAGCAACATGTCAATTTAATCGATACCAGGTGAGATATAGTAAGACAAGTCAATCATGTCTTTAACATGCTGTAGTTCACACGTTAACCCCCCACGAGATATACTGATAGAATATTATGATTAATTATCAAGATTCTTAAAACGGTTCTTCACAAGATCCTACTTGATCGTGCTTGTGGCCGTAGTCACACATCGCATAATGTCTACAATCATGCCCACGTCAGCCTCTTGCGTAGATTTCTTATTTCGGCCATCTAGGTACTTCATAGAAGTTGCGAGAGACGTTATTTTTAGACGTGGTGAAATGAACAAAAATATGTCGTCCTAGGCCCGTGTAGATGCTCAATTCGGAAGTTCATTTTCCCTCAGTTCAGCTCCTGAATCCTCCTTTCAACCCTGACAATTTCATATTTACACAATACCCTCAACATAACTGATATGTCATGTTACCAATAAAGACAGCCTAATAAATTTAGTTTCAACCTATGAATACCTACCTATTTAGCTCGCAAAAGCTTACCTGGACAATTTAGCTACCGCCAACAACCCTTAAACTTGACCAGAAAAGGTGAAAATGCGTTTAAGGATGAGTGTTTCAGCATTTGGCTCCAGATGTGCTATATTCGGAATAATCATATGGAAGATCTGAAAACTATATATCTGGTGGCCCTACACGGCAGAATAAGGAAGAGATGTGATCTGCAGCGATTACCTCAGATCTCTCACTCACAATGAAAGCTTCCACTTCATACCTCCTCGCTGCGCTGGTCGCAGGCGTGAGCGCAAAGGACCAAGGAACTTATGCGGTACTGCGGTTTAATAATGCCGGTGGCCAATTCTCTACGGAGGGCCGAATGGACCCCATCGTCAGCCCCGGCTCGGATAAGACGCACTCACACGGAGTAATGGGTGGAAGCAACTTCGATGTGACCGTAAGCGGTGACCAGCTACTGGATGCTAATTGCACCAACGCTAAGATCCTCAACGACAAATCGAATTACTGGGTTCCTAACTTATGGTTTCAATCTCCGGCCAACGGTACTTTCAAGAAGGTGCCCTTGTTCTATATGAACGTCTACTACTTGTAAGCCCTCAACTCCGAGTCGCTGTAAGCCAGGTTCTAATAATTCATCAGCTTCGATGCCACGAACGACGAGATCAAAGCTTTCCCTCCGGGCATCAAGATTATGAGCGGCGATGTTGACAAGAGAACACCTCCGGCAACAGGGGGTCTCCAGCTCAACCCCACCCAAGGCGAGATTCAAGCAGTTCAATGGACATGTCCCACGCAAGATGCCAGCATTGCGCGGTACCCGGCCGGTTCGGATGGCACTAAAGCGGGACTTCCGGACCCAGTGAATGCTGGTGCCGGAGCTGGTTTCCCTGTGGTGAACTGCGATGGCTACGCTTCCCCTCTCAGACAGGATATTCACATGCCCTCTTGCTACAACCCGGAAGCTGGGTTGGACGACTACAAGAATAACATGGCGTGGCCGACGCCTACCAACGACGGCAAGGCGGACTGTCCCGAGGGCTGGGTGCATGTCCCCCATTTATTCTATGAGGTTTACTACGACACCCTGCAGTTCCAGAACGAGTGGACTGCGGATGGCCAGACCCAGCCGTTTGTGCTGTCAAACGGCGACAAGACCGGATACAGCTCCCACGCGGACTTCATCTCCGGGTGGGATCAGGATACTCTTCAAAGGATCATCGACACGTGTAATGCTGGCTTCGTCGGCATGGATACGTGCCCTGACATACCAGGAGGCTTGAACACTGAGATTTGCCAGATTCCTGCTGTTAACCCCGACCCAACTGAGGCGTGGATCCCGCAGCTCCCGGGAGACAACCCGGTGTCGGGCTGGTGAGCATAACTGCTTAATCACATTCCCTTTTGTTCGATTTACGACTGTATATATTGCCTACGGCCGGCCGTCTGTATGAGTATCCCTCCATTCGTGTACATATATATATTATTGGCCCAGAGGGGGAGCATTAGGTTGTTCGACGCAACCTTGCTACATGTATCACCATTGTTTTCTAGCCAGGAGTATGGAAAGACTGTATAAACTTATACAAGGGTTGGATATGAAAAGGATAGACTATCAATTTACTTGAGTTAAATAACCTGCTGATTTGCAATCCTTTTCTCGCCTCGTCGTTAACCAATATTCTGTTACCTTCGTAATTGCGATGCTTAAACCTGAGCACCCAAACCCGTAGCAAGACGAAGGGGAAACTCGAGTCACAATTTTTATCTGATATTAATTCTTAAAGCCTTATTCTATTGGTTGGACAACTCGTTCCATTGTCGGTTTTTAGATCCTGCAGTATTCTTAGTTCATTCACCTTTGTCAAAACAACGACTTTGTATAATAAGCAACCACAAAGAAAATCTCATTTTTTAAATCTTCATATTTAAACTAAGCCCTCTATTCAGAAGCTTCCTCGCCGGTTTTTAAGTCATACGCCCACAAGGGAATCATCTTAATTAAGGTACCACATCGTCCAAGCTACTTACTTTGGTACCTCAGCATCATCATCCAGAATGGAAAGCAACCTCACTCAAGATGCCTCTTTCAAAAGAAAGGCCGACGAGATTTCCTTAGAAAGAAATGAGGAAATCATGAATACGGCCAGTCACTCGGAAGGTCCACCACCTAAGAAGACTAAAACAGATGATGATTTCGAGCCCTGGAACGAGGGTATGGACATGCCGTTAGGTAAACTGAGACCTAGATTCGTAGGTGAGACCGAAGATCGAAGATCTGGCAGTGGCACAGTCGAGGATCCTGAACTGGTTTGGTTAGGGGCGATTCCCGACGATGCCATAGCTAGAGAAGCCAATGAGGATATTGTATGGAAGGCTGCTCGAAGGCTCGAGACAGTAACACACGTCTATATTAGATGCGCTATGCAGTCTACGATGTACGTCGATAGAGATGGGAAGAGAATTCATATTTGGAATCCCGATCGTATAGATTTCCGTTATAAAACTAGGCGCACAGATCCCCATATCGCTGTAGCTTTCGGTACTACCCCAGATAATCTAGTTCTATATGGCTTCATTCACGTTGCTACTGACGAAAATGGGAAGCCGGTTGACTTTGCGACGTACCGAGATGACCAGCACGTACTCGATGGGGATAACAGGGTCTTCGGACTATTCAAATATAATGCAGACCAACGTGACTGCGGACCCTATTGTCCCAGTCATGCAAGGCACGAGGTTTCAATTGACTCTTGCGAACTTGCAATGCCCGTGGGATGTCCTCTTCACAATACCGAAGGGCTCCTTGACCACTTCTGTTTTCGAGCACGCTGGAAGACCGAGGGTTATAGTGACCATTATTGCCCTTGCCCCCATGACACTAGTGAATCAATGGATCATTATTGTCCTTGCCCTCACGATCAGGTAAGGTTGATGATTGACCCCCCTCGTTGTCGCCATATGATGTCAAAAAGGGAACGGCCCACCCATTATTGTTCTTCGTATGTCTTCTAACATTAAGGGGCTATGTTTGGTGGGGTTTCGGTTTACTGCTTGTACTTAAGAGGTAATTAAAGCTAAAAATAGTAGATGTTAGAAAAACAATACACCTACCTTATAGAAGAGTAATTGATCATTGTTGTGATTTACTGTGTACATGTTTAATGAAACCTATAATAGAAGGGGATTAGTAGATCTCAGCCGTAGAAAGCGAAAATATAGTAAAGCGATAGGAGCGCTTAGGAGCCTCGGGGTATCCTGGAAAATTAGGATATATAATACCGAGTCGGAGTCAGAAGATACGATGGCATGCGAAGGCGCTTCAGTAGTATTTTGATCTTTATATTCATCATAGTTTAACCGTCCTCTTCATCGGGCTCTCTATTCCTGACAGACCACACTTGCTTTACTACAATACCGTTAGGTGCCATGGACAATGACTGGGAATTAATGCTATCACGATTCCCCGTACTTATGATCGTTTTTATCCCAGTCTCGAGGTTTAGCTTAAGGTTAGGCATTGACGATTCTGATTTGGTACTTCGGATCGATCTTCCGTCATCTTGCCCATCTGTTTTCCGTGATCGTTCGGGGTCTATGTGATTGAGCTCCGTCTCGCTACCGTCGAAAGGCCTCCTAGAACCGTTCGTCCTTGACAAGCTCTTGCCCCGATTCGAGATGTGGCGTGAAAAGGGGTTCATGGGACCGAAATACTTCTGCGAATATTTTGGTGGTGTATTTGTTGTCTTTTTAACAAGTGTAAAGTGACGGGAAAATCGGCGGATCAGTGGGCCTAAGGCGATGAGGGCCGAACAGATGAGTCCAGAGGCAGACTCGGCCTCTCCCCACGCCGCAACTGGCACGAGATCGTATGAGAGATCATCGGTTAACTTGGCGAAGAATACCATGCGGCATATCGATACGATACATGTGCTTTTGCTAGTTAGGAGAGCTGATAATGATGCGGCCGGGATAGATCTGAAATACTCACAAGAACCCCAGAGCGAAAATGCCCAGAACTGCCCATTTCCTCCCCTTCTTCAAGTTCAAAGCGATCACAACTGGGATAGGGAGTGCGAGGATGATTAAATCGGTTACGATATTGCCGACAGCGTTCATCCACCCGAGAAGATTACCATCCAAACACTTGCGATCGGGGCGGAATGTCCAATAATCTTCTATGGGCGAACACGGAAAAATAAGAGCGAACTCTTGTGCAATAAGCCAACCTCCAACCACAGCCATCGTGGCCAGATAGAATATACGGTAATGAGGTACCTCCTGGATTAACCGGTAATACTGGAGGAATAAACTGAATTTCACAAGCATCAAGGTTGTGTTGTAAGTAATTGTCATAACGTAGAATAACTGTAGCGGATAAATTAGAACTTCACCAGTCGGGCTACGGCTGGAGCGTCGGTATTCTTACTTTAAAGAATTGAACTAGTTTTTTTTCGTCCTGTATGTCGTAGATATGCTCGCCGAGTCCGTATCCTGTGTGTACGCATTGTACTATGCCGTTGGAGAGCATTCCGATCTAGTAGAACGAGTTAGGTATTGTTCATTACTTCGGCGCCGCATATTGATATCAATTCGCAGGCGTAATAAATGGCTTACCATTCCGGCCAGTGCCATATAATCATCGTACCAAACTCCCCTCAGGATGAAGTGCCTCGTGTATAATCGTAAACACACAGCCACCGTCGCGAAGAACATACACAAAACTACAGCCGTTATCGTATCGCCCATGCGGTTGTCGTGCGGGAGACGGCTGAACTCCTCCGCGTCCATGCCATCGTAGTAGCTCATCTCGTCGCCGAGTGCTCCTCGGGCTCGTCCGGAGCCCTGCCAGAACGTTCGGTAGATTTAGGCGAATGCGATTTCCATGACAGGATGCCGACCTTTAAAGCATCATGTTCGACATCCGCTAGCGCAACCCGCGAGAAAGGTAAGTAAGAAGAGAAAACGATAGAAGTCGTTCATCTAACTATGTAGTATCCAAGTTTTCTTTCGAAGTCGGAGTGGTCATTCATCATCTAATAAGTTCGCCTTGCTTTACTATCAGTATCTCCCCACAGGTTAGCCCTTGTTAATTAATCCCCGAAGCTAGAAACTAGTGATTTGCGCCGCTAGGGCTGCGATTGGAGGGGATATAACAATGGAATGATAGAGCTTAGAGCCCGAAGTTCGAAATAGGGAATCCATGTAGCCGGAAACCGATAGGTTGGTTGTCGCTAGGAGATGCTACACAACAGACGGTTAAACTCAAGGCTTGGCAGGCAGTTAACCCTGGCAGTTCTGCAATTTTGGTTCGACAGGAGCACGAGCCTTACCTCTTACAGGACTATGCCGGCCGATCTTGAGCTATGATGGTTGAAGCTATCCGCATCACAGTTTAGCTGCATTGATAGTAGTTTCGAACCTTGATCCTAGAGTCTGTTCTCAAGTCGCTTAGATAAACTTGCTAATATTTATGGGCTGTTTTACAGCTCTACGGTGCTTTCGATGAAGGTCCAAGTACAAATAATCTTAGAATAATCTACCCCCAATTTTTTATTCGATGGGCCCCTTTGGCAAGCGAGATCTTAGGCATGTAGATGTTTCCTACGCATCTATGTATTGATTCCGTCGCTACCAAATCAAGATTATAAGTATATTCTCAGCAATGTAACACCCCAGAAATGTAACACCCATCGGGGGTGTATTCGAAATGAGCGTTTGCATAGGTATTGCGAAACAGAAGTTGTCACGCGAGAAGTAACGTGCTTCGCATGGGTTATAAGTCCTTGACAAAGATACCAGGGAACGATTCTTGATTCTAGTGTAGAACGGGGGAAGTGGAGGGTGTGACAGTAAGGGGCAGAGGGGTCAAGGGCTCTGAGGAACCGTTTCCTTGGACCGACTAGACAAGGGGTTTGATGTCAAGCTTGTGGCTCTCAGATTGATTCTCCACAGACTAGGATATCGCTTGCGTATCTAGGTATGCATGTAGTTAAGGAGTATAATGAGCTCAATAACCTGGTTTAAGTTCGATATGATTGAGGAGAATGTATGGTTCCGGGGGACGCGCTTTGATCTTCTCAGCATAGATACAATAGACCAGGGTTTCATCAGCTCGTCTCGGCAACCCCATTCAAGCATGTTCCGTACGAATACCAGGTGATCATTATAAACTATGTAGTAACGTAACAAACAAGCTCATTTCAAACCCAGCCCTACGGTATTAAGAATGATATGCAGTATTATGCACTATATAATTGGCAATTAATTAGCCTTGACAGGAGCTAGCTTTTCTGTCACTTAGCTCATCCTTCGATTTGTTAGTGTGGATAGAAAAATAAAACGTCCCCAACAAATCTAGAAAAGCGTAGAATTACCAGCACAAATGCCAACCCCGTTGCATTTCTTCGATATCACCGATATCAAATCCGCAATGGGCTATTTTTCTCCGGTGGATCAAGATAAATAGATGTGCTTTGCCCTCGAGCGGTGTTCTATGACTCAAGAGCACTAAACCCTGTCTCGGCAGTTAAGAGAACTATCTCGGTAGCTAAGAGGTTTTAGACCTTTAGTACGAAAGGTTCCAGGATGGCATCTCGACAATTTATCCAAAGAAAACGCTTTTATCTTTAGGTATATTCTCGTTTATGTGGATTTCTAATTCCTAGCGGGGAGGAAATGACCCGGTGCGGATATGAAAAATAGAAAATCGGCCATCCCGAAGTATTTAAACCTAAGTTTCTTCTTACGTCCTAAATAGCCCCTTTAACTCCCATGAAATCTATCGACTAGCGTTAAATATGCTTGAAATTCTATATGCGATTGGATGGAAAAGAATCAAGATAGGATGTGCTAACTCCATTCCTCTGTTTGTATCAGTGTCACGTCATTCACTACCCAACAGTTCTTTCTTTAATGCCTACCATTATGTCATTATTTTGAGAGGGCAGACTCGATCGTCATGATTTCGTGAGTAGTAATTCTACGTGTCATCACTAACAATTCCATGTACGGATTACACACAACGCGATATTCCAAAGGAATCTTCACCCATTGCCTAGGTCCACCTTACATCCGTCAGCTGGCTTCAGAGATATCGTTGCCATCTGTCTTTCCTTGCCCGACACTTGTATCCGCTCACCGGCCGGGAGTCTGATGGAAGGGAAGCGCTGCAGGATGCGCACTATAGTATACGCGCCCCCGGTTAAGGAGAAATCCACTAGCAGATCAAGTCAGCATGCAAGGTTTCAAAATCCCTAGCACATAGACTACTAGCATACTCCCTAGACAAGTCCTAGGACCACCGCCGAAAGGTAGGAACGTCCATCCGCGATGTATCGTATCGCGAGAACGGAGGGGTTCCTCTTCCCATCTTTCAGGGCGGAACAGTTCGGCGTCCATTCCGTAGAGATCGGGTCGTCTATGGATACAGTAGGCGCTATATAGTACACTCATCCCTTTTGGGACGAGGATAGGCGACTTTCCGTCAGATCCTCCCCCAGCTGGGAGTATCGTGTCCCGGAGTGCAGTGCGAGATATCAGGGGTAGTGGAGGGTGTAATCTTAATACTTCGAATAATCATATTAGATAAATTGAACATGCAGACTTCCTTGACACCCCAACTTACCTTCTTTTATGATGTTTTGAAGGTAAGTGAATCGAAGCAGATCTGCTCGTGTTAAGGGGGTAACAGTCTCGTCCACTTGAGAAATCTCTAATTGGAGTTTCGCCATAATCGATGGATGCCTCACAAGATGAAAGCTAGCTTAATGTGAGAATCCGACATATCAAGACTTGCTAAGATAGACGTGACTTACAAGGTCCACGATAGGAAAGTAGCCGTAGTATCCCTTCCTGCTGTAAGAATACTGATAGTATGGCCTCTTAGCGTGTCTCGCGCTGGGCAATACTGAGCGATATTCCTTAGGAAAGGAGGTCTTCCTGAATACTCTTTGTCGGCGCTAGTTATGATAGCCTTGTGTATCACGCGGTCTACGAACCGATGAATGACGTTGCATGCCTTTTGAAGTTCTTTGCCGCCAACAATCCAATGCAGCTTCTGGAGCCGAAGTCTCTTAGCTGAGATGGCCTGGGCCATATTGAATGCCTCTTCAAATTCTTGACTTCCCACGCTGGAGTCTAAGCGCTGGCTTCTTACAGACTCTCCGAAGAGGAATTCGGTAGTTACGTCGAGCGCCAGGCGGAAGAATAGGGGCTCCAAGTCGATGATATCTGTCGTCGTGCTGGTAATTACTTGTAATAAGTTATCTATGTGCGGTCTGAGGATATCTAGACTTTCATAGTTCCGGTGATAAAAATGTGGGCGTAAAATATCCCGCGAACGTTTCCATGCATCGCCTTCCTGAACAAAGATACCATCTCCAAGCAGCGGAGAGAATATGGTGCGTCGAAAACCCAAACCCCAATCTATAGATAGTTAACATCATAGCCCTTAGGTGTTCTATAGGTATTGTTTACCTTTGGCATTAGACAGAAGTATAGCCTCGATGACCGCCGAGTCAACGGTCATGAGAGACTCATTCCATCCGATAATCTGTCGGAAGGTATTCCCAAATTTACGGAAATTGTCTAGGAAGAACTCCATCACGCAGAGTTCATCAGACGCAATCAGCGTCCTTACTAACAAGTCGATACCCAGGGGCCATCTATTTGCTAGTGTGACTGAGTCGCAACTAAGTGCGTCCCCTTTCCCGAGAGATGACTTCACCTACACGATATTAGAATCAATCCCTAATCGTCCATGCAAATATCTCACCTTTTCGCTCAACGCATTGTAAGCTTGGTAGACGAAGGAGACCGCGGCTGCTACAATCAGAAAAATCCAGACAAGCATCATAGGAAACTCCCAGCGCCTGGGTTACCCAGTGGGACAAACGTTAGAGGGATCAACGAAATATATATTCAGAGGGACGCAATTTTAGTAGCATCCGGCAGATTGTATTGTACATGTTAACTCATAATGCCTTACAATACTAATACTAAGTATAAAAGAGTGTAGAGATCGTGACTTTAAAGGTATAAGAAATACCCGTAAGGTAAAGCCCTAACTAACCCCCTTACACGTCGTCGTGCATGACGATAGTTGTTTGCATGGGGCCGGTCCTTATTGGAAGGGACGTACTTTATAATACATGTCGTGTAACACCAAGAACAACCTATTTGGACAGGGAACCAATGAGTGTGTCCTCGGTTTGGACACTATTGTTTGCTTTTTATCTACAATGGAAAGATCGTCAGAGCCAGAACCCCAAAAGCTCTATAGACTACCTACCTATACAGGTCGACCTAACCGGTTATTCCGAGTTGTTGGAACTGATATATTGATATATCGGATCCATCTGACTGGACATGACTGCTTTGGTTCATAGCATCTCATGATCATTGCTGTTGGCTTCTAAGCCATTCGAAAGCAACATAGACCCTTGGGGTATGTTGATAAAATGGAAGCAAGTGAGAGTTTACGAAATTATATTTGTGAACATGATTCGACAATATCCTGTTCGATCCACAACTGTCGAGAGCCTGTTCTGAAGGTAGCTTATTTCGATGGCTTGTAGTTCTCTTATGTGCCGTTTAATTGGAACTCTCATCTAATAACGGCAGAGCAGGCTGACCACCCTATGAAGGTAGCGCAACGCCATGGCCTTGAGAATTCCCACCGCTAGCTTTCGTCATCTCCCACCCTCGGTTCCTATACTTCTTTGGCCAGATACCACAGCGCCCGGGAGCCATGATGCCGTTAGGATCCAGCGCATCCTTCAACTTCTCGTGGAACTTCATTAGTGCACCGTCGTTCCAGTTATATGTCCCGGCGACCTGATCCATGAGCACCAGATGCGTTCGATATTCTCCATACCCACATGCCGCCGCGTCGTCTACTAGATGTCGCAAGCAGTCTAGCACATCTTGTCGGCGCTTAGGATCTGCGCGATCATATACAAGCTCGACGATGAGATGCATTTCGCGCAGGCCGACGCAGAACGCCGGGAACAGGTCAACCCCGAACTCGTCATGTCTTTTCTTAGCTAGTTTGAACAACTTGGTCGCGTCGGTGCCACGGATTGGGCTGACAGGCGAAAATGCGATATGGGCGCCGTTGGGCATCCAATTGACCCAACGTAACTCATGAAGTTCGGGAGTACCTGAGGCGATGCGGTCCCTAGCCCAAAAATACTCATCCGGTGGCAGCGTCGACGGATCAATCCGGCGAGCACCCGGGACTTTCTTGAATTCGGTGTCGATAATAGAGAGCTTATACTGGCGGATATGTGGGGGACCATACGACATGCCATAGTAAGCCCACGTATGGTCACCAATGGGTAGAGCGGCCGCAACTTCGTGGACCACACTATCCGGAATCGTACCCTCACCTTTATAAAAGTCGGTTCGCGGTCTACCGCGGACTGCGATAGTTTGCGTGACATGGCGCAGTTGTGCAACATTCTCTAGGATATTGCTGATTCGGAGCGGACGAATGATCTCGATCTGAAGGTATTAGCTTTTAGCACTCTGCATAGCGTCTTCTTGATTAGGATACCTACTAGCTGATTAAGATCTTCTTCCTTTTGAAATGTGTACATCTACCAAATGCGGTATTAGTACTTCAAAATTGTAGATTCGCAGCCATGGTTGAAGCCTTACGAAGCCTTCATGTCCGCCTGGGTTCGGCATCAACGTCATTCCCATCTTGGTCACAATGCCAAAGTTAGACTGCGAGAAAATTCCACTAGAAGCAAGTTTGTGAGCCGACGGCTACCATTCTCAATGTCAATGGGGATGACCAACTCAGAATATGGGCCAAACCCATAAGGAAACATCTGCCAAGTATTATTACCCGGAAGAGCGCCCATACCCGTTCGGATGACCTCTCCCGTTGGAAGTACGACCTCTAAACCCGAATGGCACGCCCAATGGTCTCCGTAAGGCGTGTATCCAACGCCGCGATCTACAGTGTTCCCTATGACAGAACCACCGCCGACATCTGGGACATCAATCCAAAGATGATCGTATCCCTTTGTCTTGATCGCCTCATGAAGAGCGTAGAAGGAGACACCCGGCTCAAGAAGACACGTATAATCTTCCGGGCTAATGTCAAGTATTTTGTTCATGCGTCTGCCAAGATCAACAAGGACGGATCCACGCACTCGAGGAGCTGCACCGCCATATCCCACTGATGCCATTAGTTATCAATCTCCATTATATTCTACCTCTGCCCGCCGACTTACGATTTCGACCCATTGAGATGGGGAAAATGGGTATGTGGTACTTGTTCGCCCATAGAACAACTTGCTGGACTTCTTCAGTACTTCCAGGATAGACCATCGCTGACGGTACCAGTTCCTCTTCATCGAGGATTGTCATTAGGTCATGGGTGTTCGGATCTATGTATGTTAGAGACGACAGTTTCTGGTCATTTGCGCTTCACTAACGTTCCATGTACCTATTACACCAATGTTAGAACAAATGTTCCTAGCAGACAGGTAGTCTATACGGCGGTATTGATGACTTACCACCCATCTTTTAACGGCTTGTCATTACGTTCGACATTATCCTGGCCCAGCTGCTTCCCAAGTTCACCAAGCGCAGTAACAAACACCTGCTCTTCAACACCAGGAGGGATAACAGGTCGCCTATCCTTCGTGGCCTTGGGTTTTGTTCTTGTTTCAAAGATGCCGGCTTTGGCCTCGCGGGCTTTCTCTAGTAGGAACTCCGGGATACCGGAGTGCTTCTCCGAAAGAAGCGGCACGTCTGACTGAGCCTCATCTAAAAAGGACATGGCGTAAAGATCTAACAGATGAATCGACCAAGCATTAGGGAACCAAATATGGTACTCCGTTCTTAGATCATCTTATTTATATCTGCCACTCATATATCGTGCAGCCAAGGGCTATCGTCTACCCCGCAGGTAGCTAACCTCGTCAACTCATCTGCCGAATATCGACCCTGCATTGTGCCGATCGCCGGCGTTAAAAGGAGGATTATAACCCCAGAATCCCGCGTGTCCCAGGAACGGCGGAAGATCTAGACCAGTTTTATTAAGTAGATGTGTCTTCGGGTCACTCTCCTCTAATCTATCTACATGTATGCAGCTGTTAAGTCTACTGGGGGTCAGCTGAGCTGATTGTGCATCATCTTAGCTCCTAATTGGCCTAATGGTAGAGGTTTTCGAGATTCTAAAATGTCAAGTAGGTAGGAATATAGCAATTCTTAGTTCGGAGAGCATAGCTAAACCGACATTTCCGGACTTCAAATTCGGTATTCGAATGCTTCTCCAAATGTATCGTCGGCTTCTAACATTTGCTTAATCAGTTAGTGATTTGCGAAACTAACACTTAGCATACGACCGTGCTGCTGTAGTAGATAGCTAAAGTCTCGATGCATACTATCATTAGTTCACGGAATGAATGATGATGATGATGATGATGATCTTTCATCTTACTAAAAGATAGAAAAGGGGTCGTGATATGCAATTGGCAGCCATATGCATGAATTGAGCTACCTGTCTCCTTTTTCTCAAACGCGTTTGTTTATTTATACTTCGTACTGTGCAACAAACTACGTCAGCTTTCCACAGCTCGACCCGCCTTTTCTCCTCAAAATATGCAGGTTACCCCACAGTTCCATCGTTCCACATCCACACCGAAACAGCTTTAACAGCTTAAGGTAGCTATTGAAACTTACCTAAACTTAGGTACCTAACCTAATAAGAATCCAACTTAGGTTGTCCCCAAAATAGCCAGCTTCCTCTTTATCCTCAGCTCCGTCTTCTCTTTTTAATACATAGCGCTTAGAGGTCCCATCTTATCAAAATGCCCGGAGACGAAATCAAGCATCCAACCCCAGCCGAAGCCTTCAAGCTTGCCGCTGACCATGCCGCTCTGCTGCGGGGTCTGTTTCTCGATCCTCGGTACAAGTACCTTCAAGACCCCACGCCAACTTTCATAAAACCCAACCTCGACGAGACCCCCGCCGGTCTTTACTTCGTTTCCGACTTCGTTCAGAGGACTTATGTCGAATACGTCGTCCCCTTCCTACCAGCCGGCGCTACTCGAAAGTGCAAGGCCATCGCTAACCCATGGGCGTGGAATGACCCCACCTATCCATGGGAGTGGGAGTGGGACGAGCAGACGTCGACGCTAAAGGATAAAGATGGCAACGTTATCGATTTCCCCAAGTTGCCGGAAGCTGAAGCTGTTAATAAGATGGGCGACGTGTTAGGTAGAGGGTTCATGGCTCGGAAGATAATCCTCGAGAATCGCACCGACATCAAGGCTCGACTAATGGTTGGAGGTCAACCCTTTGACTTTGGTAAAGAGGTGGAAGATATCGTGAAGGAGACGTATCCTTTTTGATAAGGAAGTCATAATAGACAGTATGTTGACAATGTTGGATGTATTAGACTATGTCTACTAGGATTGGGGATCGATTTGTCCGTGCTATAGTCCAGATATGCGACGGAGGGTTTGATGGGCCATGTCCTGTCATTATGAAGTCCGGAATATTATGGTCTCGATTAGCATAAATTCTAGGATTGAGACACTTTGTTTTATCGGATTTAGCTAGAAGAGAATGCTCTCGCAAATTCAATAGGATAAAAAGGATAGCAAGGCTTCGTGCCTAAAAGATTATTACACAACAGTGAAACACGCTGACCGCAGAACCAAGCACTTCTCAACTATAGTCGGCGATCAGATTAGCAGACATTCTCTAACAGCCCCTACCTCTACCTCAAAGTTCAATAGTTCTAGGTTGCTCAAATATAGTTTAATAGGTGTCGAGGCTGGTACGGGTAGGTACTCAGTAGCAGCACACCTAATACAAGCGGTCTGGGATCTCTACCAAGGAGGATATTGATTATGTCTTACATTGTACCTCATTTAAAATTTCATATCATGATACCTGGACCTTCGCTTTAATCTCATAATATCTGTAACGTGCGATTGGGTTTAGCATTGCTGGCCATGTATCACCCTCTAGGTTCAACTCCTATGCCTTATACTCGGGTTTGCCATGTGTCTTGGATCGATCGATTTCCGTCGATATGGCTCCTAAGAACCACATGTTTCTTCATAACATCGTTATTTCTACCATCAGTTACAGCGCAGGCAACATGGTAGAAGCCTAGCTGTTCTAGCCCATTTGCCATGCCGGTTTAGGGCTGTCTCATATTTTGCGAAGAGTTTGATATTTTTGATAGTTGCTGTTTTTAGATAGAGTTGGGTTGTATCACAATAATGTGTTGTATTTGATGTTGTATTCTCTAAGTTACTAGGGGGAGGATCTAGTAGGATCTAGTATTTATATACATGTGATGACAGGTTGGATGCATCACTTCCCCATACAAATCCAAGGTTTTCCGCGTGTAAGAGAATCCGTTGTATATCGTCCTGCGGTAGCTTCCGTACCGCTGGGAGGGATAAGTGTTCTTTCAAAAACGCAGCTACTTCAAAAACGTTGTCGGTATTCCTGCTCATTCCTGACTCAAGGCACAAAGCAGTCGGGATGAGATCCTTGGGGAAGGTATTGGGAGTCCCTAGGAAGGTGTTGGGGGTCCTGTGGGAAAGTGTGGTCAGGCAGAGGTGTATGTTTCCAACTCTTGCTGTAGTAGAATTTGAGTCTATCATCTTCAGCGGCATTTTAGTCATCTACTCGATGATGCTGTTGATGAGAGGGGTAGTTGTGATTGATTATGTTGTTGAGGCACGCCTTTATATCGCGATGGTGATTGACTGAAAAGTTGACAACTGACTTGTTGCAGATGGGTGACGAAACTTTTGTCGTTATGATGTGACTGTTGTGCAATCAGTAGCATCTGTTGTAGTAGAAGTTGCCTATTTTGATATTGGCTTGATACACTGAGTATGGGTGCCGACGAATCATTTAGTTCATGGATGGATGTGATATTATAGGTTTGGCTGTTAAATCATCGGTCATACTGTCGCACTTTTTTTCCCATGTGTATCGATATTCTCCCCCTTTTCAAATGTTAGCAACTACCTAAATGGCACGCTAGGAGGGGATATGCATATTTGTAGCTTACGCGCTTCACAATCCGTTCCATCTGCTCGCTAGCCATGTCGCAGTTCCTTGCCCTGTCGTGGAACCGGTCTTCAACGTTGTAGATCTCCTGCTGGTCTACGTCAAATATAATCTCTTTAGGCTGTTGTGTAATTGTAGGCCGTGATATAGTTGCATACGGCAGCGCTTGTAGTTGTTAGGTTGCTGTGGTTAGGATAGTATTAAGTGTATTAACTAAGTGAAAGATATGATGTTTTAGAGAAGTACTGAACATTGAACTCAAATCTTGAATATTTACTTTTGTAGTATTGATCTGTAGTTCCTTCTTACATGTAGTCACTTCCATTTGCAAGATGTAGGTACGGAATACCTGCCATTTCATTAGAAAGCGCACAGCTGTTGCCGCCAGTGGCCAATGCGTGTCGGAGACCGGCAGGAACTTCCCTATGGTAAAAACCATCAAAAGCGCCCACGTCACTTCCCGTATCTTGCATTAATCCACCAGTTACCTAAGCTCGGAACCGACCGAGAGCTAGGTCACATTCTGAACAGCTGAAGTGCAACGCGACGGCACAGGTTCAAGGATAGTGCCGGCTATTATAGGTCAATTGACTACACGGGGGAAAGAGAAGTGGATATCAATGCAAGGTAAGTATATAGTATCATAGTATAGTAGGTATGTAAGATAGGACGAATATAATAGTTACATGCAGTTATTAAGATAAAGAATACTCCCGTGTAAGACCCGTGTAAGACCAATAAATGCCCTTCTAGATATCCTTTTTGATCGCTAATCATGACATGACATGTTTTATGTTAAGTACCTAGGAGATAAGAATTCAATTCTTTATTACGCCACCAGTCATTTAGTCTGTATAATACTCCAAGACCAGCGGGTCGTCAGTTTCGCTTCCGTACGCATTGCCGCCGTAGTCTAAGTAGCCGCTTATGTACGGTGGGGGGATCTCCCGAAGGATCGACAGTGCATCTCCAAACACCCAGGCGGTTTGCATACCTGGCACGATAATGTTAGCATAAGCATAAGAAAATCAATAAATCCGCGTTAAGGGGGTGTCAATCAACTAGGCTTACCCATGATCATATGCTGCAGGATGTGGCAATGCATCATCCAGGCACCCACGTTGTCCTTTGTAACTCGGATTCTCCATGCTCGCCAACCGGACGTGGTATTATCGGCGCCCTTAGATGCATATCGATGTAGCATCGTCGTGTCTCGTTTCATAGGTGTATAATTCTTGAAGCGCTCCTCGTTAGCCGCCGCATCGTATATGCCATTACCTGATCCAAGGTCCCAATAATGTTCGCCATGTGCGTGCATAGGATGATACTCGAAGCCACCTGTAGGGCCCGAATTACTTTGCCATACGATATCTAGGACCTCGCCAACTAGGGCTGGGAATGCTCTCGTTTTAGGGTCCCATCCGTTATTGGCTAATGCTGTTTTGTAGTCTGGCGTCTTTCCTTCGATGTAGGCTTGAATCAGGTACGGTATATAATGTAATTTCTGCGCTTCCACTTCCGTCCATGTCAGGTTGTTTTGCCTACATTATCAGTTAACAATCTATTGTTATGCTAGTCATAAATGGGCTGAGTTAATACTTACACCCACACCATTGAGCCACTTACTGTGCCCCCGTCGTATGTGCCGTTTATAATATCCTGGCTCACCGTGATGTGCAGAGTCCGGGTTACTTCCTCGAGCGTAGGGAATGGTCTGCTGACATTCAAGGGCGAAAGAGTGTACTCTAGCCACTGGGTAATTGAACTGCCATCTGGAGGTAGAGTAACAGGCGGCTTATCAGGGAATTTCGGTAATTTACGCTTATGTTTTCCGTCTCGTGGATTGGGTGACAGATGTTCTCGTACCGCATTTCTCCTTGCCTTCGTTGTTGATCTATCGGTGTTGTATTGTAATAGCGCGTATCCCCCCATATCTTCTGGGCGGCCACGGCTTTCGAATCGAAACCAATACTGTCCATTTTTCCTGTCCGCATCAAGTTCATCTTCACTCTTTGTAGTAAGCAAAATATCGAATCGTTGACCACTTCCAATCTGGATATGATCTGTAATAGCGGGTTCCGAGTAAAGCCCATCGGCGGCGATTACGGTTAGATCAGGGTGGCCTTCGATGCCAAAATGTACAAATGATATAGCAGTCCCACCAACAAATCGAATTCGGTATGTTGTTGAGGGTTCCACGTCGACAATGTATGGTTTGCAAGAGTCGTCGGGTGCTTCCTCGAACGACTTGTTTCCAGTACGGTCGTTGAAGATCAAGGCATTGGGTTCGCCCGACCACTTAAAGGGCTTAGACGTGAGACCCGTTTCTACCTCCTCATCCGTTTTCGTATACCAGTCCGCAAATACAACGGCAATATCTTCGTCGTACTGGTAAGGCGGCTCGTCTCGATCCTCTACTACCAATAGCCCATGGGCTGTGACGGCTTGAAATCCCATATGAGAATGGTAGAAATAGGTACCGGCATCGCCCACCTCAGGGTGTATTTCATAGTCAAAGAACCTGCCCGGAGCTATTGGCCACTGGGACACTATAGGCGTCCCATCCGAGAAAGGCGCTGTTCGCATGGTGAGTCCATGCCAGTGCTAGGAATTCATGAGTCAGATAAGGACGTACACCAGTGTCTTGGCCGTTTAGCTCTCACATACCACCGTAAAATTGAGATCAGACATATCGTTGTATACTCTGACCCAAGTTGTTTTCCCCTCCTTCAAGTATAACGGAGGCCCGGGCATTGTGCCATTGAATATCACCGACTCGCGCTGCTCGCAGTTCATAGTAATCTCCTCGAAGGTTACATGAAGCACATATTCGGGTTTCCATGACGAGTCGTGAATGGATGCTGTCGTAGCGACTGCACCTCTTTGTAGCAGTCCTACTTGCAGTAATACTGAGGGCAATAGGCTCAAATGCCACCGCATCTTGAAGCAACGAACTTGAGTTTGCAACGAAGGCAGGCTTGCAAACTTAACAATACGACATTTGGCAGGTCTGAGAATATTTTATACAACTTCGCACGTCAGGGTATGTGAACCCGAACCGGTTAGGGGTGGACCCGAGATCAATCTCGCAAATATCAATAGCGAAGGAATGATCCCCATCCTTATTACTACGGTACGTCCTCATGACCCATGCATGATTATGGCCCTTTAGTTAGACGGCGTGTAACTCAAGCCAGGGGGTCACCACATGGACATGCTCGATATGTGGGAGGAGATCTATGAGCTAGCCCACTAGGGAGCTGAATAAGACCTAAAATTGAGGCTATCCGCGCGACGGGTAACAGGTAGGTTCAGATAACAGTCACGCAACTGAGAGCTAATTCGAACTCGTCACGATGAAATTTCACCACTCATTGAAGATTCAGAGAGGCCGAAATTCAGACTGGGAATCGAGTAAGATAGTACGGCGGTTCCAGCCGTGGGGCATTATCGCGTATGCATGCTGCAAACTCGTAGACAATCTGGTGTATCAATCCCTACATTTCGAGGTATCTCTTTTCTGTCTCATGTTTAAAGAATGCACCCTCGCGTGAGACGGGGATGTCGGCACTACAGATCGCGATACCAAACGGCGAAGCCGACAAACATTAGCAGTACGGGATGATATGGATAGTATGGATGGGTAACAGTCGGAAGAGATGCCAAGCACCCTATCTGAAAATCAAGAGCTTCTCATGCCCGTGTCGGCAATTAGATGAGAATATGTCTATAATTTCCCCTTTTTAGGGGGACCAAACCCCGCTAGAGACCAGCTTAGTGTGGCAACGGGAGTAAAATGGGTAAGATA